AGGTTTTCCTTGAAAAACAAGCTCTAGATTACTTTTATCTCTTTTCTATATTCGATTATATGCAAAATAGTATTCTTAACATTCAAATAAAAGCGAATTTACTTAAAATAAAAATATTTTGTAAAAAATTCAAATTAAATTAGGCTCAAATTTAATTTTGAATTTTTGTGACAAATTTTATCTTTAATTTTCAAGAACAATTTTGTCTTAAATGGAAGTTTTTCTATCCGATGTCTAATAATTACTACCAGTGAAAAGGTAAATTATAATAATAGTTATCGAATTATAATCTCCGCACTTTATTTGTCCGGGTGTATCGGCTGTATAACCCCCAGCTGGGAGCTCCGGCTTCCCCTTAAAGCCTCGGTTATCGCATCGCTATCGGTCTCGCCTATAGGCCTCCTGTCTCCGCAATTTGTGTAGTTCAAGTGCAGTTAAGCAAACGCATGCCCATCCCAAGCATCCCAGGGTTTCAGGGTTTCAGGATTCCAGGAGCGACACATGTACAAGTGGAGGAATAGCAGAAATAGCAGGAGTACAAGGAAGAAAAGGAGCGGAGGACAAAAGCCGGAGGACGAAACAAAAGACGTCCTCGCACTCCTGCTCCTCTACCTTCTCCAACTCCTCCCCTTGACTCACTTCATTTCACTTTTCATACTCGCACACCCGCAATCTGAGACAAGTTTGTTTGGCGAGGTGACCCACCCACCACCTGGCACCACCCACCCACCAGGGAGGCTGCTTCAATAGCGTCTCAAACTTTTCGTTTCGTTTCGCTTGGTTTTGTTGCATTGACAAATAATTCAGCCGTGCAGCTTGACCCCATCCCATTGAGTTGCCTGGAGTTCTCGTTCTCGACTGCATCTGGACTTGTTTGCGTATTTCGACATTCATTAGCCTGTCGTGCAGACATCCCACATTCCACTTCCCACTTTCATCATTTTCACCCCACTCTAAATGGTCTATGCAAATTACTTAGGGATATGAGTTTTCTTTTGTTTCTCTTCTTTTTATTTAAGTCCCTTCCTCTGCCGAGGGCTTCTGCTTAGTTTTAGTCCTGTTCCCATCTGAATGAGCAGCTCCTGAGTGGATCGGGTGTGAGTTGCATATCATATCATCATACCCATTAATGGCTATCAAATTCTGGTCTCTGAAATAAATATTATTAAATATCAATAATAGGAAACTTAAGAACTGCAAATATTTTTTATTTGTACAAAGGGAAGGACATCTGATGGTTGAAGATGTATTAATTTTGACTAAGGGGTAATACGTTGTTGGAATTCTGCATTTGCAAATCGTTTAGATGTGATTACAAAAGATTTAACTATTTAAAGTTTATTTTTAAGCGTATAGAATTTGTTTTCTTGGCACTACAATTTATTTTTGACTTATTTTCAAACAAACCTTTTTTAAATGTTTCCTCTTTTTGTTTCCAAAACTCATAATTTATAATTTTAATACAGTTTTTGTGATATTATGTGATGAAATGAACAAAATCGTCGTATTTTTTGCCAATTACCATCCCTGAAATCGTTGCTTACCAGAAATGTCAGACATGTGACGAGACTTCCTCCTAATCGGGCTGCCCAATTTGCCGGCTCCTTGGAGAGGCGTTAACCGCTTCGTTGTGCCTGTGCCCATAGGAAAGTGAAACTTGCAGTGGCGGCGGTGGAGGGGGAGGGGCTCAAGGGGTTCAAGGGGGATGTGAGCAAGTGTGCGTCATCAGTGCAAGGGGTTGTGCTTAGGCGTTGCAGCTTTTCCGGCTGCGAAATGGGGTTAAATTGCACAGAAATCACGCGTCACGTATGCCCCACTCCTCGTTCCCCCTCCCTCTCCCCCTTCCCCTTGTACCCCCCTCTCGATGCAACAGCATCACACACAAGCACACAGCCACACACCCACACACACGGAGAGCAGCCGCTTTGTTTGGGAGCACTTAACACGGCGTTGCCGGCGATGACGACATGCACTTGAGCCTCACAAAGGCCTAACCCATCCCCCCTGGACACCCAACCCCCCGGCTCCTCCCCCTCTCGGCACTTCCAACGATTGCACAGTTAGATGCACTAGACAGCCACGAGACACGAGACGGATTCTAACCCTTTGGCGCTGTTTCTGATTCTGATTCCACCCCCAAAAGTAGTGGAGGGGATGCATTAGAGTGCCTGCTGCGACGAGACTCTTGTCATGTTGATATAGAATCCTCGGCTGGCCGCGGCTTTAGTTGCACCACCAGAAGCCGTAGCCCCTTCATTCCACTCCCACTTTCACCCACTCACCACCCCCATTGGCAGGTGTAAAAAAAGAGGGAAGCTGAGGGTACAAGGGGTACGGGGTACGGGGTCCAAGGGAGGCTGCAACGAAAGTGAAACGGTGGTGGCTCCTGCCAGGAGTCCTGTCCTGTCTTTATGTGCTCCGGGGTGCAGCTCAAGCTGCACTATTCAAAAGTGAACTGGAGTGGAGTGGCGGCCGTCTGGGGGTGCCAGCCGAATGGCGAATGGGTTGAAGGACGTACGCGAGGCGACACGTCTGCCCCACAAGGGGTTGGCATTGGCACTGGGATGGCACTGGGATGGCCAAAAGGGGTGTAGGCACTGGGAAGATGCAAAGATGGCGATGCCATTGAGAGTGGCCAGGGGAAGTGGGAGGCTGGGAAATGGGGAACTGGGGAGGCAGCCTCAAGACGAGCTGTTCCGAGCAGAAACTCGAGGAATGAAAGAAAAGTGAAAGCCCAGCTCCCGATGCCCGTAAAAACCAATGAAATTTCGCTTAGGCTCGCTGCGCTTCTTTACGAGACCTCGGCGGGGTCAGAACTTGGGATCAACACTGCCAGAAAATATTTGACCTCGTCTTAAGCGTAGGCCAAAAGTTGGGTTTTATCCTATGAATAAGAATAAGTGAAGATTTAAACTTAATTTTAAAAGATTTTCTATATTAAATATTAATCCCAGCTTTTGGTTTCCTTTCAGATTGATTGTTTCCAGTGAGCGGAACTTGAAATAAAAGCCAGAAACGCACTAATGTCCTTCGACGACTGGACTGGCAAATAAAAAGTTTGCCGCTACAGTGCCTCCTCCTCTGCGAAGGTCTCATGTGCGCGGCGACAAAGTTTTTATTCCTTTGTTTAGAATAAGCTAAAATGCGCACGTGTTCCACTCGCCACTCCGCTTTAGTGCAGCAGGGGATGGACGCGGATGCGGATGGGAGGCCGTTAAATTTTAATGCGCCCGTATCGATATGCGTGCAATGGACCGCGCCAGCGGAATCTATAAAAGCCAAACTCGCGTGTCACCGTCACCATTACCATCACCATCCGGCGATTCCTATTCCCTCTAATGCCGTAGCTGCGCAGTCGTGATAAGGCAATTGGCATCTGGAGGTTAGTTGCCGGGATGACAAGGATGCCAAGTATGGCAGCTGCACTCGCCTTTCGCCACTCCACCTCCACCGCCAACGTCCATGAATATCCCATGAGCTCACGCACTCCAACATTTGCTCGTACTTTGCATAAATTCGCAATGTCGTGACTTCTAATCAATACCGCCAAATGTGGGCTCGAATTTCCCGAATACGGAGTGGATTTTGGAGGGAGGAGACACCCAAAGTATTTCTAATACAATTTTAATTTTTAAGAAAACGATGGAATACACGATAAATATTTTGTAATTATTGATTTCCTTGTTTAGTTTAAGGGCGACATGCAGGTGACGCTAATAACGTACAAATTTGATGTTGTTTAAATGTTGTAGCATACTTTGTTCAACGCCAGCGCACCATATAATCATATGCTAACCATACACAATGTATGTAAACCCCCAATACTTGAAGGGAATGTTAGCAAATACCCGAACACCACAACACACACACATCCATCGGTCGCAGGTCCTTGGATCAGGGTCTCCATGGGCCGCGACCACTAACAAATCAAATTAAGGTAATCCACATTATATATGCAAGCATATATACAAATACACTTGTAAAAGTTAAATAAAATAAAAAAACTGAATTTTTAAATATTTTTTCTGCCATTTTGCATTTTTTCTGGATTTTTTCTATTAATTTAGCATTTTTTGCGATTTTTTTTGGATTTTTTCTAGCAAAATACCTTTTTTTACAGTTTGAGATCCACTGTATGGATAGATGGTAGCAGTTTGAGAGCCACTTTTGGCGTAGATGATCACAGTTTGAGAGCCACTTTAGGTCTAGATAGTTACAGTTTGAGAGCCGCTTTCGGTCAAGACGGTTACAGTTTGAGAGCCACTTTCGACAAAGACGGTTACAGTTTGAGAGTCGCTTTCGGTCAAGGCGGTTACAGTTTGAGAGCAATTGCTTAACGCCAAGTGGCCTTGGTCAAGATAGCGTCACATACTACCTCAATTTTAAGTTTTGCTAAAATCCTTGGTCAAGATAGCGTCACAAACTACCTCAATTTTAAGTTTTGCTGAAAAGTCTTGGTCAAGATAGCGTCACAAACTACCTCAATTTTAAGTTTTGCTGAAAAGTCTTGGTCAAGATAGCGTCACAAACTACCTCAATTTTAAGTTTTGCTGAAAAGTCTTGGTCAAGATAGCGTCACAAACTACCTCAATTTTAAGTTTTGCTAAAAAGTCTTGGTCAAGGTAGCGTCACATACTACCTCAATTTTTGGTTTTGCTTAAAAACCTTGGTCAAGATAGCGTCACATACTACCTCAATTTTTCAGGGGAAAGCCGAGCTCACTAGAGATGGGAGATCGTTCGATAGGCGAGCTCACTAGAGATGGGAGATCGATCGATAGGCAAGCTCACTAGAGATGGGAGATCGATCGATAGGCAATCTTATTAGAGATGGGAGATCGATCGATAGGCAACAAACTAGAGATGGCAGATTGATCGATAGGGAAGGAACGCCCCTATATTCCCTTGTGGCGGCACATCTCTAGCTCGAGTGTAAAACTGCTGCTGGCGGCCTGCTGATTTTTGTGTTCGCCTGGTATCTGAAATCCGGAAAACCTGCAATTGGGTGGTAAAAACCAATCGATTCGGAATTTTATTGTTGGTAGGGTGATCATTTAGGTTGCAAATTTGACAAATTTAAAAAAAAACGGGATATTGGCTACGGATCCCGTGGTGGCTTATCTGAAAAAATCTGGGGTTACATGCTATAGATTATGATTACATAATTATATGTGTATATACAAAATATGAAAATACGAAATATACAATATCAGCTTATTTACAAGTTGCGCTTTTCAAGCGTCCTTGCTGGGCTTTTTTCTTGCTAGTGGCTGCAAAATTCCTGGGTTTAGATCCTTTGAAGCTTTTTCCCTGTGCTTTGGGCTGCGTCCTTGATGGGTGTCAGGAAAAGTTACCACAATGAGCTTCGATTGCCAGGCATCCTGGCATTGGCGGCTGCTCCGGAACAATGTGACTGCTGTAATATCCTCACCCAGTTACAGCACTCAAGCTCATCCACAGCTTTAAGCTCTCAGGACGAAACTCTTGGGGGATGTTTTTTAGAAAAGGGTTCCAAGTTTATTCGTATATATTCATATTATGTGAGGGACTGTCCAGGCAGCCTGGACAGGGGATGGAGCGGATCCGGTCCAGCACCAGCTGCATCTGCGATCTGGGCGGGACTGATCCTCCGCGTCTGCAGGTTACAGAAGGGTACAGGGTGTGTAGAGTGGGTGTGAGTACATCCTTATCGGGGTTACGGGTTACGGGTGACGGATTACGCTTACAGAAGGGGTTAGGTTATCGTATTAACTTTAGAGTTATCTGTTATCTGTACCTCTATCGGTATTTGTTGCCGTGTCTGTGTCTGCAATCTGCAATCTGCAATCTGTATCTCTATCAACTCGCAGTTGCCTTTTCTCTGTATTGCTAAGTGCCGGATTACTAGGGTCCGGCGTTCACGGGCGCTGCGGTTCTACTACTTGCTAGTGTAAAGGTTCTCCGTCGAAATAATCCTCGTAAGCATAAGTTATACTCTATATAATCTGCCCTGCACCTGCCGTGCACGTAAAATAAGTCAAAATGGATACAAAATGGGTACGAGTAGGTGGCGACGTTCTGAATCATTATCAATTTCCTCTGCTTCTGTTCTGCTCCTGCTTCCCTCCTTTTTCGTGTATAAATTAGTAACTATTTAAAATTATATACATCCATGTACTTATAATATTATAGATATCATCAATGCCTGTCTGTACAAAACGTCGCCGGATAGGTTTTTCATTTTCTTTTAACATTTCACACATCTCCTCACTATCAATTTTCGTTTTTCATGTATGTATTTCCATTGAGTGCAAGTTCACATAAATTCAGTCGTGATTCAATTGATTTCCTAAAGTTGATATCTTTGCTTGCTTGTTTCACTAAAAATAAAGCTCAGGGTAGTAAAACCGGGCCTACACACACGCTCTAATATCCTATCGCTCACAGTGCACAAATTCTGGGGGATTCGATTCGCAATCGGATTTCTGATTTCGGATGCACAGGACTCCTGCTTGGGTTTTGGTATCAGATCGATCGGACTCGTAAATGCAGCTTAGTCAGTTGCTTAACCAAGGGAATCGCGACTGCTCCAGCGAAGTGTCCGCTGCGTCGTCAGGGCTGTTATTGTAAGCACGATAAAAACTACTAAGACTAAGCCTACAAACTCCCGCTAAATGTGTATATACTAGCTTGCTGAGTGCTCTGCTGCGAGTGCCTCCGTGGGTGAACAGAAGCCGAAGCTCAAAGCTGAGGGCGCCACAAAGCAGGGGCTAGTGTTGCCTAGTCATATCTCCTATCTCGTATCTCGTTTAGTCGGGTCTATCTGGTTTACTACAAGTTGAACACATGCACGCCCGCACGCACTCCGAACGGCGCCGCTGCCACGGAGCTGCAGGAACGCAGCGGCAGCGACGGCGAGTGTGGGAGTGAGCCAAGCGCAAACGGCCACGAGGGCGAGAGTCGCAGTGGTACCTGTTAACTTTGTCTCGAATGCAAATGAAGCGTAGTCTGCCGTCTCTGCCTGGGCGATTCCGGCTGATCTTGATTCTTGATTTTGGTGGGTGATCGGTGATCGGTTGGTGTGATCTGATCCTGTGTGCTGTGTGGATAGGCGGAGGCTCTCCTGGGCTGCATCCAGTTGGTGTTCTTGGTGTTGGGTCGGCTGTATGTGTGGCTGTGGCTGAATGAATGAGTGGTTCTTGTTTGCTGATTGCTGACTGTCGATGACGGGGAGTTTGGTTTCGGTTTCTAGGATTGTATGTGAATATATAGCGCGTTTAAATTCCAAGACTGCAATTAAACAGAGAGAGAGAGACTTTAGGCCCGTGTACAAATGCAATCTACATTTAATATATATATTGTGCGTGGCTAACAAGGCGCTGCGGACTAAATGTCCGCCTTCCGCGCGTTCCGCTTTCACATAAAGCACACAAAGTACACGGGTTGACCTTCGATTAGCTATCAGATACTCGGCTCCGTTGTCTAATGGTCACAAGACAGTGCTCATAACAGATAACCAGTGGGCGAAAAAGAGTGAGAGGCACATGCTGCACATGATTGTCTTACATTCGCGATCCCTTCTGCTGCAGGACCTTGGCCCGGTCGTTGAGCTCCAGCTCCCGCCCGGCCGTCGTGCCGCACTCCTTGGAGACGACGCACAGGAACTCGTTGTTCTCGAAGGGCCCGTAGTTGGTGTACTGCATGCTGATCAGCTGCTCGAACCGCCAGCCATCCGACAGCGTTGAGATCATCTGTGGGGTGGAAAGAGTGGGAAGATCAGAGGTTTGCTGATGGAACTAGCGGATGTAGGCACTCACCTGGGTCAGTTCCTGCTCGCGGCACTGCAGCACGCGATAAACGCGCTTCTTGTCCGCATGTGGTCGCTGGAAAAGAACACAGATTAGTGGGGTTAAATACATGACTAGCAGACTAGCCACTCACCTGATCCCTGTGCAGAATGCACTCCTTCAGCAGGGCTATCAGCTGCGTCACGTTGTAGAACTCGGCCTCCTCCAGCACGCCCTCCTCGGAGACGCCGTCGAGCACCAGCTTGCCGTGGCGCAGATAGTTGAGCACGGGGGCAAAGTACTTGGGGTCCCTGTCGATCAGATAGGCGCCAGTCTCGTCCTGGAAGGGAGTGGGAATTTTGGATGCGGAGTTACTAGTCTGACTTTGATTTTGAGTCGCCCATTAGGCGCCCGTTTAGGCAGGGCAATGAATGGTGGCTGCCTGCCTTAATTGGCGGACGTGTGGGGGCGGCGAGCACGGAATTTAATCAATAGCAAAAGGCGCGGGCCGCGCAATAACACAACTGCCACTCGGGCGCACACGGGGTGCAAAACTTTTTATTGAAAACTATTCGGGCATCGACAGGGGTGGTAGTGAGGGTGGCATGTTGTTTATACAAAGCTCTGGAATTTCTCGCTGTGGATTTATGTTTGTTTGTTTGCTTGTCGATTGACCGAGCGAGCGACCGTGTTCATGTTATGATTATTGTCATGATTATTTGGCTGCCATGTAGCGAAGGGGGTGACCTTCCAACCACCCAACCACCCACTGACCAAGGCCTCTGCAGAATCAGTGAAAACTAGCACACTCGGCTGCAGCTGCAGCTGCATTTGCATTTGCAGTTAAAGTAGGGCAAGTAGGACATGTGGGACGCTCTCTCGCGCTCTCTGGGCTCGAATCAGTGGCCCAGATCCCCCAGTGACCTGCATGTGTGCACTTTTCGGACACTTTCGAATGGAATTACCAGGGGGGCTCCATTTACAAGGCCATAGATTAAGACCAACACTCACCCGATCCGATATCAAGTCGCAGTCCTCCTGAATCAGGCGGGAGAGGAAGGAATTTGGGTCACGGGAGAGCGTCGTCTTGGTGGTGAGGAAGTAGGTGCCGCCCACGTTCAGCTTGACCCACTGGTCGGTGCCCTGCTTCTTCAGCACATTGGGGCTCTTGCGCGAGTTGATGAACACGGTGCTCATGGTGGCGATGGAGGTTTAAATGGGGGTGCTCCTTATCTGGGGTGCTCCTCTGTTCCTTTTCCTGCTCCTGCGACCCCTGCAAACTGGCTAACTGGCGATTCCCTGGCTTCAGATGGCGACTTCAGTCTCAGCTCATGCTTTTCATGCTTTTCACGCCGTGTTTTCCTTCTCCTTCTCCCCTCGCCTTTTGCTTTTCTTCCTCTTTGTTGCGTTGCCTTTTCTGCGTCGCTGCTTCCCTGCTTCTCTGCGTCTCCGCTTCTTGGCTGCTCTGTTATCGGGATCACTAATTCCGCTTTTCCTGCGCGTCGCCTTGCCTTTTAGTTAACTTAATTTACTTAATTAATTCAGCTATCGATAGGTCGGGACTGAGAACGCCTGCTGCTATCGATAATCTGCAATAACAATACAATAATAATAAGGCCGCAGGCGGTAGGCTGGAAAAATGCCGTTTTCAGTGTGCGGAATATACCAGAAATACCAAATGGGTGTGTGTGCGCACTAACTTAGCCAAGACACTATTATTCACCTTAGCGGGTACCCACACCTACGCCCATGGTGAGTTTTAAATTTAAATGCAAACTTGAATTAGTTTGGGCGACTGCAAGATTATCCAAAGATCAGTTAGTGCGTGGCCTTTAGACGATCATCATGGCTTTTCTGCCGCTTCTGCTTCTGCTTGTGCTGGCCTGTGCCAGCGTCTCCGCCGCTCCGATGCTGTACAAACTGAACCCCGAAGAGAAATACGAGGCAGGTGGGTGCTCAACTGATACCTTTACTATATTTCTTACTATTTCTGTTGCTTTTAGACCTCGTGCCCGTCTCCTCCACCGTCATCCCGCTGACCGTGCTGGAGGTGAGCTACGGGGCAGGCGGCAAGCCCAGCGAGGAGTACAAGGCGGCCTACCTGCGCAAGTTGCGCAAACAGGTGCTTCAGCGGACGACTGGCAAGTCGGAGGAGGACGAGGCGCCCACTCTGCTGGGCCTGTCCGACTTCCCAGCGAAACCCGCTCCCGCCGACGCAGATGCTCTGATCACAGGTGGGTAGCCTCTGCATCTAGATCTAGACATTCTAGCCATTCTATATCCTACTTTCTGTTCCCAGTCAAGTCGCAGCAGCTGGAGAGGGCCAAGGTCAAGGCCGTCGCCGTCTGAGCCACGCAGGCTGCAAGTGGAAGTGAAACCATGGCTCCAACTGAAGTAACAAGCTGATGTCATGGCCCCAACAGAAACCATAAACAACAACTAACCGAATCGCAGCAAATCTTGTTTTGGCCACGGCCTAATTGGGCGTGTGTGGGATGTGGATTGTGGATGATTCGTTCGCAGCGGAAGAGCGAAAGGAAGGAAGCCCCTGCTTTCTTGTCAGCGAAATCGAATCAAATCCAGTGATTGGGTTGGGATAACGACGATGACGGGATAACCGCCGCAGTTGCTGGGGGACATTAGTGGCTCGCAGTAGTTCAGAGGCTGGAAAATCAGAAATCAGAGCAGCAGCAGCAAAAAGAGCTGCTCAAAGCAGGGGCAGCACAAAGAAAAGGGGCCAAAAAGGGGGGATTTCAGTGGGTGGTTGGGTGGCATGTGCGTGCTTTTGAGGCCAGTTAGTCAGTTTGCTGACTGCTGCTTCTGTTTTTGCTGCCTTTTCAGGACTCAAACTCGCACTGGGACTGGGACTGGGACTCGGACTCAGGTGAGACTTTGCTGCTCGGCTGACTGACAGGCACTGCTCTTTTCCTTGCTACTTGCTATCTACTTGCTATCTTTGAGCTCTGCCTTCATATTCCCCTGCCTTTGCCGTCAATGCGGCTGTCATGGTCGAGTCACAAGTTGCATGGCCACAGAGGAACGTGTCACTAGCAGTCCGTATCGTGCAACCACCTGAAAAGCCACCCTATTCCACCCTAGCCACCCTCGCAACGCCACGGCTGATTAAGCGGACTGAAATGCTGATGGCAGCCAACTATTTTCGCTATTTGTGCACTCGCCTCCGGCACGTACTTAATTTGAATACAAAGGCATTGGATTGAAGTCTGTCATGTTTGTGGGCCAAGTTTATGCGGCTTTAAGCGGCCTGAAGAGGTGTAAACTACACGTAAATGGGGTTGTCACTGTTCCACCTCCTCACAAACACAAAACACAGTTGTTGTTGCTGTTCGATCTGCACATTTCATGCTCCACTTGCTCAGTTCTCATCAACCGATGAACCGACGAACTGGCGAACCAATTAATAGCTGAGCCTATTCAATACCGAATGTTAATATCGCGTATACGCCCACGTAGTAGTTGTTGCAAGATGACGATGATGATGATGTGATGATGATGCTTCGATGATTGTTGTCAGCGACAGATGCCATCAAATCGAATGTCAAAGCGAATGACGTGTGAAGTAATCGTTTGCGCGGTGCCTCTTTTAATTTATGGCAAAGCGAATACCTGCGACAGGTGAAAAGAGGTGATGGGAGAACCAATCTGTGAATAAAAGAAGAACCTACAATAACAGAGATACGAGCTTTAAGAGCCAATTTAAAGTGCTCCTCTGATCGAGTGAGGAATGGGAATTTGGGCGGGAATTGGCGACACAATACCAATCCAATTGCCGGCCTGACTAGGGAAATGGAATGTCATTAAGTTCCGAATTTGTTTTGTTTTCGGTTGTGTATGTGGATTGGTGGATTGGTGGGTTTCGGGGTTTTGGAGGGAACTTTAGAGGGGGTTCTCCCGAGGGGTAGGCGTGATCTAATTGCGGATTTGGCTCGCGTGCTCGTCGGATGCAGTTGGTCATCCGCCATCTATTTTCCAATCCTGTTTCTATTCCTGTTTCTGTTTGCTCTGCACTCGATGGCTGGTGATTTTGTGGTGCCCCCTCCATGCAGCGTGGGAATTTATGCAAATAAGTGGGTGTAGTGTAGTGCTGTTTTCTGGGGCGTTGGGGGGTTCTACCTAATTGACGCACGTCCTCTGTGGGCCAAGGGCCGTGTCCCGTGTCTTGGGCGGCCTCCAATGATGTGGAAAACGACTTTAAACGTGGTCGTCTGGGTTCCGGTTTTCCAAATTTCCGAATTTCTGTTTGGGAGGGGTTAGAGGAAGGCGATAGAGTCCAAAGTCCAGAGGCCTTGGCTGAAATGTCTTTTTAAAAGCCCAGCCTTGCCAAACTTTGATGGGCCAACTCTCGCTCTGACACACTTTGGCTCTCTCTGTGTTTGCTTTGATTTGGAGTAGGGAAAGCGGGGAAGGAAAACCCTTCAGACTTCAGTCTTCAGATTTCAGATTTCCGACTTCACAGAGATGCCTCGCAGGCAACATCGGCCCAATGAAATCAGCGTGGGGCAAACAAAATTTCACTAAATACACACGCACACACACACTATGTTCGAAAAGGAAAAAGGGAATATAATGCAAACGAAATTATAAGAAGTCAAAGCCAAAGGCAAAGGCATTTGAGGGAGGATGGGAGGCTGTGGCTCAAGGACCTAGTTCCAAAAGACACCCTACTACACCCTACTCCACGTAATTAATCGAGTTTTCAATGCGAACGATTCGCAATCGCATCCATCAAAGGCCCGGGCGATCGAAGGAGGAAACAGGAGCAGAAACAGAAACAGGAGCCGAAACAGGAACACCCAATCATCTATCATAGACAGGACCTCCCAGCACCAGCACCACCCACCCATTCAAATCTAATCAAGGAATACACGTTGCTATCTTCTTCGGGCTCTGCGTTTTTACAGGCAATTTATTAATTTGGCAAGTTAGGCTGAGACCGCAGGGAGAGCGACAAAGGCTGTGGAAAAGCAGGGAAAGCGGGAAAAGCGGGGAAAGCCGCAAAGCGTTTACCCGCCGCTTTAGTCCTGGATGAAATCCAAGCCGAAAACCGAATAACCGAGACCAAACCCAGACGAAACCCAAAAGCCGAAGGAGAACTGCGGTCACAGTGGTGCAAAGTGATGATCACCGTAGGCACAAATTAAAGGAAATTAGTTTGCTAGCTTGTATAGCCGATAACCTTCTTAATTTCTTTAAGATGCAAGTTCTTTTGGGCGTTGATAGTCTACGTATTAAGCATACGACCTGTGGGCCAGCTAAATCATTTGATTAACAATTGTCAACATTTTGATTAACAGCTAGTCAATTATTAGCAACCAGGGTGGCTGAAATGAACTAGGACTACATGGGCTCCAGCTCCAAGCGCTGGTGCTCCATCGCTGCCGCCTGGCTGCGCAGGGAGCATGCCGCAAAGGATTGAATCGGAGACGTTGTGCGTAAAAAGCCAAAGCCAGAGAAAGCAAATTAGCAGGAGCTGAATCGCACAAAGTGCGCACAATCAAAACAAATCAACACGTGGTTTTTGGCCACCTCTCGGGCAGTCGAACAGTCGAGCAGTGGAGCAGTCGAATAGTCGAATAGTCGAGGTCGAGGCAAGGCCCAAAATGCCTGCAGCCCCAGCATCCTCATCCTCATCTTATTTTCCCAAAGAGCGGCGCAGTCGCAAAGTCCGAAGGCGGAACTCCGAGCGTTGCCAGATATCTCTGCCATATCATGCCTCTGCCGTGTAATTCCCAACTTGGTATTTAGGATGAACAAAAATTTAAAAAGCATCAACATAAATTTCCCGGAAAGTGATGCGTATTGTATATCATATTTTTGACCATAAAATATCGGTATTTTGGCCGAAACATTGGAAATAATAAGCCAAATAGGGAATGTCATACCTTTCTGGGCTCGTTATTAAATCCCCAATCGATTGCCATTGAAACCTGGAGACTTAATTTTTTGGCCATTTTTCGCAAAAATCATGATGATACCCCTTATCAAAAATGCGAAAATTGGGTCGAAAATTAATTTTTTCAATTCAGTCGGAAACTGCACTGATATTAGTTATAAGGTTGTTAGCTGCTCGAAACAGTGCGCCTTTTTGATTTGGGACCATTTTTGACCAAGTTACAGCAAAAAATCTATAATAAAATATCGATTTATTACCAAAAATCAAGATTCTGATTTTTCACCCCAAAAACAAACAGTATTTTGGCCAGAACAAAGAAAATAATGCTCCAAATATGGAAATCGATTGGCATTTGAACCTGGAAATTTTTTTCGCAAAAAATCATGATGGTACCCCTTATCAAAAATGCGAAAATTGGAAAAAAATTTAACTTTCCCAAAATCGCTAGTTTAGGTTGTTAGCTGTTCAAAACAGTCCGTCGCTTAACTTTCGGCCTTGATTTGTGGAAATTACGAATGAAAAACCCCACAAAAACTATTATTTTGGTCTAAAATTCTAATCCATATTTTCACGAGTTCCATCCTATTGCATCCCTGCTGACTGGGTGGCAACCCTGCCGATGGGTTTGGCACGCGTCAAGCATCCAGAAGAGAGAGGAAGAGAGTGATAGAGATTTGGTTGCGAGAGCAGGAATATTACGTATACGCTGCAGGAGGGCGTGTTACAGGCCGAACTGAAACGAAATCGAAATCAAGTCAATGGGTCTCTCTCTCTCTCTTTCTCTGTTTCGGTGACATTGACAGTGCTCGGTGGCTGCTCCGCTCCACTCCCCCTCCTCCCGCTCTGCATGTGTTGGAAAGCCGAGCGCACTTCGTCCTTTGTAGCTCGTGGAAGCTGCGGCAGACTCCGCTCTCCCGCTCTTCCTCTTGCTCTCCGGTCCTGGCTGCTGCGTGGATGTGGCCCGGGTTGGCAGTTTGGCTGTTTGGCTGTTTGGCAGTGCCATTCGGTGGCTCGTCGCAATCAGTCCGCAGAGCGCGCTCCGTTCCGTTCTGTCCTGTTCTGTTCTGTTCCGCTCGCTCCGTGTCGTTCGGTTCGCATCCGCATCCGCAGGAGCTGCCCAGCCGACGTCCAGAGTTTCGGTTTCGGTTTCAGTTTCAGCTTGCGTCTCCGTTTTCCACATTTAACTGAGAACTGAGCTGATCTGTGCTGAGCCTGGCTTGGCCACAAGCGGCTAAAACGAACTTGGGAACTGGGAACTTGAGACTGGACTAGACCTAGACTAGAACTTGACCCGGACTAGACCTAGACTGGACTAGACTAGACCCAAAAGTGAGCCTAGGATGCGAACGTAAACGTAAGCCATGCAGGAAATGCGACTCCACCCCTTTTGTCCACCCCCTTTGTCCACCCCGCCCATGTGCCAATCCGATTGTGTTTTGTTTTATAACAAAGGAAACAGCAACAGCAACAGCAAAAACAACAACAGTAGATATGGAAAAAGACAAAAAAAAAGAGGAAGGGGGTTGGGAGAGAAATAGAGAAATGGCGAAAAAAATATATCAGCAACAACAAAATAGATGAACTTTTTTCGTGGCTTTTTTTTAGCCTGTGTATGTGCCTGTTTCTGTGTATGTGTGTGTGTGTCTGTGTGAGGCTGCGTCGTCGTCATCGCTGCTGTCGTTGTAGTTGTATTTGTATTTGTGCGTGTCTTTGAATTTTTGGGTGTGGACTTGTTTCATGTTTCAGCTTCAGTCGCTGGCTTTCTCCCCCGTCACCCTCTCACCCCTTGCCACGAAAAACCCCACCCATGCTCAACCCACCCCCCCTCCGCTAGAAAAACTTTACGCCAAGTAGCAAAAACAACAACAGAAACAACCGCAGCAGCTACAACAACATCGTGTATAATAAAAATAATCACGGAAAAGTGCAATGGAGAAATGCAGTGGCACCCCCCAATCCCCCTTAACCCCCCTCAGCCGCAGCCTCTGCCTCAACGTCACTGTCACTCTTTATTTTGTTTTTGTTCAAGTGTTTGCAAGTGTGAGTGTGCCAATAACAACAACAACAATAGCCAAGTGCATCAAAAGTGCCGAAGGAAAACAGCGCGAAAGCAAAACAAAAGCCTCAACCCATCAGCCCATCAGCACACCCCCATCGCCCTGCCACGCCCCCCTGTGACACATTTTAATTAAGAGCCCGCAATGACAGACCCCCCTGCCACCCAACCACCCACTCGACACTCTACACCACTGCACCACCCACTCTGCACCACCCAACACCCAATCGCCCCAACAAGTTTGAGATTTTTATTATTATGAAATTTTCGCTAATTCGAGGCGGAAGGCCAAGCGAAGAAAAGCAGCCTTGGGCGGCTTTTGGCGCGCGGAGGAGGTGCCACGCCCCCTTTCTCCACATTCTAAATTCCACTTTTCACTCTCAACTTTCTCCCCGTTCGTCCTATTTTCGCCGTGTTCGAATGCTGCAGCTGCTGGAACGTAAACAAACCGAAAGCGAAAGAAAAGAGGTTGGGGGTAGGGGTTGGAAAAACATTTATCCACTGCATTTTTAACGAAATCGATGGGTTCCAATAGTTCTTAGTTTAATTTCTTATATTAGTTTAGGAACAACTCGTTGCGTTGATCTCTATCTTAAAGAATAAAGGATTGAAAATACAAACTTCCAGCTACCCTTATCTCTTGCATTCTCTTGTCATTTTCTTATATTCAGATCTAGATCTTGAGATGGAGATCCCATGCATCTCTTTCAAAGAAGATGATTAACAAATATTTACAAATATTTAATTTAGAAGTCTTTCTAACAAATCAGGAAAGTCAATCAGGAATGTGGACTATTAAAAACATTTAGTCCAAAGTTATCTGGGTTAATTGAATTGTTTTGTGGAAAATAAATCCTACAGATCCCAAAATAGAGTTAAATCTATCCGAAGAACTCCCCCAACAAGACTATTCCCGATTCCGGCTGTCTGAGAGATGAGTCCTCGGACTGCCGACTGCCGACTGAAGGTCAGCGGCCAAGGATGTTTGGGGGATGTGTGTTGCTAATGTGCAACTGCATCTCAGTCGGGAGCTGAAAACTTTTTGGTCTAAACACTGAACAACACAACACAAGCACGAGGCGGGGACAAAGTGCCACTGTGTTGCTTTCACCCTCTTCCTGTCCGTAGTTTTTGTTGTTGTTTCTATGAAACAACCCCCCTTCCCCCCCACGATGTCCTGTTGTTGTTGTTGCAGCGGGATTTGCATTCGGCCAACTTTGGGCAGCAAACTTTTGTTTGCTTGTTGTTTTGGCGGCAGAACAAGCCGAAACAAGGCTAAAGAGGGAGCTGATCTAATGAATTAGGTGCCAGCCAGAATCCGGGTGGAAAAATGAGGGGGGGTTGGAACACCAGGGACACCATCAGTGTCACAAAGATAACACGCAGTCATTTTTCACGCCTGGCGCACATTTTCTGGCCTTTTTTCCCGTTGAGGGGGCGACTGAGAAAAGAAAAATAAGGCAAATGTCGCAGGAACAAAGAAAAAGCGTTGACAGAAAACGTTTGGGCCAAACTAATAAGCAACCAGCCATGTTTTTCCCGAAAGGGAGGATAAGGAGGGGGTGACAGCGGTCGACGCACTGTCAAAAAAGACAGCTCCCCACCACCCACTGCCTCCTACCACCCACTCTACTCATCCAGTCATCCGTTTTGGCCTAAAGCTAACCCATTCGGAGCTGGCCAAACAAGGATCCGCTGGCTGGCAACGATAAAGCACGGCGAAAGTAAGGAAGGACCAGAAGCAGGAGAAGAAGGAGAAGGAGCAGAGAACACGGAATGGAAACACACAAATAAATAAATAGATTGCATTTGTGGGCGTGGTCAGCGGAACAGGGGAGAGAGAGGGACAGAGAGAGAGCAAGCCATGCTAAAAAGTAAATAACTGTCAAAGGGTTCAGCTGTGGGCTACGTGTGGGTACACTGCGCGAAAAGGGCTCGGTAATAGCAGAGGTAGCATAGGTTTAGTATAGTATACAACACAGAATAACACATTCCAAGGTTCTTGATTAACTTTCTCTATAAAATGCAGGCTATTCTTTTTCTAGGGTTTGGCAATATCAGAGCTAGCATAGGTATATCATAGTATAAAATAGAGAATATTATTTCTCAAGGTTCTTTATTAACTTTCTTATTGAAATATAGTGTTATCTTATTCTAGGGTTCGGTAATATCAGAGCTAGCATAGGTATATCATACTATACAACACAGAATGATAGGTTCTCAAGGTTCTTGATTAACTTTCTCAATAAAATATAGTATCCTCTCATCCAAAACCCCTATTTTCGCTCTGTGCACAAGTGCGGCTTCTTTTCCCAGTCTTATACACATACACATGTAGCTAAAGCTGTCCCCAAAGCAGCCGAGTATAGTAAATACAACTTGAGCCTAACCCAAAGATGTCCGGCAAAAGTCATAAACTCACACACACGCACACTCACGCACACTCGGGCGAAAGAGAGATGATGATAATGCCATTGTAACGGGACAAGCAACAACAGCAACAAAACGAGGAAGTGACGTTAACAAGAACAGCCAGAGCAACAAACATTTTCAATCAAAAGTTTAATACGCCGTGAATTCATTACACGTCCGATGAATGATGTAGCCCCCCTTCTCCCTCTTTCAAATAGGACACACCACCCCTGATAAGGCCGGAGGAAAGAGACAGAGAGAGGGGTCTATGAGCCACGTTACCCGGGATGTCTGTTATTTTGGTTTCTTTTCTCATAAGATACAATTTATTGCCGCCATCATGTACGAAAAGTACGAAACACATGTAGACACACACACACATAGACACATTTACGGCTATCCTAAGCACACACACACACACATACACAGAGAGAGAGATGAGCCTGGAGAAATGGAGAAGTGGAGAACTGCGGAGACAGTCGCAGAGGAGCCCATGACCTTCGGCGCCTTTGGCGGCCATTGCAGGCGTAGAAGGAGCAGAAGAAGGAGGACCTGAACCTTAGCCGAACGTCCTCCTCCTTCCCCTACCCCTGCTTATCCCCTTCCTTCCTTCCTTTCTTCATTCTTTTGTGCCTGCTTGGGCCCAACAAAGTAATCACTCTTTCCTGCGAACGAGCAGGCAGAAGGGCCAGAAAACGGCAGGAGCGCTTCCCCCGCTTATTGACAGCCAGGCAGCTAAGTGTCAAAACACAGTTTAAGCCAGACCAGAGGCTAAGCAAAAAAGCAAAAAAGAGAAGTTGGGAGGCAGACAGCCGACAACCGACAACCGACAAATTATAAGCCCAAACAGCTTCTGTTTGCCGCGCAGCCAAGAGATCCGAAAGGCGACGACCGCCACAACACGAAATGAAGTCGAGCAACTTGCTGACGCAGGAGCCAGGAACCCCTGCCCCTCCCCTTCTTTTCGCAGGGGGTGGAATTCGATGATGACACGAAGCCGCAGCAGGCGACGCCCAAAGCCAAAACTAGAGCTTTGGCGGTGCACACCGAGAAAAAAGAGAGGAAATGATGGTGCATTTAAGGGAAAAAGAACAAGAACAAGCTCCACCTAGCGGTCATTTTATTTTTTGCTCATAACTTTTTAATGGATTGTCCGATTTTAAAATTTTCTTCTACATTAATAAGCACAACAAAATGGTTAGAAATATATAATGTTCTGAAGCCACTTTCCTTAGTTAGAAGTAAGTTTACCTCCCTGACACAGACCGACTTTTTTCGGTGTACCAATAGCTACAAACAAAGGTCGAATTCGTGCCGGAAAGGCGGGATGAGATACAGGAAAACTACCAGCAGCCGCAATATGTGGGGATATTAATGATGATGACTATCATAATGGCAAGAAAGGGCGGGCAAGGGGAGGGGGTCAAACAAACCCTACTCTCGTACTCTGATGCCTGATTTCGGCTCTGTTTTTACTGCCGCCACTGGCAGCATTCAAAATTCAAAGTGAAAATTTCGCGAGCAATTGCCGCATTCCCTGCGGGAGGCGGAAGGAGGAAGGCAGGATCCAGAATACAGAATACAGAGTGTGTGTGGAGCTGCGATTATGCGGACCAATGTCGCATTTAATTTATGTAGAACGGCAGGCTGCGCGCAAATTGAATCCGAGTGAAAAACGAGGGGCGTTCGAAGGGTAAAGTACCCTGGGAAACAGAGAAACAGTGGAACAATACCTGCCATTAACGTAGCTCCTCGACATTCTCGCCCATTCAGCTCTCATTACAGCTGCAGGGAATATTTCCCGTCTTCCTTTGTACGAGGAAATTAATTCAAGGCACTTGATAATACATTTCTTGAGCAGGACCCTTGAAACACCCATCATTGCAGCTTCTTACTTACTTACTTAGTCGAGGGAGTGGAAAAGGCAGTGGAAGTGGAACCGGAAAAGTAGCACTAACACAGTGAGCACCTGCCACTGCCTCGTGCACAGTGGGGCAGAAGGGCTGCGAGCAGGAATCTCGTGATGCGCTCCACTGTTCTTGTTCCTCTTCCTGTTCCCGGCCATAACAAATTAGCAGCGGAAACGGAAATGGCGGAAAACGTCAACGACGAGTGTTGCCATTGCCATTGCTGCTGCAGATGTTGCTGTTTGGGAGTATATGTGCTGAAATGGAGGGGTTGGGGGTGGACGATTTTAGTGGGTACACAGTACATCTACATGGTTTCCCTGTTTGTCCCGTTTAAATTTAGCAATGCACAGCAGCCAATACAATCACAACAACTCCCCGGGGAAGCGAACAGAGGGCCAGGCAATCCATCCACACACCGATCAATATCCCCTCGAATATCGAATATATCAAATAGCAGCCCATCCCGGCCAGATGCACTAGAGACCAGCCGGAGCACGGAGCACCGAGCACCGGATCCCAGCGAACTCAAGTCCACAAGCCATGATGCCCAGTCGCGTCAAGCTGAAATCGGGGGGCAGGGATCGGGAGGAGGAGGAGTTACAGCCGAAGTCACAGTCCAACACTGCCAGTTACAGCCAGCACAATAGCAATAGCCATTCCCCGATCTCGATCTCGAACCCTCCGCCACTGCTGATCCTCCTCCTCCTGCTCGCTGTGCTCCTGCCCTCCTGCCACGCCCTCCGGCTGACCAACGGGGGCGGCAGCCTGAGCAAGGGCGCGGCGGCCAACAAGGAGCAGCTCAACATCGGCCTGATCGCCCCGCACACGAACTTCGGGAAGCGGGAGTACCTGCGGAGCATCAACAACGCGGTCACCGGACTCACGAAGACGCGCGGCGCCAAGTTGACCTTCCTCAAGGACTACTCCTTCGAGCAGAAGAACATCCACTTCGACATGATGTCGCTGACGCCCAGTCCCACAGGTGAGTGTCCTATGCTATATACTTCATTGCTTAACTTTTGCACGGGTATACTGTGTGTGTGCGGGGCAGAGAACGGGCAGAGCTGCTGACTTAAATGGATTTGTACACCTACTTACTTGCTAGTCGAGTGTGAAATTTGTTTATTGGCGGCACTGTGACCACGGGAGGTCACAGGTCACAGTTCACGACACCTGGCCGGCTCTTAATTGCGTGCGCATTTTTAATGGCCGTTCATTTGGAGCTACTTAAGCGCTTAACCCCCTTCGCCACCCACGACGACGGCGCAATAAAAGCGAGAATGAAAATTAAAATGAAAACGGGAATGGAAATGGGGAAGCGAAGAAAAAATGCGAGAACGCGGCGGACATAAATAAATGTCCATTCCTGGCCGGACTGTAATTAAACGCTGACAGAGTTGTCAACGCGATGTGGCAGGGTTGTCAGAGAGCGGCAAAAATAGAAATCAGGGGGAGGGCGGCAGAGTTGCCAAGTGCCTGTCGGCTTTGATTGAGTGACAAGCCGAATTCCCCATTATGTTCAGGGTTGCCAGGTTGCACAATGAGTTCTGCAATGGTTTTCGATGAAAATGTGACAGTCTAACCAAGTGCACAGATGCAAATGGGAAGCTTTTGGCATGGGGATCTGGAACAAACAAGCAGGTGGGAAGTGCTTGGGAGCCTCCAAAGCAGAGTTGTCACTCTGCCGGGCTGAGCGACAGCTCCGTGGTGCAAGTGACAGGATGGCAGGGTTGCCAGGTTACCCAATGTGATTGCAGCAATTTATGCCACCGCTCCTTCTTTCGCCCCGGTTCCTCTTTGATTGCACAAACCCGAAACCGAATTCCAGATTCCGTTTTGCAAGTGCAAAATTGCATTCGAGTGTCCATGTCTACAAATTGCATTCCCTGTGCCACATGCAACTGCCACGTTACTCGCATCGTGGCACAAAAATATGCAGAGTTATAAAAAGGGCGGTACTACTGCTGCGACTGGGAACTTAACGTCTCCGGGTGGAAAAGTGGGAGGTGGGAAGAAGACTGATTGCTCCCGGGTCAGCCATGTGCATGTGGATGTATATATGAGGCGGGTTCAGGGGCATATTGAAATTTTATGTTGCATTTCCACAATTCTGTTGGCCAAATTGATAAAGTAAACACACACGGAGAGCGGGAAATGGGGGGAAATGGGGAAAATGCGAGTGCAAACAAAACCCAAATGAATTTTCAATGATGTTTAAATGTTTATTATGGCCAGGACCTTGAGAACATGCCCGCATATCCATTTAGCTAGAGTCGAGTTGAGTATCTGTGTAGCTGAGTATCTGAGTATCTGTGTGTACGCAAATTACAACACATGGCAAACAAAGTCTGTCTGTCTGCGTCGGCTGATTGCCCCACCCCCTGTTTATACATATATGTTGGTCTATGGGGAATTTATAATGGATTTCTATAGCTTTCGCACCCACACACACTCGCTCAGTCGCATTGACAGGAGAACAGGGCTTGTTCAGTTGTTCAGACGATTGTTATTTCTCTCGACTGTCGAACAATAAACGCGTGGCTATGGATGTGGATGCTGCCTTGATTTCCCCCCCTTTTGCATCCGCCCTAGGTGGAAAACTTTGCCTTTCTTGACGCCTGATTGCACTCCCACTTTCACTTCCACTTCCATTTCCACTTCCACATTCCTGCCATTGATTGCTGGCCATAGTTTGGCCCGACTTGTGCCAGCAAATTCTATAATAATCGTATGGAAATTGAATTCCATTCAGCGGTCGTCCAGTTGAAGTTGACATCCAGTCATCCAGTCAACCAGTCATCTAGTCATCTGGTGATCCAACCCATTCACATTCCTCGTCGAGGACAAGAAGAACCTTCCTTCCATTTCAAGCAGTTGATGATTTTCTGTGCCAAAGTAATTTCATACAAAATTGTATTTACTTTAACCCCTAGACACAACAAACGATTACCAGGTCAGGTTCGGAGGCGTGGTGCTGAGTTGAGCTGTGTGTGCTTGCCCCTTTCTTGTGGCAGCCATAAACTTTGATGGCCTTATTATCGAGTTTGGCTCATTTGCGGCGATGGCGATGGAAAATGGTCCACAGCCAGGGAAAACGAGCCAAGGAGGCAGGACAATCACCCCAGTTGGAGGCTATATGGTCTAGTCCTTGGGGACAGGTAAAAACTATGTAATCCACACTTTGAAGGCAACATGACTGGGTAAAATCGAGTGGACAGCAACCTAATAATCGTTATCTCGGCTTTAGAGGGCCACATTATCACACTGACAGGTTAACCCCATTAACAAGTGCTATATGTATGTGCCATGTAATCTCGTTGCCAACGCTCCCCATTCCTTGACGCGTCCATTAGTATCTGCTCATCCGACTAATTTGCATTAATTGCATAACAATAGTAGCAGGGAAGCCAAATTGATGGGATAATTGAGCGTTTTGTGCAACCGAGCGAGTCGAAAACGGTGAGTTTCGCACATCCAAAGTGCAATGTCCAATGTTCGATTTCAATGTCGGCCATTCGGTCATTTGACCCATAACCCATAACTCCCGCCTATTGCTACATTGCTATATTGCTATGCCATACTACAACCCTCCTAATTGCAAATGGCAGTCGGTTGGTCGGGATGTTGGGTGCTGAGTGGAAAGGCACTTGAGCCGCACATCACCCACTATAACCCACTTTCACCCACTTTCAGCCGCTTTCATGGATGGATATCATCCATGCCGATGGCCACGTGGCTGTCAATGAGCGGATGATTGAATGAATGATCCCGCCAAGCTGAACTCGCCGCTTTGCCCACTTTGCTAAATGACATTTTAATTTGAAACGAACGGAAAGCGGCGAAACTTAGGAGCCCAGAAACTACGGAACCCACGTATCATATATCACTCCATTGTCAGTGGCCGACAACTCTGATCCCTGCCAGACGTAAGTCATTTTTCTTGTCATCCCTTTTGCTTTCCTCCCTGCTCTCCACTGCTTTATGGGGGGTCCTTTCAGCTGGGTCCTTTATTATTAGCCATTGAACTTGTGATTACTGGCCACCGACTGCAAGCGGCAACCGGCAACCGGCAATGAATGACCACCAGCGAATCAGCGATGTCAGCGCCGTTAACCTTGTTTACACCTTGTCTACATGGCAGCCCCCTTCGCATCCTTCACTCTCGCATTAATAAGCCGTTGTGGCCTGTTCCTGTCGTTAACTGCAAGCGCTTTCCACACCTGCCAGGTGGCAAAAGTGGCAACTGGACACCCCTAATGGCATTAGAGTGCAGCTCGGACAGCGAATCACGGGAGAGAGAAGGACCTACAGCCCCCTAGTTATTGACAACGTGCAAGTATTCGGCCCAAATTCATTCCCCCTTCCAAGAGTAGCAGACACAGGACATGCGTGTGTGCGAGCCAAGGGCAATCCTGCAGCATTGTGTCCTGCTACCGAAACAAGCCTCAAACAAATGGTCAGAAAGGCGGCTTTCAAGTGGGGGCAAATAAAAACGGCAAAGAAACGGACCCAAAGCCGGAGGCTAGGAAAAGGAGGAGGGACAGGATACGACAGGACAATGGAAATGTCCGAGGGGAGGAAGGGGAGGGCCAGATCCCCAGACATAGAGTCCTCGCCGCAGACACACTGGGGGAAAATGCCATCAATAAATGGTCCCTGTGCTCCCCAAGATAAATTGAACAGTTGCCTTCATTACCTTTTATAGTCAGCCATCTGGTGCAGTGCCATAAGTCACGGTTTATGACACTTATTACCAAATGGAGATATTCGGTAGCCAATCTGCATAAAATAAAGCGCTTGGGATGTGAAGGGAAATCAAACTAGAGAAAAAATTAATATATATATGATGGAGTCTGGAGAAACCAGTTTCGTTGGTCCTTCGAACCTTTAAAAATATGTAATCCCTAGAAAAAGTCACTTGTTTTTCGCAGTGCACTCGCACACAGATTTCTCATGCCTGCCCAAAAGAAGGAACCCAAATCATGTCGGAGTCCGAGAGACCGGGAGTCCCACTAATTGGCGCCGCCGAAAGAAGAAGCAGAGGGCCCGGCCTTGGAGTCACTGGCCAGGTCAAGAATGGCCCTCGGGCTTAGTCCTGCCACGCCCCACGACCTCTTCTCCCCCTGCTACTTGTGTACACAGGCTATCTGCTGGGAGACTTTTGAACTTGCTTCCCAGCCGCACTTTGAAGGAATGGAACCTCCTCCATTCGGTTTCGGGTTACAAACTATGAACTGCGCCCAGTCTGTTGACATCGCACACATGCCTGCGGCGACGGGCACGAATGGTTGGTCGGGGGGCCGTAAACAGTGGTCACTGCCGGGCAGACTAGACACAAAATGGACACTGAATTGCCTGATTCTGATTATACACGCTCAGCTGCTAATGATGGACCACTCAGGGCGGGGCAGGTTGAGGTCCTGCGAATTCAGAAGCAGCGAACTTGGAACTTGCAACTCAGAGCCGAGAACTCAGGCGAAACCACGCCTAATGGCCCAACTGGCCAAGTGGTTGCGGTTGTGGGTCAGGCAGCTCTGTGGTTTGGGTGCCAACACGCTCTTTTGGGGATAGGAGATGAAGATTGGAGATTGCAGATGGTAGGGGAGGTGGGATGCTCCCCAAGACTCTTAGGTTGCCGGGCTCCAGTCGCTGAAACCTTAGATGGCACAACAAAATGGGTTGAGCAGCGGAGACAACTACTTTGACGCATCACTTTGCACCAAAGTTTCACCTTCCCCAGCCAAGAACAAGTACAAGTACAAGTCCAAGCAGCCCTTTCTGAGCTCCTTGTCGTGCCAGCATCTGCGGAGTAATTTGACGTGGCTGTGAAGCTCGCGTCCTTCAGTGAAAATAAAGCTCCTGCTCAAGTGAATCAGATTTATTTCGATGCTAACACAAAACACGGAAATTCGACAACGTTGGATTATTGCACATCCAGTAGAAGATTTCCAATTTTACACAATTGTCTAGCTACATCTATAATTTATTTAAGGAATAGTAAAGTAAGGTACATACCTGGAGTGATTCTCGATGTCCTGTATTTTGGAGTCCAGTTCCAATATGACTTGTTCCAAGTAGCTTGTTGTATGTTTCTCGTTGATTGTTGAGCATTGGATCTGCAATTAATTGTCAGTCATTAAATGATTAATCTTTACTTTCTGGGTACTTAATATGAAATCTTGGGTTTTCCTTAGATGAAGATATGGATATATATTTTAAAGACATGGGAAAACATTAAGGAATTCAACGTAAGGCATGAGTCAGCTAAGCTGGCATAGTTGCTACTCGTAAGTGCATGCCACACATGTCTATATGTCTTTATGTCCTCAGGGCCCTTCCTATGCTACGGTGGCTGTAGGAAGTATAGTAAGTATGGTATGGGCACCTACACCTACTCCTCCCTCCTGTGTGCTGAATACTTCACGTGCAAAACTCATCTGACAAGAGCATGAAAAGCGAAAAATCATCTGGCAACACTTTGATATTCGATAAGATGTTTGGGCGCTTTCGTCGGCGCTTTCTCAGTGTCCTCGCTGTCCTTGCCGCTCCTATTCCCTCCATCTTTGTCGTCATGTGGGTTTCGAGGTAGAGTGGGTGGAAGTGGGAGTGGGAGTGGTGGGGCCCGTGACGTCAAGTTATAAAATATGAGGCAAGTTCCCGTCGCCCATCGCCCATCGCCCAAAAGCCTCGAGTTTAGTTTAGTTTGGTTCGTTTTGCTTTCCCTTAGTCCTTTGCTCCTGTCGCCGCTTCTTGTGTTGTTGTTATCCTGCCATGCATGGCATTTCCTTTTTATTGGCATGCCACGCCCATATCAGATGTAAGGGATACAAGGGGGGGATAAGTGCGTATGCGTCAGTCCGTAGGATGGTGATGAGGTCACAACTCTGTGCTGCAGAATTCGGAGTTGGGCTTAGTTGCCCTATATGCCACAGAAATTTCCACGAAATATTATTATAAATAATGAATTGGGGATTTTATTGCCCTTGAACCAGTTATTTACAAGCTGTTTCTGGCAACACCATTTATAAACCAATGTTTTATTGGAAAATATAAACTTCACAAGTCATTAGCGTCATAGGATGCATGTTAAACTGCCAATCCAAAATTGCAATTAGTTTTCAAGCCCGTCGATGCGATAGGAATAAGTGGGAATTGCTTAATAGGCCGGAATTATCACGGAAAATATTTAATTGTGTGCACAAGTTGCGGATTCGCTGGGCGCTAGCTTAGCTGGGAAACTTTTCCATCGATTGCGATGCGGGTTTCCGATTCAGATTCCCATATCTACTCCCACTCCCACTTCCACTCCCACTTTGCCCGTATTGGAGCTGCGAATCGAGTGTAATTCTGCATTATCGAGAATGCGACAGCTGCGACTCCTAATTGTGCTTTATGCCACTTCAGGCCGACTCCTGTAGGACGCGGATGCGGATGCGGATGCCAAGTTGTCCCTGTGCGCCCGAGATACACTTTCGAGGGCGGCTAGATTTATGTGCTGCCAGGGTGGAGGACGCGTGTCGGCGCTTTTTCCACTTGCCTGCGTCGAGCGTAATGTAAAAAGTTGCTCAGCAGCGGCCGGAGGATGCGGATGTGGGTGCGGATGTGAAGTGGTTGGGCGTCATACGCCCTGCACTCTATCACTTGCATTGTTGGCAACTTGTGATAACTTCCGATAAAAACGAAGGCAATTGAATGATGCTTAAATGAAATTAATGGATGTTATAATAAGTTGACGGTGGCAGTGGAATGGTGCAATTCACGCCCCATATTTCCACCTACCGCCCACCGCCTCCGCCCGCGGCTGCTGTCAAAGTAGACAAAGTCGAGCGAGGACGAATGCGAGGGGACTCTAAGACGGAGCCAAGTCACAGCTGACAGCTGTCAGCTGACTCGTGCCCTCCTGGCACAATGCTCCTCCCCCTGCGGAACTGCTCCTTTGGCAGTCAAATTGGGGCGGAGCTGTGTCAAAATTCAATTTGCACATTACAAAAAGCCAGCCCCCTCCTCCTTTCTCCTTTGTGGCAGCGCAATTTTCAACTTCCGCAGTCCTTCGGGGGCGCCACATTATAATTTCAGAGGGCCTTGACGTTACCTGCCATTTTACGCACTTCGGGCGTGGATTAATCCCAATGTGAGTGTGATTTCAGCCCATCAGACTGGCACACACTCGGCCACTCAGTCACAGGAGCCTGCAGAGGCCACAGGACCCAGAAGTCGACACTTGGTAATGCAATTACAGGGTGCCTAATGCACGCAATTAAATTGTTAATGGACGGGCCGGAGGAATCAAAAATGCTCCATTAAAACGAAATTAAATTTCCAGGGGGGCGGGCCTAATTCCGTTAAGTGAATTTCCATTCTCGGTTAAATGCGAACAAAGGTCTTCGGACCCCTCGCCTTCGCCTTGGCCCCTCGCATTCCAATCAAGCGTCGGACCATCGCCCATCGATCCATCATCCCGAGTGCGGTTGCCTAGGCTTGGTCCTTGGTCCTCCGACTATGCCCATGCCCATGCCCATCCAGCCTGCCATCCATCTGCGTATCTCCGCATCTATATATACATATCTGCGGCTTTGAATCCATCCGGGCGAGTCCCGACATGGAAATGGTAATTGAATGCAGGGACACTGCAAGACGTCTGCGGGCAGAAAGGAAAATTAGCAGACCTCTGACCTCCCCCGGCATTCCCTGTCCTCCCCTGGCATTCCCCAGCAGCTATGGAATGCAGAGAGCAGAAGTAAAGTGATGAAAAAGTTAATTAAACTTTTTGATGAGATTTCACATTTTGCCAAAGCATTGACAGAAGACTGACAGTCCTACAGGGGTGAAGATAGAACACAGAACACAGGGGTTATCGCACGTTCCCTAGGACTTGACAATGTCTTGTCATCGATTCTCCTCCAACCTCCTGGCTTCTGGCAAAACTTCCGAAATTGTCTTTGGTCACTGGCGAACAATGGCAACGGTTGCGAAATTCATGACACCCGCACCCGAAACCGCTTTTTCCGAGCCAACGGAGATTGCATATGAATTAATTAACATGTGGAGGGAGCTCCAGGCCCTTTAAGTAGGTCAATTAGCTAGGCTCGTGCGGCTGAAAAGAATCCGCGTCAATACCCAACCCCTAAAAGGCTCCCACTCACTCCACCGGGTAGCACCACCCAATCGTAAAACAAGTTCGGAAGGTGGCTAATCTGCAATTAATTGCCACACATCTGTACACAAGACACGCACGTGCTGAGATTGAGATTTTGATTGGGAGTGGTTTGGGATGGGGATGGGGATTGAGATTGAGATTGAGATTGGGACCAGAAGCTGTGAATGAGGTTGGGTACTCCCTTGTCAGTACTCCTGTTCACCTAGTTTAAATTTAGTTAATTTCTAGGACTCACCCCCTTGCTCTCCCTGTTCTCTTAGCCATCCTGAGCACCTTGTGCAAGGAATTCCTGCGCGTGAACGTCTCGGCCATCCTGTACATGATGAACAACGAACAGTTCGGCCACAGCACGGCCTCGGCGCAGTACTTCCTGCAGCTGGCCGGCTACCTGGGCATCCCGGTGATCTCGTGGAACGCCGACAACTCGGGCCTGGAGCGCCGGGCCTCCCAGTCGACGCTGCAGCTGCAGCTGGCGCCGAGCATCGAGCACCAGAGCGCCGCCATGCTGAGCATTTTGGAGCGCTACAAGTGGCACCAGTTCTCGGTGGTCACCTCGCAGATAGCCGGCCACGATGACTTCGTGCAGGCGGTGAGGGAGCGCGTGGCCGAGATGCAGGAGCACTTCAAGTTCACCATCCTCAACTCGATAGTGGTTACGCGCACCAGCGACCTGATGGAGCTGGTCAACAGCGAGGCACGCGTGATGCTGCTCTATGCCACGCAAACGGAGGCCATCACCATTCTGCGGGCCGCCGAGGAGATGAAGCTCACCGGGGAGAACTATGTGTGGGTGGTCAGCCAGTCGGTGATCGAGAAGAAGGACGCCCACTCGCAGTTCCCCGTCGGCATGCTGGGCGTCCACTTCGACACCTCCAGTGCGGCGCTGATGAACGAGATCTCCAATGCCATCAAGATCTACAGCTACGGCGTGGAGGCCTACCTCACGGACCCGGCCAATCGGGACCGCCGCCTCACCACCCAGTCGCTCTCCTGCGAGGACGAGGGTCGTGGTCGCTGGGACAACGGAGAAATGTAAGTGGTAGCACCTCCTTAGATCAGCGGATAGCCTGGTAGCATTAGTAGTTAGTAAATGAGGATCTCAGAACCAGTATTCTTTCAAAGGGTATCCTCTTAAGCTAACCGCGTCTCTTTGACTTCTTCAAGCTTCTTCAAGTACTTGCGCAACGTGTCCATCGAGGGGGACCTCAATAAGCCGAACATCGAGTTCACGGCTGACGGGGACCTGCGCTCGGCGGAGCTCAAGATCATGAATCTCCGGCCCAGCGCCAACAACAAGAACCTGGTGTGGGAGGAGGTAAGTGGAGGCTTTGCTCGCATGCTTTTCTCGATCCTTTCTCACTCTGCCTTATCCACAATCCACGAACCCATCCGATCCCGCACCAATCGATTTTGCACCGCTTTGTATTCACGATCCAATCCGATCCACCACTCCAATTGGGGCAGATTGGAGTGTGGAAGTCGTGGGAGACGCAGAAGCTGGACATCCGCGACATTGCGTGGCCCGGCAACTCGCACGCCCCGCCCCAGGGCGTGCCGGAGAAGTTCCATTTGAAGATCACATTCCTCGAAGAGGCACCCTATATCAATCTGTCGCCCGCGGACCCCGTGAGTGGCAAGTGCCTGATGGACCGCGGTGTGCTCTGCCGGGTGGCGGCCGACCACGAAATGGCCGCCGACATCGACGTGGGCCAGGCACACCGCAACGAGTCCTTCTACCAATGCTGCAGCGGCTTCTGCATCGATCTGCTCGAGAAGTTCGCCGAGGAGCTGGGCTTCACCTACGAGCTGGTGCGGGTCGAAGATGGTAAATGGGGTACCCTCGAGAATGGCAAGTGGAACGGCCTGATCGCCGACCTGGTCAACCGCAAGACGGACATGGTCCTCACCTCGCTGATGATCAACACGGAGCGGGAGGCGGTCGTCGACTTCTCCGAGCCCTTCATGGAGACGGGCATCGCCATCGTGGTGGCCAAGCGCACGGGCATCATCTCGCCCACGGCCTTCCTCGAGCCCTTCGACACGGCCTCCTGGATGCTGGTAAGTTGCTCTCTCCTGTTGCTCCCGTTGGTCGAAGTCTTCTTTCTCACTCCGGTAAGTGTTGCTCGTTCCTTTCTCCTGTGTGACCCTCGAATAGGTGGGCATCGTGGCCATCCAGGCGGCCACCTTCATGATCTTCCTCTTCGAGTGGCTCTCGCCCAGCGGCTACGACATGAAGCTCTACCTGCAGAACACCAACGTGACCCCGTACCGCTTCTCCCTCTTCCGCACCTACTGGCTGGTCTGGGCCGTCCTCTTCCAGGCCGCCGTCCACGTGGACTCGCCGCGCGGCTTCACCTCGCGCTTCATGACCAACGTGTGGGCCTTGTTCGCCGTGGTCTTCCTGGCCATCTACACTGCCAACCTGGCCGCCTTCATGATAACCAGGTGAGATTGATTGCGGGGATCCATTGCTTTATATCTCATCATTTGATTATCCCCCTAGGGAGGAGTTCCACGAGTTCAGCGGTCTCAACGACAGCCGTCTGGTGCATCCCTTCTCCCACAAGCCCTCCTTCAAGTTCGGCACCATCCCGTACAGCCACACGGACTCGACCATCCACAAGTACTTCAACGTCATGCACAACTACATGAGGCAGTAAGTGATGAAGTAATGGGGTCTCTCAGATCCTCCACTGATCGCTTATCCTGCAGGTACAACAAGACCAGCGTGGCCGACGGAGTGGCCGCCGTGCTCAACGGCAACCTGGACTCCTTCATCTACGACGGCACTGTGCTGGACTATCTGGTGGCCCAAGACGAGGACTGCCGGCTCATGACCGTGGGCAGCTGGTATGCGATGACGGGTAAGGGCTCCTCCTAATTTTTTTAATCTTTGCTGGGCATTAGCTTGTCATCCAGAGTTATTATCAAGTTAGTTCTTAGCCACACACAGCATCCATTAGCTTGTAAACTATGGCAACGACTTGGCTAAAAGTTAAAGCCTGTCAAATAATGGGTGGCAAAACTTTTCACTCTGGCCTCCTGCCGACACTCACTTGGCTCATGAACGATATTTGTAATATGCCGTTTAGACATGAACTTAAATTGGATTAGAGATAAAAGTTGTTATTTTCGGAGATTAAGGGGCACATAATGTTTATGGGTCCTATATAAAAAGGGAAATAATTATAGCTTCCAATTAAAGGCGGCATTTTGAGGTCTGTAATATTACGTTTCTGCGAATTCACAACTCAATTTGAGCCCGCTTTTTTGATATGTTTCGATGACTGTAATTTTTCCCTCCAGGCTACGGGCTGGCTTTCAGCCGCAACTCCAAGTACGTGCAGATGTTCAACAAGCGACTGCTCGAGTTCCGGGCCAACGGGGACCTGGAGCGGCTGCGGCGCTACTGGATGACGGGCACGTGCCGACCGGGGAAGCAGGAGCACAAGTCCTCCGATCCGCTGGCCCTCGAGCAGTTCCTGTCCGCCTTCCTGCTCCTGATGGCCGGCATCCTGCTGGCGGCCCTGCTGCTGCTGCTCGAGCACGTCTACTTCAAGTACATCCGCAAGCGGCTGGCCAAGAAGGACGGCGGCCACTGCTGTGCGCTCATCTCGCTCTCCATGGGCAAGTCGCTGACCTTCCGGGGCGCCGTCTTCGAGGCCACCGAGATCCTGAAGAAGCACCGCTGCAACGACCCCATCTGCGACACGCACCTCTGGAAGGTCAAGCACGAGCTGGACATGTCCCGCCTGCGGGTCCGCCAGCTGGAGAAGGTCATGGACAAGCACGGCATCAAGGCGCCGCAACTGAGGTGAGTTCAGCCTTGAAATCGAGATAACTCTCGAGAGCAATTTCGCCTTGATTTCTCTTTTATAAAATTGAGAACATTTGATCTTGGTGAGTTCAGTCTTGAAATCGAGATAACTTTCACCTCTCGAGAGCAATTTCGCCTTGATTTCTCTCGAATAAAATTGAGAACATTTTATCTTGGTTTTTTTCCGTTCTCATCGGGACTTAATCCACTTGTCCCTTGCAGGCTGGCCTCCTCCTCGGACCTGCTGAACCACCATCATCTGAAGGAGCGGCCGCCACTGCTGGGCAACCTGAGTCTCGCCGCCAGCGCACAAGATCTATACAGGTGGTAAGTTTTCTTTGTGCATGCCTTTTCCTGCACGACTCCCTGCACCCTTAGACGCTCCATCCCCCATCCTCCCGTGGCAGTAATTAAATTAAGCAATTGCTTGAGATAACATTCCAGCTCCGTGTTCAGTGTTCAGTGTTCTTTTTTTCCCGGGCCGAGACTCGTTACTGGCCACGCTAATGATGCCGGGCAGCTGCTACAACGCCCCATGTCGCCCCTTGGGGCATTTCTCTGCTTTCTGCCCTAATATAAATATATGGAAATGACTTTATTAAATTACTTTATCTCGGTTCCTGATTCAGCAGACAGACTCTCTGTGTGGGTTTGTGGTGTGTGGTCGATTTCCATTCCCCACTCTCTACAGCAGGGAGACAGTCCCTGGTTATAGTCTTTAGTTATAGCACAATTTCCGACAGTTCCTGTTGTCATTCACTCGGCCCTTGGACCTCGTTGCCATCCCTCCATCCCACCACACCATCATTCTACACAGGAGCTCTGCCTTTGTATGACGTGACTGTGGGGAGATTGTGTAGGTCCGTCCATTTGCATATCGTCCAGTCCACAACCTATTGTGGGGGGGTACTAGGTAATCGGATGTGGGAACGCTTTACGACCCTCCACAGTCCACAGTGGGCAACCCCTTGGCAGCAGGACCAGCAATTAACGGATCAGGGCGGCATCCACATTATCGTTTGCCTCTCCATCGGCATTGGGAGATTGCGAGCTGGCCAGCACCACCCCTGGTCAGCCAAGCAGTCAGTCAATCACTCACTCACTCTTTCATTCCGCCAACACAAACACAGTTTTGTGTGGGGCCAACACCTTTATCTGCGCTGCACCGCCACCTGGCCTCCCACCTCCTGCAGGGGTCGGTTTCTCCCCCGGTTGCACAGCTTAGGAGCGACTTTGTGGTGCTCCACTGGGGGGGTGCTCCATCCAAAGGGCCCAGCGGATTATAAATCTGTGCGGGACGATGGCAGTTCTGAGGTATAAAGGCTAAGCCGATTTAGTGCTGATCAGCCTGAATAGCCACTTTGGATGCCGCATTATCAAGTTAAATGTTTAGAGTTCGACCAAGAATGTAAAATATATATTTGGGGAACAAGTCCCAAAGCGCTCTTCCAATCCGTACGTGCTTGAGTTTTCCACGGTTGCCAGTTGACTTTCCTCCGTTTTCCTGCTCGATTTCATTGTTAGGGTGGCTGATTGTGGTTTATGGTGGTGCACACACCCTTTTAAGTAGGCTACGTATTTTTTTCATGTTGAAAATTTGAGTGCCGTAGGGTTTTCCCATATTTCCATCCACTGTATCGGCATGAGTGCTTAGGAGCACACAGAGACATTTGCAATAATTACTGAGAAGTAAACAGTCCGAGAGCTTTGCGGTTTTGGGGTGGAAAGAGGGTTCGGCCATGCCTACCGAACAGGTGGAGCGCTACTGCGGTTGTCCGTTCATGTGCGTGTCCGTTGTCCGTTGTCCGTGGTCCCTTGTCCTTTGCAATGCACGGTGTGTGCATTATGGCGTGCCAAGATTTATCCAACGCTGCGAACGGATAGTTATTTATGTCGGCTTTTGTTTCCCGACTTGGGTTTGCGTTTGGGTTTCAGGTACTCCCTGCATCCTCAATCCCACATTCTGCATGTGGCCATTGTGTGCATACACTTTGGGCTGCTCATCATTATGGATGGCAGCGAATCTGTTTCCTCAGGTTCCCGTGCTGACTTTTGGCTTTCATGTTAACCAGTTTACCTCCACCCCCTCCGCACAACGAAACTTTTCAGCGAATTGTGCAAATTAAGTTGGAGGAACCGAACGAGATCCGGATACGAATCCGCCCTGAAATTGTTAAGCAAAACACTCGTGTGGATGCACACGCTCTTTTGCAGTCCGCGGGGAAACCGTGGAAGGCATGGAAAACACTTCAAAGTCGAGCCCGAAAGTTTAGCATGAGGGGTGATAAATTGATGATGGATAACGGACAGCAATGATGCCCAGGGGAAGGCCAGGGAGTGCAACCCTTTATCGGAATGGAGCACCTGTCCGATCGTGTGACGGGCTCATCACGGGCACACACAGAACACAACCACCCCTTTTAAGCTTGATGATTCGCTTTTCGCATTTACTTTTTGGCACTAATTTATTTACATGCGAACCCTTGAGTGCTCCTCCCGTTGGACTCTGATTGATTGATGATGCCCAGGTCTTGGGTCCCTACTCCCTACTACCCATCCCCTATCCGCCTGCAATCCCATTCGTAGTTTCCGCTTTCCCCTCACCATTATGGCTAATGCTTTTGATTCTCGCCGGCAAACATCCTTGACACACATATCCGCATTTGTTGGCCATTGGAGCTGCCAGTTTTTCAGAGCCCATCCCACCTCCCACCCCCAAGAGAGCCTGATTACAATTTGTCACATTTTTCATTGGATGGCAGGCTAATTAGCATGTCCTGCACTTTATCCACTTTATCCGTTAAGCATGCTTGGTGTAAAGTAGCAGTAGCACATAGATGATATGTACATGTACACATCACTTTCCGAATCTTAACACTTGGGGCCACCCCCATTCTCGTTCTCGTTCTCTTTATCTCCTCTGTAAAACCCAAATGGATCGCAGGTCGTACAAGACGGAAATCGCCGAGATGGAGACGGTGCTCTGAAGCGTTTGGAGCTTTTCGAGCTGAAAGAGTATGATGATGATGATGGGGAGCTGCTACTCACGACGTTATTAGAGTTACTGGAGCCAAAAAGGCGATCCTACAGCGAGTACGTCTAATCAAAATCAACGTTTCAAATAAATGTAAACTGAAAGCTTTCGAAAGTTAGAGACAGGGAGATACGAGATAGCGAAGGAGAAAGAGAAATAGAACCCAAAGCGCCTCACGAAAACCGCACACAACTCGATGATCGATAATCGGTAGTCGATAATCGAGAATCAAGACGACGACAAACCTAAGAAACCCAGAACCCAGATATTTCCAGCCTAGGAAAAGAAATCCCAAAGATTGTATAAAGTTAAACTAAATGTAAAACAGTAAAACCAACAGTTAAACTAAATGGAACACGTGGAAGAGGAAGAAACAACCAAAAAGCAGCCGCCGCACGAGTATTTCATAAAATAAGTTTTAAACAAGATCAGAGGAAGAAGAAGAAGTAGAAGATTTAGAAGAGAGAGAAACTGGGGAGATCAACCGTTACATTTTTGGCGATTGAACTGTTAACCGTTAACAAGGAGAAGTTGAAGAAGGAGAAGAAGAAGATGGGGATTAGTACCCATCATGTTTGTATGTAATCCGTTTGATTGTTTGTGATTGTTGTTTCGTTTGTTGTCTTTTTTTGGATAGTAAATATATTTACGAAATCATATTAAAGTAAGCGTATGGCAAAGGGCAGTCACACACACATGCATACATACTACTAACTTGCATACATACACACAGACAAGCAGGCACTTGTTGCCACGCCCATTATTAAATATACACATTAACAGATTTATATGTATTTACCTTGCTATGATTACGATGATATAAATGTTATTGCATATACACGTACATATACATACATATACATTTAAAGAACGAAAAACAAGAAATATTTACATATGAATATACATGTATGTACGTAATTATATTTTTTCTGATTTTGATATAAGGAAATTGCTTATGTGCCGCTAACAAAAAGAAAACACAAAAAAAGAAGAGAAAAGAAGGAAACCCAAGAAGAATCAAAACGAAATTTTCATCTCGCTAGGAGATAATCACACACTAGGAGGCTTCACTTTAGTTGCTCCTTTCCGCTTTGCTGGGCATCTGCTTGCCAGCGTTCTTTTGTTTCACTCACATTCACTTTCATTTCGCTTGCTCGCCGAGAGAGAGAGAGAGCTAAGCCCACACCCCCCCTGCTAGTTCGACTCTCTTGCATGTGGCTCCAAACTAAAGTTAATGCAAACTCTCTCTCTCTCACAAGCCCCCTCCACAAACACACCCACACCCACAATCACAGACACACTCACCTAACTAGAAAGAGATAAAAAATATTTATAAATGTGCATTGTTGTTGTGGCGAGCAAAACGTGCTTAAATCAGATTTAAAGTAAATTTGAAATCGAATTAAATATGTACAAAGGTTAAACGATTAAACGCATGAACTAAAAAACGTGAAAACGACATACATAAATAATGAATGGAACTAAAACTAAACTAAACTTACTGAGGAAGAAGAAGAAGTATCGGAGGCGTTGTATTGTGTTGGTATTTGTTTATGTGTGTCTTCTAAATGTTTAGCGAGGATTACGGATTACGGTCTACGGATTACGGATTACCAATACTCAAAGCGCAAGCAAAACGTAAATGTAAACGAAACAAATTTAACTAACTAACTAATGCCACTTTAAACACAGACACACACACACTAGTACAGCAACCAAACACGCACGGCCCTTCAGCTGTGTGTGTGCTTCTTTGAGACTCTTTTTCGTTAACGTCATCTTTGTTCAATTAAACCGTTATACCGTTAAACCGTTATGTTCATCGCCCACGCCACCCACTCGCCGTTCAAAACGACGAGAGCGGTGCGAGCGAGACAGCAACTGCAACACAGCACTACAACTAGAACACTCGACTGACGGACTAACGAGTGACGAGTAACGACTAACCGAAACATCAGCGAGAGCTGACAACAACAAAAATAACAAAGACAAACAACAAGAACAATGTTAACAGCAAAAACAAGAAAACAAAACAAAGAAACTTATTGAGTTTTATTTGCAAAAGAGTGATTTTTTGTAGTGGAAATATTTTATACACAAGTTACGGATGATGATTCGAGCGGAGGTCATAGCGAAATGTTAATTATTACGTATATGTATATATTTTTTAAGACAAATTGTTCAAATTTATTATACGAGTACTACCAAACAAAGCGAGTCAAAACCGAAAGCTATGCCAAAAACTGGAAATCGATGTTGCAGACAACAATTTAGCATTAAAACGGTGGGGAGGGGGTAGAAGAGAAGGACTACGAAGGACTACGAAGGGAAGATGGCGAAGATGAGGAGCAGGGGAAGAGAAGTGAAAACAAAACCTTTACGGACAAATTAAAACAAGTAAAACAAGTTAACATTACATTATATAAGTAGTTAGTAATTTAAAACTAAAAACCCAAAGAAAATAAGCTAAACATCACGACAAATGATACAAAAAGCGAACAAAAAAAAGGTTTATGTATACAAAAAGATGTTTTTTTTAATATATTATTAATGTTATTAAGTTACGAGTGCGAATAACGAGCGTACACACACAGTCACACTGTCCAGACACCCACACCAACACGAATAACGAGTGCATTTTGTTAGGTGTTAAACATAAAACATACAAAACGAATGAGAAAAGAAACCAGAAAAAGAAAAGGAAAAGAAAAAAAGAAGAATCATAAACAAATCGAAATCGAATCAATTTTTAAACGCAAAGATATATGTATGTATCTCCTTGAACATAACGAATATCTGATTCTCAACCGAGTCAAGTCCACCGCCCACACCTGTCCACACCTGAGCGAAGGAGGGAGCGGGACGGAACGACGGCCGATCGATCGTATTTCAAGTTACTAAACTAACACGACACAATTTTTTAACCACGCCAGAGGATCCAGCGATCGAGCGACGAAGAAGCGTTTCACGTACATAAACTAAGCAAATGGAATATGCGTACATTGTTGTGGTAGTTACAGATACAGATGGCGAGGAGCATACACGTAAATTAAAATATAAACAAACCAACTTGCAATAAATGTGTATACAAAAGGTGTCGGGACTTTTATTTGGGGCGAATAAGTATTGTTAAATGAGCTACAAGGAATATCACTCATACGCACTGTTGCCTGTGCTCAGACAACTATTTTTTTCTAGGTGGCGTAGACTTAAAACCATTAATAAGTTTTAAGGCTCTCGTTATTTTAACTTTTGTTTAACCTAGACACGATTCGAAATAACTTATGTTTAACAAAACTCTAACTGGCATACGTGACGTATGAGTAATATACGAATAGTTTGAGCCTTTTGAAATCCAATTTTTGATTTTTAGAATACTACACCCAAAAAGAAAACCCAAAGTGTGAGTAAAAGATTATTTAAAAGCCGCCCTTAAATTTTACATTGTAAATTATTATGTATTACTGGAATAATACTCACTTAGGCATCAGCTGGGATCGGATGGACCAAACAAACGTAGCAAAATTATACATAATTTGGTAATTATTATTTGGATTGTTTGCGTTTTATCTCCATTAAAGGCATTCCAATTAGCACTGAAAATAAAAAAATATTTAATTAGATTAAATGTTTAAAAGTGATTACAAAACGCTAGAAATTAGTTTAAGTAAGCAGATCTGAGGTTAATCTTAAAATAAAAGAGTCAGTAAACCATATGTTGTACACATTATGTGTATGCAAATAGGCAAGTTATCTTATTGTTATCTTTAAATATTTCTTAGTAACTATTTTTAAAACAATTCAAACGAAGTGCGTGGTGAATTAAACCGAGTTTCAAACCTTTGGCTAAGTGATTTGCTAGTCGAGCTTAGCCGAGTCACCAACCGCATATTTGGCTGTTTGGTATTTTTGTGGTATATACTTTTGTAAGATGTGGCTGCGCACGCCAGAACGAAAAACGCCGTGACAGCGGAAAAGTATCGAAAAGCGACATCCGCGATGCCGACCGACTACTCTGCCATTTTGTCAAAACTCCCAGCGGCATCTAGACGTGAGTATTTCGAGTTCTCTGGTTTTTAACTGGAATCTAGCGAGATTGGCCCAGAAAAACAGAAGAAAACAAGCAATGGCACTTGCAGTGCCTTTAAAGGGTTTTCCCGCAACAGCGGGATTCCAGGCGATTCCAGTCGCACGTGGATCTGGTTTCCCTGGAACCGCTGCACTTTGAGGTTATGGACGACCACTAACACGCGTACTTTCGAATCACTTTCCCCAGGTCCGTAACTCTTTCCACGTTAACATGTCGGGAGGCTTAGATATTCTGTCCCTCAAGGAGGACGACATCACCAAGATGTTGGTGGCCACCACCCACCTGGGCTCCGAGAACGTCAACTTCCAGATGGAGCAGTACGTGTACAAGCGTCGCGCCGACGGAGTGAACATCCTCAATCTGGGCAAGACCTGGGAGAAGCTCCAGCTGGCGGCCCGCGCCATCGTGGCCATTGACACGCCCTCGGATGTGAGTATAAGATTACTGGTTATGGAATCTATGGGTTCCTTGGGTTACCCGCCAGGTGGCGTGGCTAACGTGATGAGTTTTTACTAATCTTTCGGGTATGAAATTCAATGATTTCAACTTCACCGCTGACCAGCCACGCCCCTTAGGCCCTCCGAACAAGGCTAATCCCCGCCAGAAAAGGTAGAACCATTTCTAATGAATCTCTATTCCCATCCCCGCCAGGTCTTCGTCATCTCGTCGCGTCCCATCGGCCAGCGCGCCGTGCTGAAGTTCGCCAAGTACACGGACACCACTCCCATCGCCGGCCGCTTCACGCCCGGTGCCTTCACCAACCAGATCCAGCCCGCCTTCCGCGAGCCCCGTCTGCTGGTGGTGACCGACCCCAACACCGATCACCAGCCCATCATGGAGGCCAGCTACGTGAACATCCCCGTGATCGCCTTCACCAACACCGATTCGCCGCTGCGCTACATCGACATTGCCATTCCGTGCAACAACAAGTCGGCGCACTCCATCGGCCTGATGTGGTGGCTCCTGGCCCGCGAGGTGCTCCGCCTGCGCGGCACCATCTCGCGCAGCGTCGAGTGGCCCGTGGTCGTCGACCTGTTCTTCTACCGCGACCCCGAGGAGGCCGAGAAGGAGGAGGCCGCCGCCAAGGAGCTGCTGCCGCCACCAAAGATCGAGGAGGCCGTCGACCATCCCGTCGAGGAGACCACCAACTGGGCCGATGAGGTGGCCGCCGAGACCGTTGGCGGAGTGGAGGACTGGAACGAGGACACCGTCAAGACCTCCTGGGGCAGCGATGGCCAGTTCTAAGGAGTCCGCATCTGAATTCGATCAGAAGGCGTAAATAAACAGCCCTTGTTTATATCTAAGCACCACGTGTTTTTTATTTTTGTGCTGAATGGCTAGAGATGCCTTCTATGTGTATTCTTTAATTGGGAAATCTATAAATATTATAGCCCTTCATTCATTATTTTGGTTTCGTAGTATGCCATAGACTTTTGGATTCATTCATTTATATTTATATTTAGAATAGATTGAATGACTCCAGTTTATTTTTAATGAATGAATTTAGGAGACCTACATAAATTTGTCAGAATATTTTTTTGGTTTCCATTGAGAACAAATAGTTGAAAAAACATGAAACAAAAAATGTTATCCCACATGGTGCATAAAATTCAGGCAGTTTGAGTCACTAAGTTATGATTTTGTACTTTGAAATGAATGCCACTGAGTCTCAAACTAATAATACAAATTCATTCATAAAACTTAATTCAAATTAATTCATTGGCACTAGAAAAAACTATTTATTGAATGCATTCATTTAGGGGTAAAATCAGTATAGATATATATATATATAGATACTTCTGTACTCCTGGATATCAAGCATTTCTTCACGTGATTTTGCGCGTGGCTTCTGCCCTATGATTAATAATTGAATCACAATAATGAGACGTGATTAAAGACATAAACTTAATCAACTAGGTTATTAGAGTTTCCCCCAGAGCAAAGTTATTGAGATTTCTTGAGAACTAAGTAGTTCGTTCCTCTTCTCATTTGAAGTAGGAGTGAACAGATAGCATGGAGTATAAAGTCGCCTCTCGAATTAGAGGGAGAAGGCGAGCCCTCCATTCTGAATCTCAAATAGATAGACAGTCTTTTGTTCAATTTACAGTATTAATTTATTGTTTTTTTCGGCTTTGTACATATAGAAAACAGTTAATGATCGCAATTGCAAATTGCTTATATTGTATACATATCCATATAGTTAAATCCTCCCGCCAAACGCCAAACATACGATTTTAGTGGTTTCTTCAGTGGTCCATCCGCCAGAAAAGGAAACGAAATAGGCGTAAAATGAATGTTAGAGACAAAAATAGTGTTAATGTGGTAAAACTATGTGTGTGGACACGTTAATGTTGCAGAGCGGCGACTTTACATCATTCGAAATTTGGACAGAATCAAATGTTTTTGGTAGTCGTCGCCTGGTTCTCCCTCGAGCACTATTTAAATGGATTGGGACGCGCCTTGAAAAGGGTCATCTTGCGTATCTCCTTGATCTCCTCCTGCTCGCATCGCTTCCGTTGTTCGTCTTGCTGCAAATTTGAAAGGGAGATGGGATTATTGTATTAAGAGGAGTGACATTGCATTCTAATTGGGCTGGGATGACTGGCCGCCTGACTCATCCGGCTCCTCCGCTGGCCATCTAACCCTATCGGTTCCGCTGAGTCACGGCGGCGGTTTCAGTTTTCAGTTTCAGCCCGATAAGCCGGCCTTGTGCGGCTACGGGGAACATCACAGCCTGTATATCTGTGTCTGCTTGTTTGCCAGCGCAAATGGAGCAGCAGCAGCAGCGGCAGCAGCCGCAGCTGATAAGATTATCGGAAAACGGAAAGCGAGCAAAGAGAAGGAAGGTCGCAGTCACGAGAACTTAACATACTACTAGCTGAAAACCCAGCCAAGATCAGGATACTAAGCAGGGGCTATCTACCATAATCACTTGCTGTGTGGTCCGCTCAACAGTTGCTGCCCATCGTCGCCACGGCAGCCGGCGTGCTCTGGACGCCCTGAACCCCCGGCGGAGCCTCTGAGGTGGCGGAGGAGGGCGACGCTATCGTCGAGGAGTCGTCGGCGGCGGAGAGCACGCTGTTGTCGCCGTAGAAGCGCGGCTCGTCGTGCGACTCGCCGCCCGGGGAGGCGGTCTCCTCGTCGGAGTCCTCGTCGTTGGAGCTGTCGCCGGCCGTGGTGTTGAGCTTGTTGCCTCCAGCGGCGGCGGCGGCGGAGGCGCCCGAGTCCTCGCTGCTCGGCACCTGCTTCAGCCGCTCGTAGCAGGCGTCGCAGACGCGCAGCGCCTTGGTGCTCTGCTGCGGCAGCAGGAACTTCTTCGAGGAGCAGCCGGCGCAGACGACGGCGCCGCAGTTGCGGCAGTGGTGCCGCCGCTGGATGAAGGTGAACTGCGTCCGCTTGCAGTGCATGCAGACGCTGGCCTCGGTGTCGGGCACCCAGACGGCGGCGTGGTTCTCCACCGGCTTCTTGCCGCTCTTGCGCAGCAGGTCCTCCACGCACTTGTTGATGTGCGCCATCCACTCCTGCTTCTCGGTGCTCGTGGCCGCGAAGACCACGAACGACTTGGTCGTGGTGCGGATGTACCAGCCGTTCCGGTACGCCTGATTGTCGGCTATCGACTCCAGCGAGACCTCCTCCAGCGGCATGATGTGCTGCTTGTTGTACTTCTTCTTCCCGATCACGATGTTGCCGTACACCAGGATGTCGTTGAAGAGGAAGAACTGCCGGGATTTGGGCCTTTTCCGGCACATCTTGGTCAGGACGCCCTCGCCGACGAGGACGCGGCCCTGCATGGCCAGCGGGACGCCGGAGCTGCCGAAGCAGCTCTCCACGGAGGCGATGCGCCGGGTGTTGGCCTCCGAGTTCACCAGGCGGTCCACCATTATTCTGCTTTGGGGGAAAGTATTCAAACTCTATTCAATCTGACTTCGAATCCGACTCCGAATCCGTTTCCCACCTGAACTCCGAATTTCGAATTTCGAAGAGCAGCCAACTGTGACGACAGACTCTCTGTGTGAGTGTGTGTGTGCTGTATCGGCCTGTAGGTGTGCGTGTGTGGTGTGACACTCGGTGCCACTGCTCCTGTGCAAGTGTGCGTGTGTGGGCTGCTCCTCCTGTTCTCCCTGCTCCTCCTGTCGGGGATCACCTTTCAGATCCTGGAATGCAATGGATCCGACTGCTCCCGCTTTATGCAATGCACGTCGCCCAACTGCTCAACTGGTTAACTGGCTTTTTCTACGCCGTCCGAGTCCGAAACGTCATGACTCACTCACACCACGGCAGCAACAAAAACAAACTGAACTCGGGCTCTCCTCTCCTCTCTCGCTCTCTCTTTCTGCTGCTCCCTGGGAATCGGTGGCTTCCTTGGGCACTGGGCACTGGGCAACTGGTGGCGCTTGGAGATCGAGATCTCTATTGCAATCTTTTGTTTTAGTTTCGTTCCTCGGCTGCAGGAAGCGGGGGCAACAACAACAACGGTTGGCCAGCAAATACGTTATTTTTCCCAGAGCGCAGTGTGACCGCACACGGATCGCGACTTAATACCGCGAACCGAACCGAACTAGTGTTGCAAAACACCGCACTGCGCGAGGGCGAGCCAGTTTCAAACGTAACGGCCTACAGTGGGCACTCGAAGGGGGAAACAAGGCACAATTTTCACTGTTTTCGTGTACTTTTAACTAACAAGTTGTAATATCTCAGATGAGTTCTAAATGAAAGCCTAGGAGACCGAAAATAATATTCCAAATTTGCTTGAATTTAGAAATATTTCTCTTGGTAATGTTCTTGCATTGGACCGCGCACTGTACGTATTCTCACAAACATTTATTACAGGAAAAAAATAAATATATATTTAAAATAAGCCTCTTTCGACAAGAGACAGAACAAGGGATTATCAAAAATCCTACGCTATTTAAAATCCTCACTGAGACTTAAGAGCTATTAGGACTATGAGAACTCTTTACCTCCTTCTTCTTCTGATCCTGGCCCACCTGCACGGCGGCGTCGAACTCTCGGCGGTCGCGCACGCGCTGCTCGCTGCGGAGATGGAAGGGCGCGAAGCGGGTGGCTCCTGCAGCTCCAGGACGCTGTCCCTGGCGCTCCTGCTGCTGGTGGTTCTGATCCTTATGCACCCGGCCGTGCCAGGGCTTCACTGCCTCGGGCGTCACGGGCACGGTGATCCTGTGCGTGACCACCAGCTCGTCCATGCGCCTGTGCATCGCCCTGAAGTTGGGCATGGGTCGGCTGTGGAACTGGCGCGCCTTCTTGTCCTCCTCGGAGCGCCTGCGCATCGCCTCCTGCCGCTTTCCCTCGTACAGGGCCTTGAATTGGTAGGCCTTGGGCGTGGCCAGGGCGGCAGAGGCGCCTGCTGCTCCTCCTCCTGCTGCTCCTGCATGCTCCCTGTGATGGTGGGCCATGGGAGTCCACTGCAGACGCAGCTTGGCGGCGACCCCAGGCGGATGGGCTGCCTGGTGGACCAGGTGCTGGTCGGCCTCCGTCAGGTGCTCCTCCTCCTCGTCAGCGTCCTCGTTCCAGATGAGGGGAACTATGTGTTCTTCAGCCTGATCAACTGGCATTTCGGGCTTCAGCTCCTGTGGCTCCGATTTGAGTTTAATTTCGTGATCCTCAGGGGGATCTTGCTGCTCCTGGACGAGATCCTGGGCATCTCTAGGAGGCTCCTCTGTTTCGATACTCTTCTGTGGAGTGGAAAGGATCTCGGGCTTCAGCTCCTGGGGCTCCGTTTTGAGTTCCTCCTTGGTGCTGATCTTCTGGGGCGTGGGACAGGCGAGGAGGTAGGTGGCATTGACATTGCTGAGGCGCCTGTTGTTCTCCTTGTTGGCCGCTGCTGCTGGGAAATGCGGAAAATCAGGGAAAGTCAGGGACGACCAAAAATGGCGCCATTTGCCGGCTTGGCTTGGCGGCCTACGCACCGAAAAAGTTCTGCGAGTGATCCAACTGGTAGTCGCCCACGTTGATGGCGTCCCAGTCGAAGTCCGGCTTGTCCAAAGTTTCCTTCAGGGAGTCCATGGCGAGTAAAACAACACAACACACAACAGAACAATTTAATTCAAAAGCAAATCGCGTCTGAGATGCGCAAATCGATTGCCGCGTTTTACAGCACTGACTTTGTAACTCTCACGATACTTATCGATTGTTATCGGGCCGCGGGCTATTTTAAATATATTCAGTAAATATTTAACTTATTAAAACATGGCAAGCCATATTTATCACTTAACTATGTTTAAAAATTGTTAAAATCTTCATTTCAAAATAAAGCAGTTATCGTTTTCACTGGCAAAATTTCTTACACTTTATATCAATTTCAAAGTATTTTCAAATTAATTTTGATGGAAATTAATAATACAAATTTGACACAAGCGTAAACTTACCTGATATTCACAAGTTTTAATTTCATTCCAAGTTGAAGGTCCAAAGCTCCTTTCAAAGCTTTCTCCCAAAGGAAAAGATGTTCGCTAAACGGGAAAACCCCTTCAAAGTCCTTTCAAAGTCCCCGTGCAAGTTTTGGCTGAAAGCTGCGCTTCAGTTGGCGGCCAAATGGCAGGATTACACAGGTTGCAGGATAGTCCGTGCTGGGCAGCGCATGGCAACAGGTCGGGCAGCGCATCGCCCGCATCCGGAGCCACATCCTCGGAATCTCAATCTGAATCGAGATTCAGTCGAGTCGAGTTTGTTTTCGTTTTGGCAGCAAATCATCGAAAGTCGGGGGAACGAACTCCCGGGCAGACGAATTGCGCGCGCTAAAAATAACGGTTGCCCGCCTAATCCTTCAATCCTCCAAGCCTCCAATCCTCCAGCATCCTTCATCCTTCATCCTTGGAGTGCCGAAACCCCGTTTTTTTTTGGCGGGCGTTGGGGCGGAAATGCGTGCCGCGCCTCTGCAATTAGCAATTAGCCGGATCCGGTGAGCAGGTGAGCCGAATCAGGTTGCCTATTTTTAAGTCCTGCAGGCTGCAGCACACACTGAAAAAAAAGAACGTGTGGATGTGAGTGTGGATGTGAATGTGGCTGTAGTTAATTACGGGCCAGCTTTAATTGGAAGCTGTCCTTGGCCTTGTCCTTGCTTTTGTTTTTGTTTCTGTTTCTGATTCTGACCAACAAGTGCAGGCAGCGCAGCCTTGAATTCAGACCTCGTGGTTTTGGTTTCGGTTGCTCTGCTTCTCCCCCTCCCCGAAGGGGGCGCCTATTTCCGTTTCCGTTTCCACCTGAGCCCAATAAGATCTTGCGAATCAATAAAGGTTTAAAATTAACCGTCAGCCTAGCGAGAGAGAGATGGCGATAGCTGTCCTGTGCGTGCATGCTAATTCGATTGGCTCTTTGCTCCTCTCTCTCCTGCTGCGTCCCTTCTTCCATAACTGTAACTTAACTTGTGCGTGCGAGCGGGAGAGCGGAAGTGGGGGGACAGATGGCCGGATATGGAAGCGGGAGGGGGAGACAGGGACAGGAGACAGCAGGCAGCAGGCGGAAGCGAGAGGAAATTAGATTACAAGACATCAGCAAAGGATTCCATTGAGAGCTGCACGGGTAGCCACTTACTTACTTACATACTTACATGCGTATGTACTTCGATCTCTGCTCTGTCGCTCTGTTGTTCTTGTTCCCTTCCAGTGGCGGAGGGGGAGTGCCCCCCGTTGTCTAGCAACCACTACAACCGCAGGCGGAGTCCATAATCCGATTAGTGCGAGGGGGAGGCCAGATTGCAGGGAAGCCGATGCTGCAAGCTGCCTCCCTTCCACTCCCACTCGCTAGCCACTCTCTTCAGCATTTGCCGTTAGTCTAATTAGCGAGGTGGGAGAGAGACGGAGAGGGGGAGTGCATTCCTGAGCGGCCCTTTGTTGTTGCCCTCTTCTTTTATCACGAGTGCCCTACATACCGTTTTAACCTTCGCTTCCAGCGGGAATGCTCGAAATCTCGATCGGTTTGTTTGATGTAAGGCAACCGCACAAAAAAAGGAAGGAAAAGGGAGTCCCACAAAACACAAAATTTCGCAAAGAACGAGACAGAAAATCAATAAATCGGGATTTAATGAGTTTCAAATATTTGCCACCGTACGGGGATGTGTGTGTGTGGGGTAGTATTATTGGGGATGGAAGTGGGTGGAGGGAACACCCTTATGAAGATGGCTCCCGACTTGAGTGCCCCTCCTCTCCTCTCCTCTCCTCCGTCCCTGTCACTCTAAGCCCGGGCTTACACAAAAGCAGAGAAAGAGGAAGGGGAAGAGGAGGAGGCCAGAAAACCTTCACCCAGGAAAGCTCCAGCGCAGACCGCTCATTTGACTACCCACTTCCAGGCGGACAAGATGCGTCCGCTGTCCTGAACTCAGAGCAACCAGAGAATCAGAGAACCAGAAGCCAGAATGACGGGCGCCAATATCGACTACGACTACCTGCTCAAGTTCCTGGTCCTCGGGGACTCCGGCGTGGGCAAAACCTGCCTGCTCTACCAGTACACGGACGGCCGGTTCCACACCCAGTTCATCTCCACCGTGGGCATCGACTTCCGCGAGAAGCGACTGGTGAGTGAAGTGGATCCGTTGATCCTAGGAACCTTATGTATTCCATATTATATTAGATACGAGATTTAGGATTTCAGTAATAATCCATTAAAAAATCTTTTTAAAGCGAGAAAAACTTGTTGAATATTAATTTTCTTCAATTTCCTTGGTAAAATGTGCTCTATCTTAAAGATTACCTTACGAAACTAGAATTTCTTTGAAAATACAGACTCTTTGTTGATTATTTAGTATAGGTGATGAAATAAAATATTATCATCCATTGCTTAGTTAAGATTCCCATTTATAAATATGCCCTCTAGGGTCTGCCCTTCAGAATCCATCACTCATACGCACTGTTGCCTTCGATTAAAAAGTTATTTTAATCCAAGTGGCGTAAGTTTTAATCATATTTTTGTTTTTTTGCTCCCTTTTTTTAAACCATTTAATCAAAGAAGGTTAGTAATGGGAGAACCATATTTTTAAACCAAATGATAATTGTCACACATGTCGTATGTGTAATTTTTAAGCAATTTTGAAGACCATTTTGCAATTACAATTTTTCAACTTGTAAGTACAAGATCTACCAGATTTATTTATTTTGGACCACCATTATCATTGTGAAATAATAAAATAGTGTTCCCCCTAGAAAATGAACTACTAGACTTAAGTATTATATATTTTGGACCATCCTTATCACTGTGAAAAGTTAAAATAGTGCTCCCCCTTAACCTGACATGATCTTTTCTATAGTATACACACCTACCTTGCAGTTGTACAACTCCCGCGGGCGGCGGCACCGCATCCACCTGCAGATCTGGGACACCGCCGGCCAGGAGCGCTTCCGGTCGCTGACGACGGCCTTCTACCGGGACGCCATGGGCTTCCTGCTGATCTTCGACCTGACCAGCGAGAAGAGCTTCCTGGAGACGGCCAACTGGCTGTCGCAGCTGCGGACGCACGCCTACTCGGAGGACCCCGACGTGGTGCTCTGCGGCAACAAGTGCGACCTGCTGCAGCTGCGCGTGGTGAGCCGCGACCAGGTGGCGGCGCTCTGCCGGCGCTACCGGCTGCCCTACATCGAGACGAGCGCCTGCACCGGGGCGAATGTGAAGGAGGCCGTCGAGCTGCTCGTGGGCCGCGTCATGGAGCGGATCGAGAACGCGGCCTGCAACCGGGAGTTCTCCCTGCTGCTCACCCAGTCGCGCTGCCTCCCGAACATCGCCTACGGGCAGCCGGATGACCTGCTGCGCCTCCACGAGCGGCGGGAGGAGGCCCCCCAGCGGCGGGGGAACTGCCGCAACTGCTAACTAACTAAGCTAGATGGGATCGGATATACCATCTCGCCCTGCTTTGTTCCTTCTGTCTCGTTTCTGTCTTGAATCTAAGTGTGTTTCGCTGTAAATAAATGTTGATTGTTGAGTGGAAGGGAAAGTTCTTATTACCACAGCTCATTTGTTGAGATAAGAGATCAAAGTCTTGTGAAACTCGCTCGGTTTTCGGGTGGGGGTAGTTAGCCCCCGAAACCCCACTGGCTGCGCCCCTGAAAACTCTGCAGATTTATAGATAACAGCTACATACGTTGGTATCTCTAAAGATATTACATATTTCAAATGAGTAATTCGGTAGATAGGTCTACAAAAATACATGATATGATATGATATAACACATAGATCGATTTTACATTTTGTAATATCAATTTCAACTTGATATGCGGCCAGGTAAAGTTAATATGGTCGAAACTTGTATTTCATGTAAAAACGATATGGGTTTGGCATAACCAGAAATCTACATGATCATATCGATTTTTAGTAAATTAAAATTTCTTAAAAATAATCATAATAGTTAATTTAGTTAGTGATTTAGTTATAGCTTCACCAGGCACTCCAGAAATGAGCTAGTTCTAAGAGAGCACCACTGATCAGGAGCCATCCCGGACTGATCCTGGCCAGCGCGGACCCGCTGCGCTCCTCGATCCACTGGCGATAGTACTCCACGTCCACATAGACGCCCGGCAGTCCCGGCTCCGCGCAGCCGTAGCCCCACGAGACCACGCCCACCAGCCGCCCCTCGTGGACCAGCGGACCGCCGGAGTCGCCCTGGCAGGAGTCGGTGCCGCCCTGCAGCCGCCCGGCGCACATCATCCCGGGCAGCAGGCCGCTCCTGTAGATCATGCGGCAGGTCTGGTGCCGTATGGTGCTCACATTGGCCGTCAGCAGGACGTTGGACAGGGAGCTCTGCTCCGTGCGTCCCCAGCCGGCCACCTGGCACAGCCTCCCGGGCGGAGTGACCTGCCCCGCCAGCTGAATGGGCGCCACAGTGAGGTGGCCGGGAGGTTGCCCTAAGCGCAGGATGAGGAGGCCCACGTCGTCGCGCATGCTGTCCGGACTGAAGGTGTGCATGTAGGCCATGGAGTCCACCGGCGAGACGATGGTGCCGTTGCGCCGCTCAAAGCGGTTCAGCGTGCCCAGGACCACGACGAACTCGCTGGCCCGGCGAAAGCGCTTTCTCTGATTGCTGTTTATTAAGGAGGAGGCTGGGTTGACTTGGAAGGCAGATAGATCACTTCGCTAGACTCACTTGTACAGGCAGTGGGCGGCGGTGAGGACCTTTCTGGGCGCAATCAAAGCCCCGCCGCAGATGTGGCCACTGCCGAAGTTGTTGTCGTGCCGCAGCAGGCGAATGGAGACCAGGTGGCGCGTCTCCTCCGTCCTGGCCAGGCTCCCATTGATGATCCTCGCCTGGTGATGGTCCTTCTCCTTGGCGGCCCCGCAGGTGAGGAGGCAGAGGAGCCAAAAGAGCAGCAGCCGAGTCATCGCAGATCGCAGGTGAGAAGAAACTGTCGTCGGAATCTAGAGACTGGAGCCCAACAATTGGCAATCAGCGGCCGCGCTATCAGTTCGATAAGGCAAACATATTATTCATCATGGGGAACAAGCTGCTGGGAGGGAAAATGATACATATCTCAACTTTCGGAAGTACAAGTAATACGTTTAATTTGATATGTCTTTACACCAGTTGGCTTATAAAAGCTTATAGCCATTAAATTGGCTGATCAACATAATAAACTCTTTAAGTCATTTTAAAAAAAAAAAAAAAAGGCTTATAAAAGGGCATCGTCTAGCTTTGAGCCTGGGCTAAAGTGATTGGAAATGTAAACAGAAAATAGTTCTGGTCTTAGTTTAAACTACATGTGCTAGTAAATACAATTAAAAAATGGAGACGGAGACGAGTTCGTGTATAAATACGTAGATATTCGATGGTTAAGGCCAGCTAAGGTCAATTTGGACGGCGTCGGTTGCGCAGATACGAGATTGCTTGTGGAAACTTAGGCCTAGGAAGTGGAATGCATTCATATGTAACCCTGCAGGCTGCGCGACTGGCTGTGGTGGTGGCGCGGCGGCTGGTAGCCCGGCTCCTGCATCTCCATCTGCATGACCAGGTTCTTCTGCTCGCCGCGGGCCTCGTAGGCCTGCCGGGCCTCGCGCTGCAGGATGAGGGCGGCCAGGCCGAGGAGCATGAAGGTGACCACGGCGAGGGCGTAGGACCAGCCGAGCACGTTGAACTTGGGGTACATCATCCAGTCGCGGCGGTAGGCGCAGCCCCCGAAGATGCAGACGGCCAGGAACATGAAGAGGGCTGGAGGAAATTTAAATATACAGGTTTTAGGATTACATTAAGGCTGGGATAATCAGCAATACGCACAGGAGACGCCGGTGCCCAAGAAGGAGAGCCGCACGAGCAGCCACTCGTACTGCAGCACGGGCTTCAGCGGCAGCCGGATGATGGTCAGCGAGAGCAGGGCCAGCACGAGGAAGACGATGATGAAGGACATGGTCACGAAGCCCTGCACGGCCATCAGCCAGCCGGGCAGCAGGTACTCCCGGATCACATAGTAGTCCTAAAATAGGGGGAAAAGGTAACTAAATAGAGGAATCTGATGAGAAAAAAGGGCGCGGCTTAAGCTCACGTGCGAGAAGATGTTGTGGCAGCCGTTGAACTGCTTGGGGAACTGGTACTTGGGGTACACAAAGTCCTTGAAGCAGTACTGCCAGAGGCCCATGTTCTTGAAGCTGGCCCGCGTCTCCTCGTAGGACTCGATCCAGTACGGCGAGCAGAAGGACATCATCAGCACGAAGAAGCTGGCGAAGGTGACGATGGCGCCGAAGACCACGCCATCTGGAAAGGGGTATTGGGATTAGGATTAGCTTTCGATTTCCAGGGCATCCCGCATGCTCGAGTGCGTCACTTACTGGTGGCCCTCGGATAGTCGCCCTTCTCGACGCCCGCGTCCGTGGTGTCCTGCGACTGCTGCTTGTTGAGTTCGCGCATCCTGTAGCTCAGCTCGTTCTGATTCTCTGGGGGATCGGAGGAGTATCTTTTCTGGGGATTGGCAGCGTAAACAAATGCACCCGCACACACCCAAAAAAAAGCAAAAACAACTAGGTGGGGCTCGATAGCAGCTATCTATCGATACTGAGCAATCGATAATTCCACACCTCTAGCCGGCGCAGCGTTGCCAGATGTTCTTTAAAGTTAACTTTTATTTAAACTAGTATAATTTTAAGTAATACGTTCACTAAATAGCCGTGTCCACCTCGTGGTGCTCCAGGTGCTTCATGTAGGCCAGGAAGCAGGTCCAGCACAGGCTGCAGGCGCTGATGAAGGGCACTCGGTTGCGCTCGGGTATCAAAGTGAAGTTGATGGTGGCCACCAGTGGCCAGACGGACAGAGCCACCTGTGGTTCCGTAAATAAGCTCAAAACTGTTGGAACTCTCACTCCAAAACTCACCTTGTAGGTCGGCAGGAACTTCTTGCCCACCTCGGCCACCGCCTCCTCCACCATCCTGCCCTCCAGCAGGCTCATGATGAAGTAGAAGCAGGTCATGGCGCCCGGCGTGTAGGACACCGTCTCCACCGCCGCCTTGATGACGCCCGTGCGCAGCGACGTCTGCGGCCACATGGCGCTGGAGATCTTCACCCAGCCGTAGAGCGTGGGCGCCACGAACAGGCCGCCGTACATGCTGAACCGGAGCACGCGCCACCAGTCGTAGGTGCCTGGGGGATCGGAGGATCAGCGGGAATCAGAAGGAGACTCTGGAACACTCACCCCACCGCCTGCCCTCCACCGTCTGCTGGATGAGGCTGCCCGTGGGCCAGATCAGGCTGTACGATATCATGCCGCGCATTATCGGGTAGCGGCCCACCAGCACCTTGAGGTTCTGCCACATCGCAATCTCGGCCCTGCGGAGTCGCAATCGCAAGCGGTTGGCATCTCATTAGCATGGCTAATGAAACTGCATGGCCAGCTCCGCAGCTCCACCTGAAAACCACGAATGCGGGTTCCCCAGAGGCCCATAAATTAACCTGCTCTAAACGCTACTCCGCACACAAAGCAGGCCGACATGGTTCAAGCAAGACTCGCGCTGCTGCTGCCGCTCCTCCTGCTGATCACAGGAGCCGCCTCCTCCTCCGCCGACGAGGCTGGCAAGATTGTGAACGGCACCACCGCTGCCCCAGGGGAGTTCCCCTTCATCCTCTCGCTGCGTCGCGCCAAAAGCGGCCACCACTCGTGCGGCGCCACGCTGCTCAATCCGCTGTGGGTCCTGACCGCCGCCCACTGCGTGCGGGGCCCGAGGCCCGAGCAGCTGGACCTGCAGTACGGCAGCCAGCTCCTGGCGCGCAATGCCAGCAATCTCGCGCGCGTGGCCACCATCTTCGTCCATCCGGGCTACGAGCCGCAGGACAAGTTCATCCACGACATCGCCCTGCTGCAGCTGGCGCAGCCAGTCGCACTGAGCAAGTTCGTCCAGCCGGTTCGCCTGCCGGAGCCGCGGCAGGAAACGCCCGGCAACGCCACCGCCATCCTCGCAGGCTGGGGATTGAATGCGGTAAGCAAGGACATGGCATAGCTAATCCCCTCGTGGATAGTAATCAATCCATTTCCATTTCAGACCGGCGGCGTGGTCCAGCAGCAGCTGCAGAAGGTCCAGCTGCAGGTGTTCGGCGACCAGGAGTGCAGCGATCGCCACCAGACGCAGCTGCACGCCAGCCAGATCTGTGCGGGATTGCCCGAGGGCGGAAAGGGCCAGTGCAGCGGCGACTCCGGCGGTCCGCTGATCCTCACCAACACCGACACCCAGGTGGGCATCGTTTCCTGGAGCATCAAGCCCTGCGCTCGCCCGCCCTTTCCCGGCGTCTTCACCGAGGTCTCCGCCTACGTGGACTGGATCGTGGAGACGGTGGGGAGCAGCAGCAGCAGCTCGTCTTCGCTCTGGGTGGGCCAGCTGATCGTGGGACGCTCCCCGCCTGCTCTCACCTAAGTCCCATTAAAATACCGCTTCGAATAAACTAACGATGCTATCTAATTCAACAATTGGCCTAACGATAACTAGGTACTGTTCTCCGCCTGCTCCTCGTGGCGCGTCTTCATGTAGGCCAGGAAGATGGTCCACATCAGGCTGCAAATGCTTACGAACACCACGCGGTTGTGCTCCGGCACCAGCGAGAAGTTGATGGTCTGCAGGAAGGGCCAGATGCAAACGCCGACCTGGTTGTGTTAGTGATGAGATGATGGCTGTGAGTGGGGAGCAGGAAGGAGCTGAATGAGAAGCCCTACCTTGTACGTGGGCAGCGCCTTCTCCTTCGTCTCGTCCACCGCCTGGCTGATAGTCTTCTGCTCCAGCAGGCTCATGCCCATGAAGAAGCTGACGCAGGCGAAGGGTCCGTAGGACAGCTGCTCCGTGATGGCCTGCAAGGGAGCGGTGAGCGGGGGAGCCTAAAGTCGGAGCAGGCCTTACCTTGACGATGCCCGTGCGCAGGTTGGTCTGCGGCCACATGGCGCTGGTGAGCCGCACCCAGCCGTACAGGGTGGGCGCCACGTACAGGGCTCCGAACAGGCTGAAGCGGAGCGCCCTGGCCCAGTCGTAGTCGCCTGTGAATGGATGTCATGGAGGCAGGAGGCTGGGATAGGTGATGCATATGATGAAAGTGGGATGGATACTCACTTAGCTTGCGTCCCTCCAGCGCCTGCTGGATCAGGCTGCCCGCGGGCCACATCACCGCGTACGTGAGCGCGCCCTTGGCCATGGGATGCAGCCTCACGCCGCCGGCGAGGTGGCGCCAGTGGCCCAGGGAGGACTGGAGCAGCTTCACAGCCTGTGGCACCATCACAAGTGCTGGGCAAAGTGGAGAAGGGATCGGATCTCAAACTATTGTATTGCCTAACCCTAACCAACAACAACAACAACAACTAGCTATTCGAAGGTCAGAAGAAGAGGAGGAGGAGGAGGAGCTGGCCATGGTCGGAATGGAGGCTACTTGCTGTGCTCCGTGGGTCTTTGGGGTCTCGATGTCTCGAACGCTGCACTGAAACTACTCGTGCGATGAGTGCACTTTCTAAATTCGAACATGGCAATCGGGATGCAGAATTATTAGAGAATTTCTTGCGCCGATCTGATCTTGACCCTCAGCCGAGCGAGCGAACGGGATGGAGCAACAACAGAGCACCTGTTGGTGCGAGGAGTGCAGTCTGGCCAGGAGCGGTTCTCTATGTTATGGGGTTCTAAGTTATATTAATGGGGGGGTTTATTAATAGTGATGAAATTCATGATGAATTATTCATCCGAAGCAGATTCTACTTTTTTCTGTCTTCTTCCCCCAAAGAAGCCGCTCTTGGGAAGCCCCCTCCTGCGCTGAATTCGCTCCTGGAGCGGTTCTGTATAGGAATTTGGGGGTTTATTATTTATAATGAAATTCATCTGAAGCAGACACTACTTTTCTGTCTTCTTCCCCCAAAGAAGCCGCTCCTGGGAAACCCCCTCCTGCGCTGAATCCGCTCCTGGCACTCCTCTCACGCACTGCGAAAGAGAGCGGAACGGCGAGAGAGAAGGAAGTACTTTCGCAAGGACTTTATGTAATAGAGAGGGAGAGCTGTTCCGCTCATTGAAATGAATGGAAAATAACGGCACGTTTGGCTCTCTGCTCTCCTCTCCTTCCCGCCAGTCACTACGCAAACAGATTACGTCGTTTGTAAACGAGAGCGTGACAGATCGTGCCGACCATAAACTATAATTTAATTTTAATTCACCGCCTTCGTTGATGTTGTTGTTATTGTTGTTGGTGTCCAGCGAGTAGTGAGTTAGTACTTACGTTTAATTGACAGATTCTTTTTGGATCTTAAGTTAGACTAACTTATTGGAATTCTAGTTTGTACTGTGGTTACGCACGGCGTCCGCATCTCGCGCCCTCCTCGGTTCGCCTGGCTTCCGTATCTCGTATCTGACTAATCAGACTAGCTAGACGGCTCCGAATGCCATAGCAATAGCAATGTTTTGCTAAAGTCAGCTGTTCGAGATTTGCGTGGGGAGCTTTCGCAGAGCTTTTTGGGGTCTTGGGGAAGGGGGCAAGAATTGTAGCTTTGGGGGTTTTGGACATACTACCCTTTACTCTTGGGATACAATGTTTTTTAATATTTCAGAAATTCGAATTCAATTTTTTCAAAAATCGGAAGGATACATAATTGAAGAATTAGTATGATTCCTTATTAATTCCTGATTAAACGTTAAAACTGAAAACTCCGCCTTCTCAATTGGTCTACATACATATATATTTAATTCGATTGTCTTTGATGTAAGCACTGCCGTACATCGTTAATAATTTTATAGACTAAAAAGTAATCAGTAGGTAATCAATATGAACTACTTACTAGCTCTAATACAAAGACTCGACAGCAATCTTGATTATACTGAATATGTTTGGCACATTTGGTTAATACTATTCTTCTGCACAGCGTGGAAGAGCGGCGTGCTGCGGATGACGCCCGACAGCTCCTTCGAGTTTTTGCTTTGGTGATAGTTTCTACTCGGCATCGGCGACAGCGGTTCGCCCCAGAACTTGAGCATCGCGAAGATCTTGTAGTAGGCCACCCTAAGGAACAGAAGATTCGGAATTAGTCTTGTTTACAAGGGTTCGAAGGACCAAACCCACCTGTAGTTGCGATTGCTGGCCGCATAGATGATCGGATTGATGACACTGGAGGCCCAGGCCATCACCGAGGCGATGATATGCACCCAGGGGTACTTGGTGTTGCTCTCGCTGCCCACCACATTGGCCAGCATCAGGGGCAGGAAGCAGACGAGGAAGCACAGGAAGATGGTGACCATCATGACGGTCAGTCGGTTGTCCTCGCGCGCCTTTCGCGTGCAGGTGGTGGTCATGTAGGTTCCGCCGGCGCCGCTGGAGGATCCCTTTCCCCCCGCACCACTCGCATTCGCACCGATCTGGAAGTTGTCGTGGTTGCGGATCTTCTTCTTCTGGTGCAGCACCGTGATGTAGATGCAGGTGTACGAGACAATGATGACCAGGCAGGGCAGCAGGAAGCCGATCACGAACAGGGTCTTCTTGATCGATCGTCCGTCCTTCTTGAGAATTGTGCAGGAGAAGGTGGCCTCGTCCAGGCCCATCTGGCCCCAGATGCCCAGAAGAGGCGGTAGCTGCAATGGTAAATATGTTACTTTATAAATATAACACATCTTTGGTCCCTAAAGATAAAATATCTTAAGATTCCTGAAGACCACAGAGTTTCTCGAAATTTTTGGTATCTAAAGTTAAAATATCTTAAGATTCCCGAAGATTCTCAAGATTGGTTTATCCGAAACAGGTCTTTATATATGTATATGATGATTTATGTGAATACCTTGCTCTGATATTCTCTCAAATATCCATATTTCTCTTTCTTACTCACCAGCAGAAGAAATGACACGACCCAAACGAACAACAGCTGCAGGGTTATGAACTTCGGCTTGTAAATCTGCGAGTAGCGGCTGTGGCAAGCGATGAGTATATATCTGGCAGAGGATTAGGAAGACGGTTTAGGAGGATTAGCTGGCGACAGGGAGAATTCTTACCTGTTCAGCGTGATGCCCACCATGCTGAGGAGTGAAACGGCCACGTTGCCATAGAAGATCACCGGGAAGATCGTGCACAGGGTGTCGCCAAAGGTCCAGCTCTGCAAGGGAATGTGTGTAAATGTTAAGATATATCAAATACCATTTGGCACAAATGACTCACCTCCTTGAAGTAGCGAACCGCCGTCAGGGGCAGACTGAAGGAGCAGAAGAGCAGGTCGGAGATGCTCAGCGAGATGACGAAGGCGGTGGTGGCGTGTTCCCGTATCGTTGGACTCTTGAGCAGCGCCAGCAGGGTAATCAGGTTGCCTGCGGGATTGGCCAGTCCAAAACAGGTTAGCAAGGGAGTAGCGGATTTCACGTAGCAGGATGCGAATTACTCACCAAGAACGCCGATTATCACAAAGACACAGGCACTAATTGCCGCGAATAATGTCGCCGAATGCGGGTATATCGGACCTCCGGGGGCTTCTGTGGTCGTCGTAATGTTCATGTCCATGTCCATTGCGAATCCCATTCCCATATTTATGTGCTTGTCCATTCTGCGGGGGAAACAAAGAAAACACATATTACATTGTGACCAAAGTTATCCGTATTTATAGTTAAATCTTTAGTCTAATACCTATTGATCAGTATATTTGCCTGTATTTATAGAGAAATTCACTACCCTGATGTGTACCAATTATTATGTTTATCAAAAAAGAAATAATCAAAATATTATATTAGAAATTAATGGTTTACTTTACTAGATGTAGTAAAGAATAATACTCTGTTTAAAATAACATTTGTTCTAAATTCCAGATAGTTCCTAGTAAACTTTTCTTGCTGTGCTCGAAAAGGAAATACTATCCGCCAAATCAAGTTGCTCTCGCCTGAAAATCTGTGAATGAATGGGCACGTAATACTACAAGCGGGAAAATCGAAAAAGTTAACTAATTGCCGCTTTGCGGATGCAATAGCCCAGTTTGCTCGGCTGGCGGGAGATCATTGCTGAGGAAAACCCGATCCGATCTGCGGGATTAGCGAGGAAGTCTGCGCTTGCGTACTCCCACCAACTTTTCTCGCATCCGAGACATTTGATTTATGCAAACTGATTTTGTTATAAGATTTTTGCCGGTTCGAGCCGGTTTGCACGCGATTTGAATTCATTTGGTAGATTTGTACAAATTTTTCATCAAAAGTTCGAGTTTTCCACCAATTTCCTCATCACTCGAGCAAGGCAAACGGCTTTGAATAAATGGTGTTATATGTATCAAATCGCTGCTGACTGCGTGATTGATGGCTGCAAGATTGTTTATTATCGAATCAGGACTCGAAAGGAGATCAATGTCAAACGCAGACAGGAACATGAAAGACGGATGTCATTTGTAATTAAAAGCCAGAGTCCCAGTTTGTTTAATTGCTGGTGTCGTCTTAAGTTCCTGCTTAACTATTTACAAAAGTTGCAAGTTTGCATACAGATGAGAACTGGCTTTTGTACTAATCAGTTAGTGACTCATTTTCATCAGACGGCTGACCAGTTTTCGCTGCTTTCTTTTTAATAATTATACGTTTTTCGCTTAAACTTCAATGATATTTTTTAGTCACGTACAACTAGCTTGAATAATTTGTGACTGCCGGAAAATGCAAAGTTGGTCGTAACCAATGCTGAGATATTCAGATCGGAGTTATATTCCTATGACTAGGCCAAGAAAAAACCCATATTGTTGGGAAAATAAGTAGTTTTTTTACTATAATGGAGATTCCAAATGCGCGATAAACGGACGCAATTCAAGCGATTATGGCTCCCTTTCGATAACCCAACCGATTGGCTGCCCTCGTTCCGATTCCATTTGAAATTTGGAAATAAATAATTGGTTCGATACGCTGTCAAAAAAAAGATCCCCTATCTTCTAGAGTTTTTGATCTGGGTTTCGAAACCATTCTGTTTGGAAATCTCGCTCTGAAGAGGCCCCCTTCCTAGGGAATGTGTAATGTTGTGTTATCTTTGCGAACAGGCGGCAAGAAGCCATCAGCTATCAGCGACTTTAATGCACTTTTTTACGACCAATTAAATTTTCATTTTCCTTTCTTTTCCCGGTTGATAAGAGGCGAAAGCGATAGAAAAAGTCTTGCGTCAGAAATGCAATTAAGTGGTTTCAGTTTCCCGTTACCAGTTACCCGTTTCCCAGTGAAAAGAACCCACCATCATCATCATCGTATTGAATCAATGACAGTTTCAATTAGGTTTGTCATGCTTTTTTCGTGGGTCCAACCCTAACTGTTTTGCATATGCACACAATTCCATTTATTTAATGCTTTTTATTTGGATCGGTTAAATTAAAAAGCGCCTTGTTACGCATTTAACGATGTTTCCGGTGCGTGATGGTACTACGGTTCTGGGAACGAGAACCTCAGGGCCCCAGAAGGGGTATACTATATGAAATGGAAGCGTGGGATGGGGGATGATAGGTGGGGGCGGGGGAGCGGTTCGCTTTCATGCATGATCAACATGTGTGTTTGTTTTTCAACTCTATGTTGTATGTTGTTTCAGTTCTTTGGGTCTCCTCAGTTTTTCGTTCTTACGTTTTCGAATAGGGGGAGCAACAGGCCGCGACTGGAAATCTGAATATGCATCCCATACCATCCCGTCCAAAATGAGCACCATCGTTTCATTTAATTCCATTCCCATATATGCGTGCCCACACAGCAGCGGTCGTTTAGCTAGTACTCATTTATCAACTTGTACAATAAATCATATTGACTACACTATAGTCATGGTATTGTAGATCAAAAGGTTATATTCATTTGACTAATCTCGTGGGTGCACTGAACCATATGAATAAGCACGCAACTGAATTTATTATATATTATATATATATACTATAATATAAGATAGTACAAATTATTTTATTTCCCGGCCTATTGAGTTACCCGCGAGTGTGCCCCTCAACAGTTGGCAATGATGATGGCACAGATATCAGAGATAACACCACCCCACTTTGGGATACGCAGATCCCGCATTTTTTCCCCCTCCTCCGGCGCGCTTCCCTCACAAGTTTACACATTATGTACACACAGCTAAGCACATAAGGGATATGTATATATTTACATCCAAGTCTTATCAGCCTTGGGTTCCCACCGCTCGAAATTCTTCGGACCCCTCTTTCACCACCAAAAGTCCAAGACAAGCAGTGGAACGAAGCTTAAAAAATAATCAATCAATAAATAAATATTTATTTTGCGGGCGGGAAGGCGAATGCAAATAATGTTCATCAAAGAAGGTTTATTATCATATGTGGAACTGATGAATAATTATAATCTCTGATATTTATATCCAATCTTAGATTTTATTTTTCACATGATATTAATCAATGTGAAGTAATCTTATCGGACATTATGTCATGTTAAATTGATAGTAATATCCTGCAGAAAAGATAAGTTGGTAAAGTTTAAAATGGGAACCCCAGTGACTTAAGAATTTATGGAAATTATATGGCTCAATCTTCTTTTTGGTCTCCTTTTCTTATCGAGTCAATGTACTAAGAAATATTTCCCGCCTCTGTTGCAGTTCGCTGACTAATTATTATTATAATGCCCAAATAAGTTTTCGATAGGAGGGGTGTACTATATGCGCCATGCATATGTAGATAGTGCACATATGTATCGGATTGTTTTGGAGCTGGGTTTTTCATCGTTTTTTTTTTCGTTGTTTTCAGAGACTTGAGCCGAATGAGTCGCTACCAACTGTTGCGGTGACGGACAGGGGACTTGGATGAATCATGCAGCTGATGTTTCGACGGGGGAAGTGGGAAGGGAAAGAGAAAACACATCGGAAGCGGCGGAATCAAAATATCTGTGTAAATAAGAACAAGAGACTTTGGGCAGTTTGACTCTCTATGTTGAAATACAGAGAAAATAAAATACTTTAAGCTTGTCTTCAAGTGATTTGTATAGTTTGATATTCCAATGCTTGGTAAACAAATGATTCAATGCGTCCGAAAAAGAATTTTCGACAAGGGGGGAATCCCCTATGACTTTTCCATTAAAAGGCAATCAGGATCAGGATCCTTTACTATACGATAATACGATCCGTTTTTCTCGGTGTATCAGTTGCATTTTGTCGTCTCCTCCTCATCCTCCTCCCCATTTCCCCTTCCCCTTCTCCATCCCCTCTTTGCTGATTTTTGTTAGAGGGTGGAATTCGAGATTTGGGATGTGAGCGAGGGAGACGGCAAATGCGTAAGTATGTAATATATTGTGGAAACAGCCGTTCCATTATCGTTCCATTACACTTACACACAACCAAACATCTGCAGAGTGGCTGTGTGTGTGCGTTTGGACCAAATGCAACAACAACAAAAACGCGCAACTCAAATTGTTAACAAAAAACAAAAGTAAGGCCGCTCTTGGCCGGATTCGGATTCGTTTTTCGGATTCTGGTATTCTGGTCTTGAACATTGAACAACAAAAACTCACCCGAACTTGTTTTCCGCTTATTATATATTCTTCGTTTCGCGTTTCTTAAATGCTTTCGAATTGCATTTTGTTGACACAAACCGCGGAGCACAGCAAAAAAAAGTGCACATATATTATATTCCGACTTTGACTTATCGAGAGAGATGGAGATCTCCGATCGCACAGCGAAAAGGTCGTATTTTCTTTGGCAATTAACAGCAATAGTAGTGACAACAACAGCGCAGCGCCGCAGCGAAACCGACTTAACCGATCGAGCAGGAATGAGAAACAATATATAAGAGCGGCTTCGTAAACAGAAACCCCGAACCCCGAGCGACCGATGACCGCGTCTATCGCCCTTCTGTTCTATCGATATCGATTCTACCGACGGCGCGGTGCGCAGGCGCCTATCGATGTTTGAAATTCTAAGCCCGTCTTCGGGAATTTGGAAAGTACTTTCGAAAGAAAAAAATAGATTTAAAAGAGATTTAGCATTTAGAGTAAAACCCTGACTTTTATTAATACAGAATATATATTCGTATACGTTTTGATATTTTTATCTTTCAAGCTATTAACTAATTTAGTTTTCATAAATGCACTTTAATCAATTTATTCATCACACTTAATCAATTTTCCCCGCGCTACAGTTGCACATATTTTTTGATTGGTCAATCATTTATCATTTTCCACCATTAGTGCCCCAGTGTGTGCTACCAATTTGCATGTTTAAGCGCCATTGACTTTTAGCCGGCTTTTCCTCAAGGTCGAGCCTATTAAATACTCGTTAAAAGGGGTGGCCAGGGTACTATCTGCATGGTAATAATCATATTTTCGTTGTGTTTTTATATATTCTAAATTTAGGTACTGCACATTCCTCATCACTGGTCATTAACCATATCAGGTGGACCTTTTCCTGCTGCATTTTTGCATTCACTCTTCAGTCGGGAATCGGACATCAAACATGGTGCGAGTACTAAAAAGCCGATTTCCGCACCGAAATCGGTCCAATCGAGCTGTTCACCATCTTAGAAGCCAAGGAAGGATTTGGCTGAAGCATCTGAAAAGAGGATTGGACCAGTGTCGAGGTGTGTATCTTGCTATTGGGTTAGATTCCTTACAAAATTCCCTTTTCGCCTTAAGCAGACACCCAGGTGCGGGGAACGCGGCAGAACTTCCTGCACAACGGCTCCTTCCATGAGGCAGTGGCTCCTGTTTTGGTCGTGGCCCAGTGCTTCTGCCTTATGCCCGTCAGTGGAATCAGCGCTTCCTCCTACCAGGGATTGAGCTTCAGCCGGCGAAGCTGGCGCTTTTGGTACAGTGTCGTGTACCTCTGCTCCACCTCGGTGGATCTGGGCTTCAGCATCAGCAAGGTGGCCCACAGTGTCCTGGATGTGCGCAGTGTGGGTGAGTCCAAAATGCCATTTAATATCTAACGAAAGGTAGAAGAAAATCTGGAATCGGACCATTCATTAAGAAGTTATAAGCAAAAGGAAATAATGGAAAGCAAGCAGTGCAAGCAGTTCGCACTTCCTTAAGCTTAGTAACGTTCTCTCTTGTTTTGTCATCCCATCCTGCAGAGCCCATAGTTTTCCACGTGAGCATTCTGATCGCCTCCTGGCAGTTCCTCCGGCTGGCCCGCCTCTGGCCGGGATTGATGCGCCACTGGGCGGCGGTGGAGCGGCGGCTGCCCGGCTACTCCTGCTGCCTGCAAAGGTCCCGTCCTGCCCGTCGCATCCAGTTGGTGGCCTTCCTGCTGCTCTCACTTTCGCTGAGTTGGGTTTTGTATGCCTTATCTTTTCCCCGCGGGAACTCCAAGTGTCTCTCCATGTCTCTGCAGTGGAGCACCTGCTGAGCATCATTTCGGTGGTCTACTACGACTTCTGTCCGCGGCGCAGGGACCCCGTGGAATCGTACCTGCACGGGACGAGTGCCCAGCTGTTCGCCGTGTTCCCCTACTCCAACTGGCTGGGCTGGCTGGGCAAGATCCAGAACCTGCTGCTCACCTTCGGCTGGAGCTACATGGACATATTCCTGATGGTGCTGGGCATGGGGCTCAGCGAGATGCTGGCCAGGCTCAACCGCAGCCTGGAGTTGCAGGTGCGACAGGTGGGTAATTGTCTTTAAAGTCTACCCATATATCATCCTGTACTTTTAGCCCATGCCGGAAGCCTACTGGACCTGGTCGCGCACTCTCTACCGATCGATAGTGGAGCTCATACGGGAGGTGGATGACGCCGTGTCCGGGATTATGCTGATATCCTTCGGCAGCAATCTGTACTTTATCTGCCTGCAGCTGCTGAAGAGCATCAAGTGAGTTAATGGACACTATACGGACACCATACGGACAAAGTTGAATAATAATCCTCGTATCCAGCACGATGCCCTCCTCGGCCCACGCCGTCTACTTCTACTTCTCGCTGATGTTCCTGCTCAGTCGATCCACGGCCGTGCTGCTTTTCGTCTCGTCGATCAACGATCAGGCCAGGATTCCACTGCGTCTGCTGAGCCTCGTGCCGATCGAGGGCTACCATCCGGAGGTCTTCCGCTTTGCCGCAGAACTGGCCTGCGACCAGGTGGCGCTCACGGGCCTCAAGTTCTTCAATGTCACCAGGAAGCTGTTTCTGGCGGTGAGATGGTAGTTCTATAATCTTAGTTCCAAACAATCTTTGTATCTTTTAGATGGCGGGAACTGTGGCCACCTACGAACTGGTTCTCATCCAATTTCACGAGGATAAAAAATCCTGGGACTGTTCGGCCTCTAGTTTTAATTAGAATAGTCAGGATATAATGTTATAGGAATATTTTATGTATTTATTTCTTTAATAGTTTAGCTTGACAGGCTAAAGAGCAACAAGTGAGTTAATATACGGACACTATACGGACAAAATTTAAGGTTAGACTTTTTATTATAATTAATGATACAAGTTTCATAAGAATGGTCAAAATACAATGCTATACGAATATTCCTATAAATTATATCCCTAATACGCAGTGTTGCCGGGTAGATTTTTAAATATCACTCATACGAAGCGTTGCCGCAGCTTGGATAAAATCCTTTGAATATTATATATTTTTTAGGCTTATCTCTAATACATTGCTGAGCAGCAGTTGGCACAGATAATGGCCATTAAACCATACACTGTGCTACACAGTCGAGGAGTCGAGGTGTCCATCATGGAGGAACCAGTTTCCATCTGCCCGCTTTTTGCACGCGCTTTCCACTTTTCACATCGTTTTTATTTTCGTTTTCATTTACTTTGGTAATCCAGTATCTAGTAAGTATGTGATGCAATTGCCATCCATAAATGGTGCACGCTTCCTAGGCACACCGAAATGCGTGAATAGCAATGCGATTCGATTCGAACTGAACCAGTTGGCCAAATGCCAATGCCGATTGCTCCTAGCCGCCGCAGCTCCTCATCTCTTCAGCTACAGCTCCTTAGCTCCATGATGCTTCCGGTCAGCTCTCGTCCAGCCGATCTAGTCCGGTTCCAGGCAATTGTTAACCCAATTCACGAGTTGAGATAGGAGTATATAAGGCCCCGCGATCGGTTCAACGCGCAGACACAAATCGCCCACAGTTCGCTCCAGTTAACCATTTAATCAGCACAGAGTAGTAATGGCCAGATGTCAGAGCAGCCTGATCGGGATCCTGGTGGTCCTGTTCCTCGACCAGTGGGCCAGCGGCCAGCAGTTCCTGCCCGGTCCCATCTCCGGTCCCATTCCGCGCCAGCAGAGATCGCTCTTCGGGCCGGGTCCTCCGCCCGGTTGGAGCAGCGGTGGCCTCAGCCACGGCGGCTGGAACGCTCCCAGCTTCGAGTTCAGCCACCTGCCGCCCTCCCACAGCCCGCATGTGACCAAGGACGAGCTGCTGGCCCTGCTGGCCGCCTGGAAGGATGTGGCCGTGAAGCCCACGACCCCGGCGCCGGAACCAGAGCCCGAGGAGCCCGAGCCCGAGCCGGAGACCACGCCAGCCCCGCCGCCGCCGCCGGAGGATGAGGACGAGCCGGAGCCCGAGGCACCGGCACCAGAGGCTCCAGCTGGTCCACCGCCCGGCGTTCCCGTCACCGTTTCCCTGCCCGCCCTGGTGCCCATCCAACTGGCGGCCATGTGGCAGCAGCCGGCGCCAGGAGCAGCGGCAGGCGGATTGGGCCCGTTGGGGCTGGGAGGATTGGGCCTGGGCGGAGGCATTGCGTTGAACAATCTCGGAGGAGGAGGAGCAGCGGCAGCGGGAGCAGGAGCAGCTGCAGCTGGAGGCGGAGGAGCAGCCGCCGGAGCCGCAGCAGCCGCAGCACGATCCGGATTGGCCCGTCCCAGGGCTCGAGCAAGGATCGGAGGACGTGCGTCCTCCAATGCGCAGCCCGCCATTCGCTTCCCGGTGGCCAATCCGCGCAGCTTCACCTCCAACAACTACGTGGCGCCCAGGCCGCGTTACTATCGGGATACGGACACCATGCGGTGGGTATTGGATCTATAATCCTTTAAAATCTATTATTATCCTTGATATCCCTGCAGCTTCAACGTCATGGCTCCTCCGCCCTATCAGGTGGCCAATGTCCAGGGCCCCGTTCAACTGGTGCCCGCCTACTGGCAATAGTTCGTCCAGTTCACCTCTTCGAGTCCAATAATCGTACTGCCAATCTCTCTATAAGCTAAACTGTACAAAGTTATATGTTATAGTAATACGCTCATGGCATATAAGATGCCTTGGCCTGTTAACCAGTCGCATTTGTTTTTTTTTTATTATGCCAATAAAATATTTTACCAAAAAATAAATAAGAATGTTTTTCACTGGGGGAAACGTTATCGGAAGTTCGTTTTCGAACGATCTGAATATAATGTATTGAACCCTAGTACCATTAATATGATAACTCCAAAGTCAACATTAATCATAAGTATCATAATCATAAGTATCATAAGTATATTCTATCATACCATAATCATATCATAATCACATCATAATCATATCATAGTCATATCATAATCATTTCATAATCATATCAATCTCGTCTACTCTGCGATATGGGAACTTTTAATATTTTAGAGTTACAAGTATAGCGACTGTATCAGATATAAGTTGCCGAAATAATCTAATCTTATCTATCCTATGCCTTTTCCAACATCTTTACGGATCATAAAATATGTTTTTAATATAATCGAAATCAAGTACCCATTTATTATAATAAACTTGTGGCTTTTTAATATCAATAAATAGTTAAAAAGCAAACACGGCAGATTAAAAAGACCATAAAAACGCATACATTTTATCGACTGGTGTTGCACAACCGCCAACACGTAATTAATTTAATTTGACTCCCCGAATCTACCAACTGTTTTGCCCCATTAAAATATGGACTAAGTAGCTGACTACTTAGGCCGATATTGAAATTGGCACTTTATAACTTTATGCCGATATGAATATAGTTTGGACAGAGACAGCGAAATGCAATTTGCTTATATCACTCCTCGAATTCCTCCTCGATTGGCAACTTTCGTCACGATTGGCAGGCTGACAGATGTCGGCTCCTTAAGCGATTCGCTTATATATATATGAATATATATGCTGGTGGCCACATCCTTATCGGGACATCGTGTTTGGCCACTGAACAGCCGAAACCTGCCTCCGAACGACTCCCGTGGGCACAGTAGACGCTGGAATGGCCTCACCTCACCCAGTTTGCGTGATGCCACGCCTCCTGTCTCCCGGGTGTTATGATCCACCGACTGATCCAGATTTCGACGTCGCACAAATGAGACATTAAGTAGATGGTGTTGATGAACCGAAACCCGTTCCAATCGGCCTCCTTGTGGGCGAAGATGAATCCATAATTGCGTACCCATCTAAACTGATCAGCAAAAACACTCGTTTTCGGAGTTTACAAATGTATAAAATTGTATTCGTTTAGGGGTAAAAACAAGGGACTTTCTAAATGAAAACATTTTACAATATTTATACATACATCGAATTGTTTCTGTTTGTGACACTTGGCAGCTACATTAGGTCTATTACTTAGTCGGAAGAATACAGATTGTTGGGGGATGATTAAAAAATAATATACAAACAATAAAAATAAAGAAAATAGTTAATTTCTATTGCTTTAGATTTTCTTTACAAAATCCTCACTCAATCTCATATGATCTTAAATTAAGATATGTATTCCACAACAAAGGATTAATAATACTATGAATTAAATAATTTCGGAAAGGATAAAAAGATAAAATACTAAAAGTAACGTCTTTGGCTAAAATCAAACTACAGTCTGGCTGGGGAGTGTGGCTGTTCCAAGGCATTTTCGCACATTTTCACACATTTTCCGCAAATGGAGATTAACGTGCGGCCGCCCGAGATGTCCGAGGTATCGCTAACCAGCGCCTAAAGCGCCGGCGACAGGCGTAAAAACAATTAATACGTGTAATGTGCGATCGAGGCAAATCGAGAGCAACGCCCATTGGGGCCCAGTTTGGACTTCCCGCTGGAGGAGAGATCCCAAACGGGGCTGGCTTACGCAACTGAACCAACTAACGCAGCAATAAATAACGAATTAACGCTTGGAGAACAAAATTCAAACTAGATTTGGGGACTAGACAGACGACGCCATAATATCCAAAGACTTTGGTGCACGGAGAGCAGGGCGAAGGCCCCGGCAATCACATAGGTCAGCCTGTAGATGGCCGCCTGGCAGTACAGTAGAACCACGCCGGCCAGAAGGTAAAACACGAGCGAAAGCATCCAGTAGCCCTGACTGCAAGTTTACATTTAAAACTGATCGAATGAACGATTATGTATAGGTACTTGCCATTTTTGGGGAGCCCTTAGCTGCAGGAGTAAACTAAGTGAAGCCATGACCACGATACTGGGATACAAGCTCGGATCCGGCAAGTCAATGCCATGCCTGAAGGAAGAAACAATCAGTTAGTATCTTAAAAGATGATCTTATAGCTGGGATCTTAAACCTACCGACGACTGCGCACCCAGGCCAAACTACTGGGAGCATTGAGCAGCAGCTGCACGAGCAACATCAGCAGCAGAGTGACGTGAAAGGAGAAGTTCTGCAGGCCCACGCAGGGCTCCGGTTCCTCCTCCTCCGGCTGCTGCTCCTGCTTCGTTTCCAGAGCCTCCTCTTCTGCGTTCGGCTCCTCCGCTGCCACTGCAGCTGGCTTGCCGCGCACCAAGTTAGCCGCCTTCTGCCAGAGAAAGTCCTCCAGATAGTCCTTGTAGGCATTCGACAGCATCAGGAAGTAGAAGACAAAGGCCAGCAGCAGACCCACTCCGCTGCAGGTTCCCATGGCCGTGGCGATGGTCAGGATGCCGAACGTAATCGGCAGGTGGGTCATGATCGAGAGCATCACGTTGGAGGTGGGCTGCGAGAGGCGTGTGATGCGCAGGGCCAGGCGGTAGAAGGCGTTGCCGTAGAGCGTCAGGGCGAGCCAGGTGCCCAGGGTGGCCAAAAGGGACAGGGCGATGGCCGCGCAGTGGATCACAATGGACACATTGATGCTGTAGTCCAGGGACTCTGGCTCGGGCAACAGGCGGCTGGTGATGATTAGCTTCTTAAGCAGGCGACAGGCTGAAATTGTTATGTTATATTAAATGTTTTTGGTTACTGCCATGGGTAAACCCCACCTGTGACCACATAGAGCGACGTGTACTGCAGGTAGCCCACATAGGGACGCAGGCTGCGGAAGGTTCCCACCTCGTGGAAGGTCTCCACCTGCTTCCGCAGCACAATCAGCAGGACGCAGACCAGATGGGCCGGCAGCCAGCCGTAAAACTCGAGAATCAATCGCGACAAGGCCGAGGAGTAGGAGTACTCATAGCTGGGGAACACGGATCAGAGTGAGATGGCGGTAGCCAGTGGAGTAGCTAGTGCTCACCTGATGCGATAGCGGCAAGTGGGATCCAGGTAAAGATCCAGTGTCACCGGATTCAGAGTGGTATTGTAATGCCGGGGCACTAAAGTCGGCACATTTACATACAACTGGGGTTTCTGATCAAACGATCTGTGAAATAACCAAATAAAAGGGTGAATAAAGCACAGCGGTAACTTTATAACCCACTCACTTGAGGGTCTGGAAGCGCTCAAAGCCCGCCGCCCAGGGCACACATATCCTGGCGGTCACCCGGTACTCCGCACTGATGCACTGCAGCGGCTCCACAATCACCCGAATGCTCTGGTACGGATCCACCATCTCGGCGACGCGCAGCCGCTGGTGCAGCGTGCCCTGCAGGGTCTCGTTTATCAGCGGCAGCTTGGCCATGGTGTACCAGCGCGGCATCTTGATGTCCGTCACGCGCTCCCGCGGATCGTAGATGTCCAGGTTGTAGCCGATTCGCTTGGCGCTCGGCGGCAGGCGCACCAGCACGTGGCTCCACTGCACGTAGGTCTTGCGCAGGTTGTGCAGATCCAGGATGGCGATGCTGCGGGGATCGCGATCTTCGTTGGGCAGCCGCTGGACGAGGTGCATCAGCGAGGTGGCCCTTTCGCTGGATGGAAAGAGAGGGATTTTTATATAAGATACTTTTATAAATTATAATATCTACCTACCAATAAAGCTGTCCCGTCTGGTTGTGCTCCTGGGCCGAGCAGCCAAACAACCAGTCCTCGTCATCCACATTCAACGCCTCAATGGCCATTTTCCTGTACCTCTCCTGGCGCTGCAAGCCGATCAAATCGAAGAAGATGCCCTTCAGTCCGTTGCTAAAGTACTTGTTTATCACGAGACGCCGCTCCTCGTGCCAATTTCCAGCCGCTCCGAATCGCACGGTGCTCTGTTGCCGTCTCCGCGGTTTCTGTGATATATACATGATATATAGATATATAAGAATATACAAAATAGTGCTAGGAACCCACGACAAAGGTGGCTAAAGCCGACTGCAGGTTGCGCTGTTTGTTGGTGCCAAAAGCGATCGACGAGCGGTCCTCGCGCACATACGCAATGCTGAAGAGAAACCTGTTGATGGCCTGCATGAACTGCAGGCACCACACGGCGGATAGATGGTCGCAGCTCAGGCTAACTCTGGGTATGGCCGAGGTCTGTGGAAAGAGGGGAAATGGAAAATAAGCCAGGCAACACTTATTCAATCACTTACCATGGCGTGCAGATCGTTGAACCGCGAGCTGGTGAGTCCTGGCCGCACCAGCAGATCCCTGTTGCCGCCGCCCGTCGAGATGAGCAGCACGTTGTCCAGCCGCGCCGAGCTGTCCTGGCTGGCCATGCGCTGCACACTCGGCGGCCGCTGGTGCAGGCTGTCGCACACATTGGTGGTCACCGTGGGCACCGTGGCCGTGCGCAGCTTGGCCAGCACGGCGTCCGTTTGGCCGTAGAACCCCTCCAGCTGGGCATCCAGATTGAGCACCGGCTGGTCGAGGGGCGTGGAGATGCTGACAATCGTGTTGATGTGCTGGCCAATTGAAGGATCCACCAGGACGGACTGCGCCAGCTTGCCGCCCATCGAGTGGCCAATCAGGACGATGGAGGGCTGCTCCGCGCGACCCTCGTAGATCGAGAGGATGGTGCGGATGCAGAGCTTCAGGTAGCTCCGCTGGCGGGGCAGATAGCCGCCGTACAGGGCGGACAGCTCCTCGTCGTAGTCAATGGTGTAGTAGTCCAGGTGGAGGCCCGCGTCGTCGGACATCGCCTTGCGCAGCGCCACGGAGGCCAGGGAGCGCACCTGCTTGTAGGAGCCGGCGTTGCCGGGCACGAAGATCACCGGAGCACCCGTCATCCGGCGCTTCAGCGGATCCAGCGGCTGTCGCAGGCCCTCGTAGTAGTAGTACAGACCGTAATTTGGATACTCATCGCCGCCCTTGACCCCGACTTTCTGTAAATCGAGTATTAATCAGATTTCTATTGGCTTATCTATTGCCTGGCACTTACCGCAAACATGGGCTCGCCGAACATGTAGGTCATCCGGCAGGCATTCGGCTCCACCTCCACGTGCAGATTAAAGAGGCCGTAGAGGAGGCAGCATATCGAGCCGATCACCAGCAGAACAGCACAGTTTCGGAACATAAACATCCTCGATTTTCAGTTTTTCATTTCTGTTTATGTCTTGATGGCCCAGCTGCGCTAGAGATGCGAGCGGTGCTATCGAGAGGCGATAGTTGTGGGGATGGGTTGGGATGCCGATAGTTATTAGCAGGAAAATTAGAAAAAATATATTTTGTATGTTTTATAAGAAAAACGTTGTGGTAAGCTCGGTTTAAAGATTATAAAAATATATATATTTCACACTTTTATCACATTTTGCTTATAATTAGTAGCTGTGAGTAGAGGGAGTTAATAGTTATTAGCACAAGGAAAATTTTATGAGTATAGATGATTTCTGTATATGTACTTTTCAATTATCTAACAATTGGTGCTACTCTGCTTATATTTTTCAAACAACGTTACTATTTCTAAATATATTAGGCATTTTAAAAAATTAAAAGAATGCGTTCTTGAGAATCGTATATTTTTACACCCTACAAATGAAACCTCTTCTTTATCGTTACTTTTAGCCGTGACTTCTCGTGATCCTTTCCCGGTCACCGCAGAGGCGCTCATCTCTAGCCACTTGATCGTCACACATAAGTATGTATCGAGCCGATCCGTGTTGTTGCTTTGGCTAGTTGATTATTCAGTCGGCGTACGCGTGCGCTCACCTCCGATCTGATCCGATCTCCGATCCTCCCGATTCAGATACATATATGTGTATATAGTACCGGAATTGTCAACCGAGAGGCAGCGGCGCCGGCGTCAGCATCATCGATACCGATTTCTAAGTCTGGCCTGTGAGTGTGTGCGTGTGAGCCCGATCTTCGGTGTGTGCGCTTAATTCGCGTACTCGGCTGTGTGTGTTTGTGTCTAGCCTGGCGCTATTGTTGTTGTTTCTCGTGGGAACGGAACGGGGAACGAAGAGACAGTTTATGCCCTAGCAATAACAAAAACAACAACTAGAGAGAGAGACATTGTCGCCGTGCAGTCGCCTTGCTGCCGCTGCCGCCGTCGACGTCGCTGCCGCGGCGAGCAGTTCGATCCGCTCGCTAGTTGTTGCTGTTTAGTGTTCGTTGTGGTGTCGCTTGTTGTTGTTTTGTTTTGATCCGTTCCGAATCTGAGTGTGAATCTGAATCTGAATCAGATTGCTTATTACCTATAATATATAGTGCAAAAAGTGTCTGTGTGCCTGTAATTGTGATTGTTGTTTGTTGTAATTGCACCCGCACACACACACACGGCCGCAGCCACGAGCACCACTCGTATACGTGCACACGGGAAGAGCGCATTCCAATCCAATCCGATCCCTGTGCACGCACACACACAGCCACCATGGAAATTTGGCGCTCGCTCACAGTGGGCACCATCGTGCTTCTGGGCCTCGCCTGCTTCTGCACAGTGGAGTCCTGCAACGAGGTCGTCTGCGCCTCGATCGTCTCCAAGTGCATGCTCACCCAGAGCTGCAAGTGCGAGCTGAAGAACTGTTCCTGCTGCAAGGAGTGCCTCAAGTGCCTGGGCAAGAACTACGAGGAGTGCTGCAGCTGTGTGGGTAAGGGATCGAAGATCGCCGATCAGTGGGTGGTGGGAGGTGTCCAGTGTCCAGTGGCCATATAAATATGTATGTATTTGATCACCAGCGATGATGTGATGGCCATCGCTTTGTTTTTGTTGCTGTCAACCTAGTATGTGTGTGTGTGTGTGTGTGTGGGGAGGGGGGCGGTGGAGCTTGCGATGTGCTAACTAGTTATCGATATCAGGCTTGAGCTGGCGATCGATTCAAGCCTAGGGTTGAGACCCTATGCCGCTGAAAAGGGGCTTTTAACTCCTATTTCCCCCAGTCTATTCATAGATTTGACCATTACTAGTCAAGCAGGCACTTAAAATAAATTATTTCACTTTCGGATAATAAAAATTCTAAAAATGTATCAAGCTTTTAAGCTTACATACCATTCGTATTAGTAACCTCAAATCAATCATCTAAATTTCAGTTATGAGCTAGGAAAAACTGTTTATTGATGGTGTAAATAAGTAAATAATCGGCTGTAATCATCCCGATCGGATTTTCTTGAAATGCATTTTACGTTTGGCCCACATGATGTTGTTTATAAACAAATCGAGCATGACGATGAAAACAAATGTGCACACGAGATGAGAATAGGAAGAGCATGTCTTTTTTCGCAGAATACAAATAAATCAATTTAATTATCAGATGCACAATAAAAGTGGTTTAAAAAAAATGAAAATAAGAAACTAGTCGTAAATATTAGGAATGTGCAGTTTCCTTTCGAAAATATTTTACCTTTTAGTATGGATTTTTCAATATTATAACCAAAATCAATCGCTAATTTTTCCAGAACTCTGCCCGAAACCCAACGACACGCGCAACTCGCTGTCCAAGAAGTCCCACGTAGAGGACTTTGATGGAGTGCCGGAGCTATTCAACGCCGTGGCCACTCCGGATGAGGGCGACAGCTTCGGCTACAATTGGAACGTGTTCACGTTTCAAGTGGACTTCGACAAGTACCTAAAGGGTCCCAAGTTGGAGAAGGACGGTCATTACTTCTTGAGTGAGTGCTAACTTAATGATGGCTTTCCTCTGCTACAATGCTATAATTTAGGAACCAATGATAAGAACCTGGACGAGGCGATTCAGGAGCGGGACAACATAGTGACTGTGAACTGCACGGTGATATATCTGGACCAGTGCGTGTCGTGGAACAAGTGCCGCACCAGCTGTCAGACAACAGGGGCCAGCAGTACAAGGTAGAAATAGGGATGGGGATCTTCTGTCTTATAGATTTTCTATCTTAAGATCTCTCCTTGTAGATGGTTCCACGACGGCTGCTGCGAGTGCGTGGGCTCCACGTGCATCAACTACGGCGTCAACGAGAGCCGCTGTCGAAAGTGCCCGGAGTCGAAGGGCGAGGTGGGCGACGAGCTGGACGACGCTATGGAGGAGGAGATGCAGGACTTCGGCGAGAGCATGGGCCCCTTCGACGGACCCGTGAACAACAACTACTGAGCAAATGCCATTCAACGAACAGAACAGAAATTTAGCTACTCAATTCAGTGACATTATTATTATGTAGTACGAAGTAATATTTGTATAGCACTATTATTATTATTTTATTTACAAAAATCGAATAGGCGCTTTGAATTGTTTTACTTATTGAACCGGCCAAGATATATATATTATACGTATATTTTTTTTAACTTTTATGTGAGTTGGTTTTTATTTGGATTTAGTTCAAGGGGGTTTAAATTAAATTACTTAAATTATTTTAAAGTGTATGCGATAGTTTATACGATATTTAAGCGGTTATTTTAGTGTGACCAGTTGGCAAGGCGTTTCCGGATTCTGGGCGCATGCAGCCTACTATTTGCGGCAAACCAAATTTCGTGTGTTTTTATTTAAGTTAAATCATCATTTTTCGGGGCTGGCCAAAAGCGAGGCGCAGAAATTGGTAGCGAAAGCCAAGCCGTCGGGCCGTAGTTCAGTATTACCAGGAGATATCGACTCCATACTCAATTGGCAGCTGTCAAGGAAGTAGAATTACGTAGGAGTTACGTAGTCGCCCGAAGTTCGGGATTCGAAAGGAAATGATGTTGAAGGGCCTGCGGCATGTGCGGAACATGCTGCAGCGCGGTGGCTCCCAGTTGGCCCAGATCCGCGGCGCCACGGGGCTCCAGGCCCCGCGAACTGGCCGGGAGCTCTCGCTCCTCCAGCTCAGCCGGCAGCAGGTGCGTTAAATGGGTCAGATCCTCCAGATTCTTTAACTAAAAACATACAATTCCTCTTCCAGGTGAGGCAGCTGCAGGCGGAGTACAAGGCGATTGTGGGCCTGATAGCCCGCTCGCTGCAACTGACGCCCCAGGAGGTCCGACTGATGCACCTGCGCAGCCTGAGCACCGCAGGAAAACCTCCTCCCGCGGAGGGCAAGGCGGAAAAGTCCCCAAAGGACGCAGCCAAGACTGACGAAGGTTCCCCCAAGGAGAAGCCACAGGAGAGCAGCAAAGACGAGGCCTCCAGTAGTCCCAATCCCAGTCCCAGCAGCTCTGCCGGCGAACCCGGCGAGGATCCCAACAAGAACAGCAACGAGAACGACGAGAAGATGCGCTCCGTGCTGACCAAGGCGGTCCTCTGGCTCTTCACCATCTACATGTTCGTGGCCTTCTTCTCCCTGCTGATTACCCCGCGTTCCGAGCGACCAGAGGTGACCCCATACCACTTAGAAGGCTGTCTATAAACTAATTCCCTTGCCTTTTTTAGGGCTCCACGCGCTACGTGTCCTGGAACGAGTTCGTGCACCACATGCTGGCCGTGGGCGAGGTCAAGGAGCTGATCATTCGGCCCGACATGGAGATGGTCACCATCATTCTGCACGAGGGCGCCGTCATCAAGGGCCGCAAGGTCTCGTCCAGCATCTTCCACATGGCGGTGGCCGATGCCACCCGGTTCGAGGAGAAGTTGCGCGAGGTGGAGAAGCGGCTGGGCATCAAGGACGGCGTGCCGGTGACCTACGACCGCCAGACGGACACCACCGGGCGCATCCTCATGCTGCTGCTCGTCTGCGCCCTGCTCGTCTCCATTGCCACGCGCATGAAGAGCATGAAGAGCCCGCTCAGCATGGATTCCTTTGTGCGTAGTTCGTGCTCCTTAGTCCCAAGAATATCTAATAATAATATCTACTTTCAGAACCAAATGGGCCGGGCCAAGTTCACGCTGGTCGATCCCTTCGACGGCGGCCGCGGCGTGCTCTTCCGCGACGTCGCCGGGCTCAGCGAGGCCAAGCAGGAGGTGAAGGAGTTCGTCGACTACCTCAAGTCGCCGGAGAAGTACCAGCGCCTGGGCGCCAAGGTGCCGCGCGGCGCCCTGCTCCTCGGACCGCCGGGCTGCGGCAAGACGCTGCTGGCCAAGGCGGTGGCCACCGAGGCCCAGGTGCCGTTCCTCAGCATGAACGGCTCCGAGTTCATCGAGATGATCGGCGGCCTGGGGGCGGCGCGAGTGCGCGATCTGTTCAAGGAGGGCAAGAAGCGGGCGCCGTGCATCATCTACATCGACGAGATAGACGCCATCGGGCGGCAGCGCTCGGGCACGGAGAGCATGGGCCAGGGCAGCTCGGGCGAGTCCGAGCAGACGCTCAACCAGCTGCTGGTCGAGATGGACGGCATGGCCACCAAGGAGGGCGTGCTCATGCTGGCCAGCACGAATCGGGCGGATATTCTAGATAAGGTGAGGGTCATAGCTTTATTGAACTTACCATATAATTGATCCTTTTCAAGGCCCTTTTGCGCCCCGGTCGCTTTGATCGCCACATCCTCATCGATCTGCCCACGCTGGCGGAACGCAAGGAGATATTCGAGAAGCACCTGTCCTCGGTGAAGCTGGAGTCGCCGCCCGCCACCTTCTCGCAGCGCCTGGCCCGCCTGACGCCGGGCTTCTCGGGCGCGGACATCGCCAACGTTTGCAACGAGGCTGCCCTGCATGCGGCGCGCAACACCCAAAAGGAGGTCAGCAGCAAGAACCTGGAGTACGCGGTGGAGCGGCTAGTGGGTAGGTGGATCCACAGATCAGAGATCAGAGCACATACTTAGCTTCTAACCTTTTCAGGCGGCACCGAGAAGCGCTCGCACGCCTTGTCGCTGGCCGAGCGCAAGGTGATCGCCTACCACGAATCCGGACATGCTTTGGTGGGCTGGATGCTGCCCAACTCGGACATCCTGCTCAAGGTGACCATTGTGCCGCGCACCAGCTTGGCCTTGGGCTTCGCCCAGTACACGCCGAGCGAACAGCACCTGTACAGCAAGGAGGAGCTGTTCGACAAGATGTGCATGGCGCTGGGCGGCCGGGCGGCCGAGAATCTGGTCTTCAATCGCATCACGACGGGCGCCCAGAACGACCTGGAGAAGGTGACCAAGATCGCGTACTCGCAGATCAAGAAGTTCGGCATGAACGCGACCCTGGGACCCATCTATGTCCGCGATGCCGACGAGACGGAGGGCGGCGGCGCGATGGGCAGCGGCGGCAAGAAGCCCTTCTCGCGGGCCATGGAGAGCCTGATCGACAACGAGGCGCGCCACGTGGTGGCCAGCGCCTACCAGACCACCGAGGGGATACTCGCCACGCACCGCGACAAGCTGGAGAAGGTTCGTATCTTTAAATCAATAGAGATAATATCCTAGAAGCATTGAACGATTTTTCCATACAATTCACATTTTATTAACTTTCTTTTAATTTATTAGAGAGAATTTTAAGTGTGTAAACAGGACTCCAAAATATATCCGAAATATGATAAACAGATTAAAACAATTTTATAAGTTGGAAACCTTTTAGAATCTACCTATAATTTCTCACTCAAGTGATTTAAAATGATTTTAATATCTACAATATTTTTATCAATTAAATATCAGTAAATATTTAAATATTTCCCATTTAGTAGTGAGAAACTACTATATTCCGTTTATTTATGCCTCAAACAATTCTATAAACTTAGTATTTTATTTATAATTTCCGATATTTTATTTTGTATACGAGTCTCTAGAGCTTCGATTTGATGAGATCTTGTGGTGTAAATTATAAAAAGCTGATTATGAACATGATTGATTATAGTAAATCAATGGCTAATGAAACGAGTTATTTTAGCTCGTTATATTTCGGTTATATCCTACTTGCATACTCACTTACCTCACCATCTCTCTTTCAGCTGGCTGAGGCGCTGCTCGAGAAGGAAACGCTGGACTACGACCAGGTGGTGGAGCTGATTGGTCCGCCGCCTTACGACCTGGGGAAGCGGCAAGTGGACGGCGTGGAGTTTGAGCAGTCACTGAAGAACCTGGGCAGCGACACGGACGCCACGAAAGCCTGAGGCTTGGAGTCGAACTCAGATTCAGATTCAGGTTAAGAGTCACAGTCACAGTCACAGTCATTCATCATACGCCACGTGGGCCCAGTCGCTCACCTTTCCGCCCGTTGTCCGCCCCTGGTTCATGTTCGTTGAATGTAAATAAAGTTGTTTACCTTTTTAAATGATTCCAAGCCGTATTCATTGTCTAATTGCCCGCTAATAAGCCGCGTCTCGTCGTCTCGGGCAAGGCGATTTCGATTTGCAACTACCTAACGGATAAAACAGTCCAACTTCAGTAATGAAATCAATCGAAAATCGAAAGTGAATATAGCTGTGACTTTGACTGGCAAATAAATTGTTATGTAATTTTTCTATTGTTGAGCTGAAAGCAATATATTAAAATCTGTTTAGAAAGGATATTGTTTGTAGGGTATTTTATTCGATTCTTGGGATTGTTGCCTTAAGTTTGCCTTAGCGAAGCTATATCGTAGAGTCCATTGAAGATCCATCATGGTTATTTCCTGGTAGCTCAATCATCCAGTCCACAATTGGATATAAGGAAATTTCCCAATGAAAACCAAATCTGTGATAATACATTGTAAGCCGAAGTTACCATAATACCCGCCATTGAGCAGGGTATCTGTATAATCAGCGTCATCGCACCGACATGACAGGAGATCAAAGTGTAATTCCACACTTGTCCACACTGACCTACAACCTGACACGCACTGCCAATTGGCTGAGCACACACAGTCACCCGGTGACCGGTCCGAGTCCGATTCCAATTCCGATTCCGATGGTCACCTGATGGCGGAATCCACCGATCCCCTCCAAGTCGGTCGGGATTATTATACCTCCTTATATGTAATATAAATATGTAATTCATTTAATTGTAACTTAAAGATAATATACTTTATAATATTAACCAATATCTGCTCCTTAAATAGAGTATAAAAATTTAAGAACATTTTTTGTATTTATATTTAATCTATCAACACCTTACCACCAGATATTCCAAGTCGAGACATTCGGAAACACCATTTTTACGCGACTATCTTCACAGTTACGCAAATATCAGGGTCTACCACATTTACGTAAATTTGCCTTTATGGGTGCATTTCTAAATTGAACTCAGATGATAGAAACTCTAGAGATGGCGAAGAGAAACCAGTTCTCCATTGCAACCCAGCTGAGAATCGCTTGGTTTTCACTCATATTCGAATTATGTATGAGCCGAATGCGGCTTTAACTTTTCTCACTTCATATCGGATATCGGCATGTCACTTGCTTTAGTTTCCAACCTTAATTATAATTTATTAATTATGTATTCAGGAAAATGTAAAGAACAGAAATCTTCATAAATTTTCTGCTAATAATACACAAATATAATTTATAATCTGACAATAATATAATTTGAATTTGGAATATCTATTGTTGGTTTTACCATTAATTTTGTACAATATTTGGATTGAATAATATAAATTAATAAACATTTGAAAGAATATAGTCTCTGATCAAGTTGGGGACTTTCCAATCTCAGTCAAGTTATTGCAGTCCGTATTTAAATAAGGTTTCATGCCGGTACAGTCGGCTTTAGGCGCAATTAATTCGATTTGTTCCCCGGATCGCTCTTGAACTTGCACTCGGCTTCGGGAGGATGCATAAATAGGCCCGGCTTTGGTTTGGAGGGAGTCAGTTGTCGCCCAGCTAAATCGGTATAAAGAAATCGGACTACGGATTACGGATTACGGATTACACAGAAATGCAGTTTACCGGTGTCTCGATGTTTTCGGCATGGATCGTTATCGGTGTGCTGTGTTCTATAGTTCCCTATAGTGCCTCCGATGTATTCCGTGAGTGTCTCTTTATGAGAAAAAGGATTAACTATATATATATAAAGATATATATCTTTTTTTTAATTTAAAGTTCCTATTAAAAAAAAACTTTATATTCAATGCTAACTATATTTAAGTAGGTATGTGATTGAATTTTAAAATATTTAAATACATCAACAAAATCAAAGTTAAAAATCTTAAGATTTAAATGGAACAGAAATAAGTTTCTTCCTATAATTTAATCTGCAGTTACAAAATTTTTTTTAATAAAACAAATTCTATTTTTTATCTACGGATTGAACACAGCACCGCCTCTGAAACGCTGCAAGGTAGCAGATGAGTCGTGCTTCGTGGCACAGGCGCAGGCCTTCTTCGGGGCCTTCCAGAGGGGAATTCCGGAGCGGCAGGTGAACGGCCTGGAGCCCATTGATCTCGGCTCGATGCGCGTCGAGAGCGGTGGCCACTCGGAGTCGCTGCAGTTCAAGCTGGTGATGAGCAATGCCAAGCTGTACAACCTGGCCAAGTCCGCAGTGGTCAAGAGCCTGAAGGGCTTCACCAAGGACCTCAGCAAGCCACTCAAGCTGACCATGGTCATGGATGCACCCGAACTGGAGGTGCGGGCCAAGTACGACGTGGACGGCAAGCTGCTCATCCTGCCCATAGTTAGCAAGGGCGATGTAACCATTCGGTTGGACCACGTGCAGACCAAGTCGAGGATTATGGCGGAGCCAGTCAAGCGGGACGATGGTCATACATATCTCAACATCACCGATTACAAGACGATCACCAAGATTAAGGGGTGAGTAAATATACGGAAATGTGGCATTCAAAAAGTATTCAACAAATGAATTCCCTTTCACAGTGGCCACTTTGACATGACGAACCTGTTCAACGACAACGTGGAGCTGCGGGAGAGCACCTTGAAGGTTCTGAATCAGGAGTGGAATACCCTGGCCGTCGATGTGCAGCCGAAGATTAACGAGGCCTGTTCCAAGGCCTTTAGATCCATACTGCAGAATCTGTGGAAAAATATACCTTACGACGAGTTCTTCGAGGCGGAATGAACGCACTTTATATATTCATTTACTTTTTGAAATATTGTTCTACCACAAAATAAAGTACTTATCTCTATACCCAATTAACAAAACCGCAATTCTGGGGAGTGTCGGGGTTTGGAGTTTTGCAATTTATTACGCAACGGAATAAATAAATATAAGACTGTTTAAACGAAATATAAATAAAATATTTTAAGCTGAGATGCAGTGTTTGAAGAATTTTAACACATTTGATGTTTCTGATTTGAGATCTACACATTATACTCTGTTTTCATTGATTTTACAGATCCTTGAAGGACCATCTCATTCGGTGTTTCGTTGCTTCAATCAGATTCGTAGACTCGGAGAACTGAAAGGGAAACCCGGGATTAGCTGGGATGCACTGGCACTAGGTGACTACTACGAGCGGCTCACTCTTCTCTAGGATCCCTGCTGGTCCTCGGTGCCTGCTGTTTGCTGCTTGCTGGTTGGTTCGTCCTAGGGATCGACTTGGTGCACCCGATTGTGTACGTCGGTCAGCAGCAACTGCGGGTTTGGCAACTACCCATCCCCGTGTTGCGTCTGGTCCTCCTCGGGGTGTTCCATGATCTTGTTCTCCGAAGTGCTGAGGCTCTGTGGGATAAGACCTTCGGTTAACTGGCTGTCAACTGGACTTGGCCTTGAACCCGGGCACATACCTTTATCTTACGATGCTTGGGGTCCTTTTCGGTGTCTGGCGGACTCTCCGAGCCGTCGGTGGTCTTGATGAAGGACGAGTAGAACGAGGAGAAGCTGGAGCCATCCATGTCGTCGCTGTTTCCATTGCTGTCCGTGTATTTCTGTGAACGATAATGGTGTACTTAGTACTACTTCATTTCCGTTGATTGATTATGATCATTAGGGCTGTACAAGTATTTCCCAGTTCGGTTTGCATCCGTAATTACCTTGTTGTTGGTGGGATTGCTGCTGCAGGGCGGGTCGGAGTTGTAGTCGCCCATCACGGACGCGATGGGCGAGGAGTCGGGCGCCACCACCTCCTTCTTGCAGGGATCAGCACCCGCCGCATTGGACCCCGCACCCTCCGCCTTGACGGAGGTGGTCTGCGAGGAGGGCCGTTGCACCTGGGCGGGAGTGGTGACCGAGTGGAATGCGCCGGGCACCTTCTTTGTCATGGACACTGGCGTGGCCTGTGGGGGAATCGGGAGTGGTTGAGTTAGCCAAATATCTAGGGGTCAATTTCTCATTGTCACGTTAAAATTATAGTTTCTTAACCGTTAGTTAACCGATAGTTAACCTCTAGTCAAATGTTTTTTGTCAGATAATTCATCGGGAATCGGGAGTGGTCAATTTCTCAATGTCACGTTAAGGTTATAGTAAGTTAACCGTTAATTAACCGACAGTTAACCGCTAGTCAAATGTTTTTTGTCAGATAATTTATCGGGAATCGGGAGTGCTTGAGTCAATGTCACGTTAAGGTTATACTTTTTTAACCGTTGGATAAGGTTGGCTTGATGTTAAATGGTTCGTTTTCTCAATATGATGTTAATTTTACGAACGAAAAATGTTTACAAAGTCTGTTGTCACACGATTCAGTATAAAATGTAACTAGAACATAATCTCTAGTCAAATGTTTTTAGTCAGATAATGAGACTCAAGCACAAAAGTTAACCGGACATTGAGAAATCGACTGTTAATCTGGAATTGGCCCATCCAGCTGACTCACCGTATACACCGTCTTGTTGTACGCCGACTGGGAGCCCAACGGCCGCTCCGGAATCTGCAGGGCGTTGGCCATCCCGGGGAAGGGCATCGGCTGGTACATCATGGCCGTGGCGGCCGCCGCCGCCGGATGCGTGTAGAAGAGGGAGGGATGCGGGTACATCACGCCGGCCATGTACTGGAGCGGCATGGCCTGGGCGGCCGCCGCTGCAGCCGCCGCCTGCTGCGAGGTGGTGGGCAGCTCCACGCCACTCTTGTGCGGATGCTTGTGGATCCGGGGCGAGCGCGTGGGACTGGTGGGCGTCAGGGAGGCGGCGGGGATGTAGTAGAAGGTGGGGAAGAGGCCGGCGGAGGAGAAGCTGCTCTGGGCCATGGCCGTGTGCGTGGAGTGGACGGGCGGGGTGATGCCCACCGAGAACGGCGGCCAGAGATTGATGTTCTGCGTGCAGGAGGGATAGGAGGAGGGTCCTGGCGTGGAGCTGCCCACCGAGGAGGAGGTGGCGCCCGCCGCTCCTCCGGCTCCGCCCCCTCCGCCGCCGCCCGGGGTTCCCGCTCCCGATGTCGTGGTTGTGGTCCTGCCCTCCGGTGGCACGCTTCCTCCTCCTCCTCCGCCTGCCACCCCTGCTCCTCCCGATCCCACCCCGCCGGAGCCCGCTGCTGCTCCCCCGCCTCCACCTCCGCCGGCTCCCGCTCCCTTGCTCCCGGCATCGCCGGTTCCCAGGGTCAGCTGCTGCTTGGGCTTGTTCGCCTCGCCCTCCCACGAGTGGGAGCCGCCCCGCTTGATCCCGTGTCCCGGGCCACTGTACTCGAGCATCTTGAGGGTGTCATTGGCGGACTTCTTGCTCTTCTCCCCGGTGCGTCCCCGCGATTCGCGGTGCTTCTTCAGCATGAACTTTTCCATTTCGTCATTGTGCTTGTTGAGCAGGGATTCGGTGAGGGTAATGGGCGGAGAGGCGGCGCCGCCTCCTCTGGAGGAGCTGGTGGTGCCAGTGGTGGTAACGGTGGTTCCAGAGTTGGTTCCATTCCCCGTTCCGGTTCCTGTTTTGGTACCGGTTCCTGTGCCTGTGCCTGTACCAGTTCCAGTACCAGTTCCCGTACCAGTTCCCGTTCCAGTTCCACCGGTTCCCGCAATGCTCGTATTGGTCACACTGCTCATGTGTATATTACTGGCGGTGGTGAAGTTCCCGGAGGAGCCGCTGCCCCCGCTGCCCTCGTGGACGGGACTCATCGGTCCACTGGCTCCGCCACTGACACAGGTGCTCCGCGGCTCCGGCGGCGGCTCCGTCTTGGGCGGATCGAGCTCCGCCGGCGCCGTGACCGGCTTGCTGTTGAAAAAACGCAGCAGGTTCTCGTTATAGTTTAGCTGGTTGTAGCTGGGCGGCGTCTCAGTGGAGCTCTTACTGTCATAGTAGTCGTGGTGCGGCGAGATCTCGCCGAGCATCACGCTGTCGCGCTCCGAGACGGTCAGCTCGTTCTCGTGCGGCAGCTCCAGCTTGAGGTCGGCGCGCGAGACCTCGTCCATGAGGGTCTCCATGAAGCTGGCCAGCGCCTGGCAGCGGCGGGAGACCTCCTGCTTGACCGTGTCCGACGGACGGGAGACGGTCTCCGCCAGCCGCTTCACGATGTCCTCCTTGATGCGCGTGTTCCGGTTCTGGGCCTCCTCCGATATCTTGAGCTTGCACGTGGGTGCCGCCTCGAAGACGTTGCACTGTTTGGGACCTGGTGAAGTAATAAAAAATATGGTAAATAACATGATAAATCACTAGTATTCAAAAGTAACGGTTGTTGGCTTTTTAAACTTTTATCTGTTGTAAATGTGACAATCTGGCAACCCTGTTAACAGTTATCGATATCGATCGCAGCGCAGCCAACTTCAAGTTGTCAAAGTTGCGGTAAATGCGAATAAGAAGCGAAAAGGAAACGGAACGGTCGAATTTCGGAAAAGTGTTAATAATATAAAAAATGCTAAGATTCCCCTTTATGTTGCATTAACAAACTCACCCTGAAACACCCTGTGATGGCCGACCACGAACTCCAGCTTGCGCGACCACGGATTTACGAAGCTGGTCCACTCGGTCTCCAGGAGGACGTAGCAGCCGTTCTGGATGAGGAAGCGGTAGGGCTTGCTGCAGAAGGAGGCGCCCGCCGTTTGGCCCTTCTTCATCACCGTCTCGTAGGTCTCCTTCATGACGCTGAGGTCCTCGTGGTGGTAGAAGTCCATGATGCTCCTGCCGATGAGGTCCTGCGGCAGGTAGCCCAGCGCACTCACCGCCGCGCTGTCCACGTGCGAGATGATCCCGGTGGCCGTGTGCCGGATGGCGAACTTGGGGCTCTTCTGCGAGAGGATCTCGTCGGGAACTAGAGGAGTAAGTTGTAAATGAAGCCTTTGGAGACCTAGTCACACCACTCACCCTTGTAGCTGCTCTTGATCGGAGTGGCGCAGATGACGAGCAGCATGTTGGTGCCGTTGGAGACCATGTAGTTGTCCGGCCGCGCCTCCTCGGGCGCCTCCCGGAAGGTCAGGCCCAGCCGGAAGGGCTCGTAGCTCACCGGCCGCCCGATCACCCCGAATCCGCCGGACTTGAGGCCCCGGTAGCGGCGCAGCATCACGCAGAAGGTGCTCTTGGCGTCCTTGGGCATGCTGCCCCGCGACTCGGCGATCGGTATGCCCGTCGTGATCTGGCTGGCGAAGGTGGCCCGGTCCTTGAGGTGCACAAAGTCGATGAAGGAGCGGCCCAGCCACATGTCGCGCGGAAAGCCCAGCACATCGGTGATGCTGGGCGTGGTGTAGAGCACGATGCCGTCGTGCATGGAGATCACGCAGCAGAAGCTGTCCTCCTTCACCCTGCCCGGGATCCCGCCCGACGCTCCCGCGGCGCTCACGCCCGCCATGGACTCCAGCTTGCCCGGCGTCGACTCGCCCCACGCTTTGTCGAACTTCCCCAGGCCGCTGTCCAGGCCGGAGGCGTGGCCCACGCCCCCGCAGCCGCCCACTCCGCCGCCCATCGAGGGCGGCACTATGGTCACGGACAGCGGCGAGGGGATGGGGAAGCTCTGCTCCGCCTCCGACTTGGCCGCGCCCAGATCGCCACGATCCGCCGACTCGGACTCGGATCCCGACTGGTCGTCCTCCTCCTCCTGCTGCTGGCGCAGCTGCTCCGCCGGCTCCGTGGCCTCGCCGCGATCCTCGCCGTGCTGCTGGTGGTCCTGCAGCGTCTGCTGGTCCCCGCATCCACTGCCGCTGGGCCGCGGCGGCTTCTCCTCCGCCCCACCTATGCCCCCCTCCAGGGAGGCGGCCGCCGAGATCAGGGATTGCACCTGCGTCTGCCCCGTCCCCTTGTTCTTCTTCTTCTTGCGCGACTTGTCCTTGTTCCGCTTGATGATCATGTCGCTGCTGCTGGCCTGCGTCGAGGGCTTGCCCCCATAGCCGCTGCTGCCGGACGAGTGGCTGCCGCTCAGCCGGGACTTGGAACTGCCACTGAAAGGTAGGTAGGTTATAAATGGGTTATAGGATAGTTATAGCTCAGGATAGTCAAATCGAACTATCAAAATATTCATCACCTCGCCCTTAAAGCTTATAACTTACATGCACTGACAGCAATATTACATTTTATAATGTAAGCCATTTTATAGATTTTAAAATTTGATTATAAAATGAAACTCATTTTTATAATAGCATATAATGTTTAATATTCTCTAAATATTTTTCTTAATGGCATAAAATGTTTAATATTTTCTACCTTGATTTAAGTATTCCGAAATGCTAAAAACGATAGTTTCTTCTCAATTTTTATACAAAACTTTAAGTCTATCTATGAAATTTAAAGGAAGCTTCAAACAATGATTTTCCATACGATTTCAAGGTTTTAATCCTACTTTAAATTTAACTAACGGACAAGAAAACGGCCTATAATAATTTAATTGAATATACTAGTTAAAGATTCTCAGTTATCGTGGCCTACTTTTCGGGGCTTGCAGGACTTAAATACTAGACAATTAGGCAGACGACTTACCTGCGCTGCGACTGACTGTTGCTGCAGCTGTTTGAATACGCCGAATCGGACACCTTGGTGTTGTGTGTGGACTCCGTGGACTCGCCGCCCTCCATGTTGTTTAGGTTCTCCATATTGCCAATTTGTGTGATATATAGTATTTACTTTGCGAGATTTCTGAAAAACCGAAGGGTAACCATTGATAAATGACTGATAACTTGGACTTGAAATCATTTAAACCTCAATAAGTAACAGCAATTCAAAAAACTATCATAATCATAAGATATTCCAAAACATTTCTATACTTATATTATATTTCCACTTTAGTCGGTAACCCATTAATTTTCCGCTAAAAGTCTTTGTGAAATTTGAGGAGCTTCTGTAAATTGCCCAACTGCATTGCAGAATCGACTTGTACTTTCATTCAAAACGGTGTCGTTGCATGAACGTGAATCGATTGTGATTGTGTTGTGAAATAGTTTCAGTTCCTCCGAATCGAATGATGAAATAAATCACGCATTTGTTGCGGCATTGCGTTGCGATTCACAAACATCGGAACTTCGTGGCAAAGGCGATGCAGCCTACCATTAATTGAAAATTCGACGCTGGTCCTCATCAAAATATTTGCGTATGTATCGTATGTACTAAATATCTATTTAAATGTATTCACGTTGCTTGATTTATTTCCTTTGACTCATTTTAGGATTTTATAGGGATACGGGATAAACACACTGACAATAATCATAAACTAAGTGAATTTTCACATTAATTAACACCTGATTGGTGGCATCGAAAGTGAAAACTCTGTAATAGATATTAAATTATAGTACAAGGATCTTGAATTCTACTCATTAAGTGTTTTAAGCAGTTACTAAATTGTTAAATATTTTTATATTTGTAATTCTTTATCCCGGAAATAGTAGTTATATTGTCTTAAGCTTTGTACACAAGTCGTCTGTACTGAGGCTGCACTGTGGTAATTAAGAGCGGGAGGGAGAAGGCAAAATGTTGCATTCACGTGCAGCTGCAGGCGTTGTGCGTCGTGCTTTTGTTGTTCCCGCCAACGGATGCCGTTATGCAGTCGCAATGCACTCAGCTGCACACCCACATTGAAGCTCAGATAAAAGATAAATCCCCTGGGAGCTTTTCTGCACAGTGTGCTTGAAAGTCCAGTGAAAAAGTGCCAAATAAGCAAAGAACTCATTATTCGCTAATCAAGAAACTCGTATTTCACACAATCATAAATGATTACGTAAGTTTATTAATACCCAAAAAAAATTAAAGTTATGGAGTTCATTTCAAACGATTACATAAGAGCAAAGTCAGCTAAAAGTACTAAAAAATGTGCATGACAAATAAAAAAACATTGTATGAGCATTAGAGTGGACCTTAACTAATGCATTTAAAAAACAACAAAATAATTAAAAATAATATAATGTTCCTTAGTAATCAAAGAAAAGGGAAGAAAGGCTTAAAGGAAATGTAGTAATAATGATAATAATAATACAATGCTCTACTCAACCAATTAAGTTCAAATGTTCCTTACTTTCTACAGTTAACAAGCCCAAACTTTGGGCAATAGCCCATTCGACGCGCCTCTAAATCGATTGTATAATTCGACAGTTAACCCAGTTTACAACGCACACGTCAGTGCGCTTTGTCGCAGAGTCGTCAAACGCTAGCAAATCAAAGAGGGCCAACTGGTCGAATCCTTGCGGGAGGCTTGGATTGCAGGATTACATTCGCATTTCGTGCGTCATTCGCGGCGATGTTAGATAATGCAATGAAGGTAGCGCGCGCCAGACGGTGGATAACAGCCCCATAACCGAGGGGTTCGGGATCTGAGCCACAGCCATGGGTTGTGGGAAAATACCATACAATGTATAAAAAAGGACGGACGAGCTATTAATGTATTTCTGTTTCGCTTGTATAACCCGTCTGAGACTTTCCGAATCTGTTCGACACAATTATATATTTTTGTGGTGATACGTGGCGTATGCAAATAATATTCCTTAAATGTTTATAGAATTATCTTATCGTTTAGCATTGTTCCGAATAGTTCCTTAAGACCAAATAATATTAAGACATAAAAAGCTGAAAAATGAATAGTAATAATCACCAACTATCCTATTTTAAGCGAGCTTAGGGTCTCTATAATACATCCTCTGTTAGCTATAAGATAGCATTAGATAATAATAACAGCAATAATTCCAAGTTTTTAAATCCCCTGAAATTTTAAGTTCACCCGTGCGTATGCGTAATATCCTGTGACCCGATTAAGTGGCATATTTACTTATAGACGTACAGTAAATGACTTTGTTTCAAGCCAATTAACGGCATATGTGTATAATATAGTACAATACAAAGTGTTTGGAAACAAAACGCCCATCGAAATGTTGTTTTTATATTTGATATTTATCGCAAAGTATCGTTCAGTAGGGTCAGGTATGTGTTCGGGGCTTTTGTTTACGCTGCAGTTGATTACAAACTCTACCTCTCTGTGCAACGTGCACTGTGCAGTCGGCACTTATTAATAAACACTCTATATGTACACCATATAGGCGTTATGAACCGAGTTCTTTATGTAAGTTGGGCTGAGTTGTTTTGTTTGTTTTTTTTTTGCAATATGATAATGGGTCTCTCTCCGGCCTGTTGCTATTTTCTGTTTTTTTTTTGCAACAACGTGACAAATGCACTTACACTCTCGCTCGCTCTCCCTGTTGCACTCGCGGGAGGATGAGATGGCTATAGATCAAGTTGTGGGCTTTATCCCTCACTTTGCGGCTGGTTCAATTCGCACTCAGCTTCGACACTCTCACTGTCACCAAATCCGAATAAATAAAAGGTATTTCTGCTGGCAAAAAAAAGGTATCTTGCGTGTTTCTAGAGGTCGTTGTTTCGATTCTTTCAAATAGTTCGGTTGCTCGGCGAGCGCGTTGTTCGACCTTCCAGCTTTAAATCCCCACGAATACTAGCTGTGGCCCCAAGCTCCAAGCTGCAGTCTACAGTCATATTCCATAGCCGTCGCATATTCGCATTCTGAGAATTTTCTCACACTCAATCACCGCTCTCCGCTGTCGCTGAGAATCGGAGAATCGTGGTCGTTCGGGAACTTGCGAATCGGCTGAAATACTCGCACTCTACTCTTCTAGCATTAACCCTTGGGCGAAGCTTTTGTAAACCCTTAAAAGCTAAAAAAGGTATCATATTTACAAAATGAAACTTACCATAAAATTTAAGAATAAAATTGTTTAAATAAATAAAAAAGGTAAATTTGTATGGGCATAATTAATTTGTAAGCTTCTCTTACTATTTAAAGCTTTATAATAAAACACACTTTAAAAAACAAGAAATTTGAAAAGTGATATATCTCTATTTCAGGTTTTTGGCTTATCATTTCGATTGTTTGTAACTGGAACTTCCGCTCTTCACTCGCCACATGCAAATCCAAAAGAAAAGCAGACCCCGCGCACCAACTTGAGGTTAAGGTAAGCTGTGGAATCCCCCCTCTTTTCGGGGGTGGTTTGTGGGTGGCTGCCGGGGGCTTTCAGGCGGCTGGCAGCACGTTTTCCAGGGGGTGTTTTTCGGGGGGGGGTGCCTGGGCGGCGGATTTGCGGGTCAAGTCACGCAATTCGCCACGTGAGCGTCGGCTTTTCACTGCCTACGGCTTTCTCGGGACGCTTTTTGCACTCGGGCCTGCCCCACGATGGCTCTGGCCATCAGCACTGACATTTCGCAACGGCACTGAAATTACTCACCCACAATCTATCATCTATCGCCAGCAGCCCCCTGCGCTCTCTGTACGGACAATACGGACTATACGGACAACTCAAATGAAATGAAAGTGGCGCCAAGCTTTTGGACCCCTCAAACCTCGCCATGCGCCCCGCGGAAGCTCTCTACCTGGGCAGGTGTGCTCTGTGGCACGTACTGATTGAAATGCCTTGCCTTGGCCCAGGTGGGCGGGCTATCGATTGCCAACGGATTTATTGGGATTCGAAGGCGACGAGCGCGGGTTGTAGCCAACAGGTGGCGTCACAGAGACCACCAGGGGTTGTTGAACTCTGCAAATGTAGATATGAGTAGGTTAAAATGGGGAAATGCCTCGATTTAGAGGAACGACTCTTTTTTAAGGAGGTTAAAAATAATAGTTTGGTTACCACAAATTACAAGTTTGTAATGCTAGAATTCACTGTTTCATGAAAACCATCACTATTTAAACGAAATTAAGGCAGCTATAGGATAAAGACGTCCGATCTGCGGGGGTTTCATACCACTAAAAGATGACCATTCGATTTCAAGTTGGTCGAGTAAATCGCCGGAACCAGACTCATGAAATCATCAAATATATTTATGCACATCGGCGACAACACATTTTCGTTTAAAAATCTGATGAAATGCAAAAGTAACGGCTTTTTAACAGCTATATTTTTCGTTTGGGGCTTTCAGGTATTTTTTTAAATTTGTAAGCGAGGGGTGGCAACGCTGCCAGCAACAATCTAATATCGATAGCATATCGCGTCCCTTTGCCAATCGACCTTCGCAGAATGGAAAAGCTAAAGGGAAAAGGAAAAAGTGAAGCCGTGCACAATTAAAATTTAATCAAATAATTTGGATAATGGATAATGGAGAACAAACAACGCATTCCCACAGATCAGCAGAAGGGGACATCAAATTTGCAAGCATGGAAATGTTTTCGTTGGAACGGAACTGCTTTTATTCATCCAAGATCACATGTACATAAGTATGGAAGTGCCTGTAGAAGGAAACGCAAAGTTTTGTACATATGTATGTGTGTACCTGTGTAAACGCAAATTAAAGGTGCTTCGATCTGTGCCAAATATTAAGTAAATGAAGATCTTAATTGTTTTACCGTACGCACAAGCGATCAACTTTTACATATGTATGTGGACGGACATATGTATGTATGTATTCGAGTGGAAGGAACCCCAAAACATATGTATGCATGTATGTAAACATGCTAGCAAAGTTAAAACGTAACACGAGTGCGAATATATACATACATACATAGTACATATACACTGGAAAGAGGCTTCCAGTATTTTTGGAATGGGTCGATCAACAAGGAAAAGCCCCTAAAATCTGGTCCAAACAATGGTAAGTTATTTTTAAATTCTTTTTAATTATATAGATAATTATTACATTATCAATGTTTACTACTTGCCAAATCTACAATATACATACATACAGGCAAGAAGACATTTACATACTAAATGTTCCTCATGAATTGGTAGAATTTACTATTCCATTTCCAAGGACGATCTTTCACCATTTCAAGTCCCAGCAAATCCGATTAAGCATTAATTCTAATGAAGCATTAGTTCTCTTTGATTATATAGATAATTATTAAATTCGTCGTTTACTATTTGCCAAACCTACACACATATGTATGTGCACATAGGCAAGATACCATATGAATTGGTAGAATTCACCATTCCATTTCCAAAAAACGACTTTTCACCATTTATAGACCCCTTTCAACTCGCTGCAAATCCGATCCAAGTGTCGAAAGGTGTTATTGTATTTTATCAGCCTTCCCATCGGTCTGCGGTGGCTTGGAATAATTGAATTTTATTAATTGGCGGCTTTGCCGTCGTCGAGTGGGTGTGAAAATCCATTTGACCGGCCCACTTCCACCCGAAATCCTTCTTTGTGGCCACGTGCTGGTGTTTGCCGAAGTTTGCCGGCCTTTTCTGGGTCCCGTACTTACTGTTTTTATCTATCCCGGCCACACACGTGCCGAAAAGTCACAGACGCCTGCCCTGAAATGATAAAAAGAGCACTCGCATCCGAATTAGCCACCAAACTGCTGCTAATTTGATTTTGATGCCGGCGACTGTTGACTTTCCTCACTTTTCTCCACTCACGGGTTATTTTGATACGATGTGATTTCATTTGATTGCCACTAATCGGATTTCGGGGGGTGGTTTGGTTTGGCCTTTGGCTTTTGGGTGAGTGTCGGTCGGACTGTGAGCGGGATTAGATCCGGGTTCCCAAGGCCCACCCTCTGATGGCCAAGTGATGATGGTTTAAGAACCTGCTCATGAATACGAACTGCGATTAGGAGACAGTGGACCACATCAGGTGGGCTGCACGAGACTGCATCCCTTTAAGGCACTGAATATATTAATAAGTTTTGTACTACTATTTATCTCGTTTTCTCGTTGGCATGTTAAATTTAAAGCAGGCTTTAAACTTTGATTTACCATACATTTTCAGGGTTCACAATAATGCTTAAACTTTACAAGTTTATGGAAATTCAGACTTTTAACCCTAATTTAAATTCAACATGCGGATGAGAAAACGTTCCTAAAAGTCGTATCAAGCATATTTCCATCCAGATGAATTTTCGTTAACTAGTTGACGGTCTTCCGCATCTTAAATTTTAAGTAGGCTTTAAACTCAGAATTTACTTAGCCGCCATTTCACACAAGATCCTTCTGCAGTTGGGACCCGAAGGTCAGGATAACCCTGCTCTTCCAGGACTCGGATCACACATGCACTATTGTCCATAATCTAATCAAGTTTCCGGCACGGGAATCGGTTTGCTCCATTAGCTTTGTTAATCCCTCCAGGAAAATGTCACTAGATGACGATGCAGGATGACCTTGGAGATCTCGAGGAGGAGCCTGAGAATCAAGCAGCTCAACTAGCTGGGTCCCAAGAACAAGTCGATGTTCCAGAACCAGGACAAAGTCCCATGGCCATGGGAGCTTCTAGGTGCATCCTCCAGGAGCGGCGTTACCTGGTCAATCTCTGGCCCTGCGACTTCTAAGCTGCCACCTCGAAATATAAAGCTAAGATGTAGGTTTTTGCCAAATTTCCCTATACCCAGAAAATGTCTGGCTAAATAAATGCCCGGGTCCTAACAACCCTTAGCGCTCTTCACTTGACTCCGCCTTCTAGCGCATGCGCAGTTCGCACTCTTAACCTATGTTACCCTTAATCCTTCTCATAATCATTGGCGTGGTAATTAATTAGACAATTCGATTTGAAGGCGTGGAACAAACCGGAATGGCCAGTTCTTGTAAGATGACAGAGGCGTTGAAATTTCAACGCCTTTGGCGAAAACTTTTACTGGACCCTAATCCCAGGAGAAGATTAACATCTTTAAAAGGGACAAAAGGTTGCAAGCACTTAGTGGTTATTGGCTTTTGGCAACACATTTTTGAGGATTTTGATAAGATCTAAGAAATGGACCCTTAAACAAAAACCAATTTTACGAAATAATTAAAAATTAAACACACCATTTTTACAACAAGAACATAAAAATTCCTATTTTTACCGGAAACAAAGATTTACCATCCAAAAATATCAGTATTTTGGCCGTAACATTAGAAATAATAGTCCAAATATGGAATGCCATACCTCTTTGAACTCGTAATAAAATTCAAAAACGATTTGCGTTCAAATCTTGACATTTTAATTTTTGGCAATTTTTTGCAAAAAATCATGATGTAACCATCATTAAAAAATGCAAAAATTGGTTAAAAAAATAAATTTTCCGGAAAGTGATGGGGATCGTTAGTTTAGGTTGTTAGCTGTTCAAAACAGTAAGTCATTTAGCTGTCGGCCTTGATTTGTCCAAATTACAGCGGAAAAACTGAAAAAAAACGTTTATTTTTGTCTAAAAAAAATAAATTATTATGATGACGTGGCCCATTGTAAATTTACTTAATTTAAAATTATAATAATAAAGAACATACCTGGAGATAATCTCGATGCACTGCATCTTGGAGTCCAGTTCCATCCAAATGACATCCCAATATTTGGGTCTCCTGAAGTCACTTCACAACCACCAACACCCACACCGACTTCCGGTCAACTGATTTATCGGCGACCATAACACCTAGGTCGTAAATTTCTAGCTAGAAGTAGTTGGGAATTATAAGTACCCACTGCGGGGATCAGTTTTCAATTGTCATTATTGATGACGTGTCCCATTGTAGATTTCATTATTTTTACATTTACATTAAAAATATTTCATTTAATAAATAAATACATAGTTGAGGGCCATATCTGGAGAGGATATCGATGCACTGCATCATGGAGTCCAGTTCCATCCAGATGACATCCCAATATTTGGGTCTCCGGAAGTCACTTTACAACCACCAACACCCACACCTACTTCCGGTCAACTGATTTATCGGCTACCATAGCACCTAGGTCGTATAGTTTTAGTCTAGAACTAGTTGGGAATTATATGTACCCACTGGGGGATAATTTATTTAATTAACATTATCGATGACGTGGCCCATTGTAAATATTTTTTTTCTTTTATGAAAGTTTAACTTTATTAACCATTTAAATTTAAGTTTCACTTTAAAATTAATGTTATTACTACTTTTGGGAGTAGGCTTCTGCGTTTCCTGTTACCATTTATTTTAAGGCCCCATATTTCACACATATATTCTGTTCAAATTCGTGTAATGCTCCAGTGATATTTTAGCGTAAATTAATTTTCGGTTGAACATAAATTAAAAATTCTTCTTGCTCTGATTAGTTTTTTCCAAGGGATACGTCGAAATGAGCTACACGAACCTCCTGCGGCAGCAAAACGTGGTGGACGACTGTCAGCGAGTGAGTTGCAACCGCGGACCGGCGTCCAATCTCGCCGGGCGCTGCGTGATCAGTCGCGACATCGTCGTCGGCTGCCGGATGGAGCAATGCGATCCCGACCTGCCCTACATGCTGGAGCCCACGTGGATGGTCTACCTGCGATCCGGTCGCGATGGCGGCGACCTGTCCCGCTTCGTGCAGCGGGTCACCTTCAAGATGTCGCCGCGACTGCCGCTGCGGCTGCACGTGGCGGACAGTGCTCCGTTCGAGATCAGCGAGGTGCTGGGCAGCGACTTTCCGGTGGAGGTGCAGGTGCAGTATGTGGACGCCCGCATGTCGGATACCTCGTACGTCTTCCGGCCGCGCGTGGTGCGCGAGGGTCACGGCGGGATCAGCGAGGAGATGCCCGACAAGATGATATTCGTGAATCCCACGCCCTCGATGCGAATGAGCCTGACGCCCGTTTATGTGCCGTCCGTGAGTGTTGGTGGTCCGCCCAAAACCAGGGGACCGGCCGAGCCCGAGTCGGAGAAACAGGGCGAGCGGAAGGAACGGGATCGCGAGCAGGTGGGCGATGTGGCACGGCAACCCCAAGCGCCGACCACGCTGCTCAAGAAGCGCCTGAGCGTGGGTGTGGGGCACTACTCCATTGGCCACCAGTAAAACTCAATTCACAGGTGAATAAGTTGGGATAATGTATCACTAATACGCTGCTTATTTGAATTAATTTAACTTGGGAATATAAAATAGATTAGAACTACTTCAAAAACTAGGAAAATTGTACCAATTAGGGATTTAAAATTTATTAATTATTATATCAGACACTTGTAATAATAAGCTCCGTATTTAATCCCACAGCTCCTACTTATCCCAGCGACACACACACCTCTCATCGCCAAGGTCGAATCCGCCCATTTTGTGTGTATTCCTCGTTCCGGGGTGGTTTGCTGCGTCCTTGGCCCCGCCTTCTTGCCAAAGAGGGTGTGTTCTCAGTCACAGACACACAGAACTCGACACTCAATCAGTTGCTCACTTGGCTGCTGCGCTTCGAACGCAACGGAACAGACGTATCCCTTCAGCCGGTTAAAGGATAAACGATAAACGGAGAGATGGCCTGGCTACCGAGCAGCTCCAATGGAGCGGACAACGCGGACGAAAGGAGCACGGCCTCGAGCGGCTCCTCCGGACACAGCCAGACCAACGAGTCCCCGCATTCCGGCCACCTAAATGGCAATGGCAACGGGGTCATCCGGGAACCCGGGAGACACCCGCCAGCTCTGCTCCGGCATGCCACGCCCCATCTGCAGCCCAAGACAGAGTCCGTTTCGGACGGAGACGGCGACGCGGAGCTCTCCGACTTCTCGCTCAACGACACCGAGGAGGACGAGGAGGATCTGCGCGACTACATCGTGCTGAATGGCAACCAGGCGGATGGTGAGGATTTTTATTTTAAGCATATTAAAAAGAAAAAGAACAGACAAATTAACAAGAAAGGAAGCTAGCGTGAGTTTGCATGCTTGCAACCAAAAATGCTTTCTTTTTCATTTGCAATTTGGACAAATCAAGGCCGATAGTTAAACGACCGACTGTTTTGAGCAGCTAACAACCTAAACTAACGATCCCCATTACTTTCGGGGAAATTTAATTTTTCACCAATTTTCGCATTTTTTATAAGGGGTTACATCATAATTTTTTGCAAAAAATGACCAAATTTAAAAAATTTTAGGTTTCAATGTTAATTGTAAGGGAATTAAATTACGAGTTCAACAAGGTATGACATTCCATATTTGGACCTCTATTTCTAATGTTTCGGCCAAAAAACAGATATTTTAGGGTGAAAAATATGGATTGGAATTTTCGACGAAAAAATACTTTTTTTGATGGTTTTTCGATCGTAGTTTCGACAAATTAAGACTCACAGCTAAAAGAATGACTGTTTTAAACAGCTAACAACCTAAACTAACGATTTCCATCATATTTAGGAGAATTTAATTTTTCACCAGTTTTCGCATTTTTGATAGGGGTACCATCATGATTTTTTGCGAAAATCGGCCAAAAATTAAAATGTCCAGATTTTAACGCAAATCGATTCAGAATTAAACTACGAGTTCAAAAAGGTATGACATTCCATATTTGGGCTATTTTTCTCCTTGTTTCGGCAAAAAAACTGATATTTTAGGGAGTAAAATATGGATTGAAATTTTAGATCAAAATATATGTACAATTGTATTAAATCGTAGATTTTCAAACGCAAAATTTCACTTCCGTCCCTTTTCTCGTCTGCTTGTTAAATTTAAAGTAAGCTTTAAACTCAAAGTTTTAACCCTTCTTTAAATTAAACAGATTGAAGAGACAAGGGGACTAAGTAGGCGAAGTAGGCTTCCATACCCATTCTGGTCCATTTATGCATCGCATTTTTAAGTTTTAATAGCTATCGATATGGAATTTCATTTAAAAATCATTCTTACATTGATTGTTTACGGTAATAATTACGTTTTTCGCTTTACTAACCCGTTGCTATTTTGTCCCTTCCCCAGGCAATCGTTCACTGTCCAGCTCCCCGCGAAGTCACTCCCGCAACGGGCTGCTCACAGCGCCGGCCAGCTCCGGAAGTTCCGTCGGCGGAGGCGGCGGTGGGGGTAACATCTCCGGAGGCAATGCATCCAGCGGCGGCGGAGGAGGAGGAGGAGCCACTGGCGGAGTGCGCAAGGTGTTCACCAACACAAGGGAGCGCTGGCGCCAGCAAAACGTATCCGGCGCCTTTGCGGAGCTACGTAAGCTGGTCCCGACGCATCCGCCGGACAAGAAGCTCTCGAAGAATGAGATCCTGCGCTCGGCCATCAAGTACATCAAGCTCCTGACGGGCATCCTCGAGTGGCAGCAGCGGCAAGTGCCTGCACTTTCATCTAGGGGTCAACTGGAGCCGAACAACAACGACAACCGGATGACCAATGGCCATGCGGCGGACGGAGAGTTGGAGAACGCGGATTTGCCAGCGGTGCGGCACATAAAATGTGAACGAACCGACGGGCAGCCGCAGCAGCGGAATGGGATTGGGAACGGAGGCAACGACCTGCTCATGATTGCCCCGGGAGCCATAATCAAGAGCGAGCTCCTGCTGGAGTCACCACTGCCACTCGGACAGCCGCTGCCGGGCACTCCACTGCCACTGTCCACTGCTCCGCTGGCGTTGGTGGAGTCACGGCTGTCCGGATCCGTGTCCGTTTCCGGCATAAAGCCGACTGGCGGCAGTCGGAGCAGCAAACGACGCCCCAAGCCAGAGGGCGGAGCCACCGATCTCAGTCTGGGCAAACGCCGCCGGACGTAGGACGCAGCTCGGCGAGACTGGGAATCTCTGGAGGAGTAGATGCCGACGGGTGCCACTGTCGGATAGTTTAGATCGCTCATAATGCATTTTTTTTTAAACTAATAAATTTAGTAGTTAATGGTGTTAATTGATTGTCTGGAATGGCCTGAGGTAAGGGATATTTACATTTTCCCCTGAATTGCAGGTTTTCCATACTTTTACAGTTTTAGAGCCACTGGCAAGGTTGACTTAAAAGGTACAGTTTTAGAGTCACTGATACGTCGGCATAAAAGCAGGACAGTTTTAGAGTAATTGGTAACGCCGGTGTAAACGGGTACAGTTTTAGAGTCACTGGTCAATGCCAAGCATCCATCACAGTTTGAGAACCACTGTTGGTCAAGATAGCGTCACAAACTACCTCAATTTTTAGTTTTGCTAAAAAGTCTTGGTCAAGATAGCGTCACATACTACCTCAATTTTAGATTTTGCCGAAAAGCATAGGTCAAGATAGCGTCACAAACTACCTCAATTGTTTGAGCAAGGTTTTCCAATAAAATTTAAAATTGAGGTAGTTTGTGACGCTATCTTGACCTATGCTTTTCGGCAAAATCTAAAATTGAGGTAGTATGTGACGCTATCTTGACCAAGACTTTTTAGCAAAACTAAAAATTGAGGTAGTCTGTGACGCTATCTTGACCAAAGTTTTCAGCTGCCACTTATTGGCGCCATCTACGTGTCATTTCTTGCGGGATCATCCGCCCAAAAGTATGCTACACTATTTTAGTAACATAAAATTAGTACGTTATTAGCGCCACCTACATGTCATTTCTTTCGGGATCAGCTGCCCAAAAGTATGCTACACATTTATTTACTTACTTCCAACCTAGAAATTAACCGATAAATAAATGACACACTAGTATGAATATATTTTTGTTTGTAATTTTTATTGTTTTTAAATTAATGTTTTCTTTACGCATTTGTCTCGTGTTTTATTTTCATTTTCACTTCCTCTTTCAATTTGGTTTTGCCATTTGTTATTTTTGCAATTAGTTTAGGTTTGTGTTTAAGTTAATTAAGTTTAAGTTTGGTTTGGATTTCTCATGTGGTTGTTGCCTCATAATTAAAGCGAAACGCTGAAGTTGTTCATCATATATAAGTATGTTTTTCTATGCATATATATGTGTGTATATATATTGTTTTGGGCTTTATTTTTCCATTCTTCTGTTCAAATTTTTAATTACAAATCAAACATCGCGTGTGTGTGGGGTGTCTTTTGGGGGTTTGGGTTTATATAACTTGTTTGCCGCCTTCTTAGATTATTTACCAAAATGTTTTGGGGAAATTAGTTGGGTAATCTTGGGTTTTAAAAATTTACTTGAAATTATAGAGCTATGTGCGTGTGAAAATGTCTGAATGTTAGTGTGTGTTCTTGTGTGTGGGTGTGTACATATATGTATATAGTTAAATTTATTTAGTTTTGATGCCACAAAACTCAACGTTCATTAATTGTATAAATGTATCATTTAGTTAGTAAAAAAAAATATGTTCTCATATAATATATAAGGAGTTCTATGGAAATACATACAAATAGACTTGCTTTCCTTTTTCTTTTTGGTTTTCTTTATGTTTTCCTTTGTTTACTTAGTTGGTTTTAGTTTTAATGGGCTTAAAGTGCTTGGACATAATCGCAGATCGCATAATCAAAACGAGATCTAAGCAGTTTAAGTGGGTGGTTTTTGGGTTTTCGGTTTTTGGGTTTTTGGGTTTCATAGGTATAGAGATAGAGATTCGAACCAATCGAACCGAGGCGAGGGAGAGGGCGAGGGGTAGTACTATAGTCGCGCAGGAGTTTCCGGTTGATCTAAGGCCTTACATTCTAAAACCATCATCGGTTTCGGTTTCGGTTTCATTGTATTTTACTTTTACTTTTACGTTTACGTTTACTTCAATTTGTATTAAATAAGTTTAAATTTTCAATTGCAGCTAAATGTTGTTTGTTCTTTGTCGATTACTTTTACATATATCAAGATCCTGGCTTTAGGCTTTACTATCTCATCATCATCGTCTCATTACTCATTACCTCTTGTATTATGTATTATTTGCATTGTTAATTTAAGTTAATGGGTGGCGTCGCGCGCTAAAAGCGTTTTACTCATTCATTACACATTCATTTACGTTTTGCTCAATTTGTTATAACCTTTGTATTCATGTATTTATGTATAGTGTTTAGTGTTAGTGTATATTGCATTTCGACGACCGCCTCCTTAGATAATCGTAGTTCCTAAACGTCGTCACTTGAGAACAGGCCACGGAAAATGTTGCACGGAAATACCTCGGCATTTTCCGGTTCATTGGGGTCGGGATTGGGGGATCGGGGGTTGCTACTAGGATTACGAATGTCTCTTTAATATCTCGTATATATATCTATGTTTATATAATATCTATATATCGTATTTATATAGATGCACTTGCGCGAGTTTAGTAAATGTTATATCATCTCCTTTTTGCTAGTTCTCACTTTGCCGCCTTTTATTTTTATTTTTGTTTTTGTTTCTCATTTTTACTTTTACTATGGATTGCTAACTGCTGTGATCGTTATATATTTGTATAATCGCATATATATAAACGTTAAATGGGGCAAAAATTTTGATTTATTTCACTAAGTATTTCCTCATTTCTCTTGTGGTTTGTTTTCCATTTCTCATCTTTGACTTAAGTTTTATTACGTTTCGCGAGCTATTTGTTAAATGTTATTTTCTATATTGGAGGGGGGTTTTTCTTTTTCTTTTACCGATTATTATTTTTCAACATCCTTACGGGCTTGTCCCGTGTCAATAATACAGATTATTATTTAAATTATTTATGCATAGTTTAAAGTGGATTCTTTTGTTTTTTCTTTCTTTCGAGTTTTATGCTAAATATTTGCTTGCGCCCAATGCATATAGCTAGATATACATACATACATGTGTGTGTGTGCTGGAGCTGGGGTGTGTGAGTGGGTGTGAGTGTATTGGGTGGGTGGTGTTTTGTGGAGTGAATCTGAATCAGAATTTGAATTCCTTTGTCTATCATTTTCTCTTAGCTTTTGCTGGGACTTCTCTTCTCATTCTATCTCTTCTGTTTCCATCGAGTGTAACTGTGTGTGTGTGTGTGGGTCTGGGCCAAAAATGGTAATGGTAACTTAATCCCTGGCCCAAGCGAAAATCCTGTGAATAACATTACATTAAAAGAGAGCACCTCCTGACTCGCGCTAACCCGACGCCGCTGCCTCGGTCTCAGCTGCTCCTCCTCCAGATCCTCCGGATCCTGCAGCTCCACTGTCGCCAGCGTCGTTGTCCCCGCCGTTTCCTCCATTTCCACCGTTTCCACCCGATCCCGATGCCGAGACAGCTGCCTCTCCGTTTCCATTTCCGTTTCCGCTGCCATTTCCACTGCCGCCACTTCCGCTGCTGTTGAGGGCGCTGTTCGACTGAGAACCTACAGAGAGCGACGTCCGAAAAGAGAGAGAGATACAAATGTGGATGGCATTTTGCATATTGAGTGGCTGTATTTCGGGAGGATGTGCTCTTGAGACGGAGTCTTGAAAGTAATCGATAGTTTCGATATTTTTATCGTTTCGATAATATCAAGCTCTACTCAAAGGGGACCAATGAAAATATTCAAGAGAACCCAACACAAAATGGGCAAAATTTCCAAAACTAGTATAAAAACTGAAATTTAACAAAAATAATAAAGCGAATAAATAAAGTTTTCCAATTTTAAATAAATCAAAGTCATGAGTTTAAATACTTAGCACTTTACCTATGTAATTAGAACTTCAAATCTTCTAGCCTTACTTATTACTTTAAAATCTTTAAAATGAGTAGCGAAAATATAGATTTTCTTATTCCCAATTTCAGCTGCAATATACACTGGGTATTCATATGTATATGCATTGTGCGATTTATTGGGTCATCTTAGCTGAAGCCCCCACTAATCCCATCAAGGACCTTTAAAAGGAAGATGAGAAAAAAACAAAAGGTTCACACTGAACAAAATGATACAGTAGATGTACAAGGAAAGGCGACAACAAAAGGCTTTACTTTCGTTTAAATATTGTATTTGTTTCTCTTTTTATTTGTTGGATTTTGTCGTATTCATTTATTATCATTATCATTACGGCTTCTTTGCTCATTTGCATTATCATCAACGAATCTATATATTATCATGATTATTACAGCATTACATATACAGTTGTCAGAGTATGCGTATGTACGTGTCTGTGTGTTTCTGGTGTGTAACTAGCAAATTTAAGAATAAGATAATGTGTTTAATTTTTTGATCTTTTTTATTTATTTTTTAGGATTTTTTTTTAGATGTTTTCTTGTTATTTATTTATTTGTGTGCCTAAATTACTAGGAAAAATGTATTTTATTCTGCGTGTGTGTGTGTGTGTATCCATTAATCATTTATAATTAGAATAATAATTAGTTTAAGGTCGATTATGGTAAACTATAGAAATAAATATAAGTGTTCTGCTTATTTTTCTCTCTATTCTCGCTTATGCAATTTTTGTTTAATTTTTAGGTTTTTACTGCTATGCCATTCGGACAAAAGAAAGTAATAGTATTTAATAGCAGCTCCGTTTGGAAAGAAGTGGGGAAAGTGAGGAAATTTTTGGGGCGGGGGCGAGGCAAGGTGACACTGACTATGTATGCAAATAATAATGCAGCTCTACGGCTACAGAGTTACGGAAGGAAACCCGGTAATTGGACCTTATCTACATATTGCAACTAAGCCGTCGGGGTTCTCAGATGCCAGCTTATCGGCTTATCAGCTATCAGCTTCCATTTTCATGCCTGTGTTCTGTATTCTGTATTCTGGGTTCTGCTTCCTGTCGTTATAGCCTACATCCGAAATCTCTCGGCCATAACTCATCCTAACTCTCTCTCTCTCGACTACTGGCTAAATAAGAGTACATACATTTAGATATATCTGTACATATATATTTTAGGGGCGCAAAAAAAAATATATATCGTACGATCGGGGGGTTCCTAACTTCCACTTTTCTTGTTGTCGGTTATCAATCGATTATTTGCTTTTATTTATTACAAAATAATAATAATAATTATTTAATAAAAATAAAAATAATTTATTTATTCAATATGTATGTATACATAATGCGTGTTGCAAAAAAAAAGTATTGTTTATATTCATAAGGATTATATATTATATATATGTATAGTTTAAACAGTTTTGTTTGTTGCTTGCGGTTGTTTTTTTGTTTTTGTTTTTGTTTTCGTTTTTTGTATTTTTGTTAATCATTTCCATTAAATTAAGGTATAACATAACATTAACATTATGCTCGCGGCTTTGTTTTGTTTTTCCTTCTCCTTTTCTCCTCCTCCTTATCTTCCTTATCATCTCCTCTTCCGTTTTTAAGGTCGTGTGAGTGTGTGGTGTATCTATGTTTTTGCATTAGCTAGTCTAATGTGCAAAAATCCATTTAAATGTCCGCTGTTTTGTTTAGATCTTAGCTTTTACTACACAAAACTCGCTTTCTCGCTTTATTGGATTATTATTTATAGATATATTGTTTCTTCTCCTCTTTTCCTGGCTCCTTTCCTTATCAGTTAAACATACTAAAACAAGGTGGTATAAAAAAATATGCAATGACTCTGTTCAATATACATATACATAGTTATTTCTTTAGGCTTTTTGTTTTTGTCAAAAGAGAATGGATATCATAATCATAATCATATTTAACGAAGAGAGTGAGAGAGGGGAGGGGAGGAAGCAGAGAATATTTATAATAATAGGTATTAATTAAAAGATATATATCGCCACTCATTAGTGACAAAATGACAATCGATCAGCGCTTTACTATTATAATTATTGTGTGTTTTTATTTACCATTATTATTATTTATTATTATGCTTATTAGTTTTTAGTTTTATTTTAGATTTAAAATAAATTTAATTTTTACCTAAGTAAAATGTTTCCTTTGTTATATATTTTTTGCTTTCTCTCAGCTTTTTCGCTGCTATTCTTCTTTCGTATGTGTATTTTTGTTGTTGCTATTTGCTTTTTGCTTTTTTTTCATCATCATCAATTGCATAAATTAAATTTAGTAATTATTGTGTATATAGGTTGTTGTTGGTTTAATTTTTTGTTGCTGCTGGTTTTGCATTCTCCGTTCTTATTTGTTTGTTTTTTATATTTATTATATATGCGTTTGCTGTTCTGTTCTTGTTGTTGTTGGTGTAGGTTTTATATATATTTATTACTATATATATATGCGTGGATATATATAAGTGTGTGTATGTATGTTACTATTGCCCCTATGAATCTGTAAATAAAAAATGAAAAGAAAAGAAACCAAAGCAAAATTAAAATAAAATTAAAAATTAAAACACGGTTCTCTTAGCTTACTAATGGTAATAAAATGAAACTAAATGTTGGCTTAATGAACGAACGAATGAAAACAAGAGATTCATTGAGTTTTTTTTTTTTATAATAAGGATAAAAAGCACAGATCAACCCATTTGATCCCGAAATAAATTAGGAGTGTGACCAACCCTGGGAAAGATTTCTTTAGACTGACCATGCTACTTGTTATTAGTTCTCTTTAACAAACATTTTTTAATTTAAATTTTAAACAAATGCAAAAAATAGCTCTTTAGTTACTTAACTTTTTATTATTATAACTTTCGAATTAACTGCTTGAGCTTTTAACTGTTATTACTTGAAAATGAGTCGAAATATAAGTAACCACAACAAGAATTTGTTTTTCCTTGATTGCTGATTTCTTGATTCCTATTTCTTTACTCTTGATTCTTGATTTTCCGCCTTGATTCTTGATTCCCACACTTTCTTTCACTCACTGACTCTTTCTTTCCGTGGGTTGGTTTGGTGGTTTGGAGGAGGTGCTTTTTGGATGGATCAGGAAATGGTAGTTCAGGGAGTTTCAGGCTCATATGTTGGCCGGATGGCGCAGGAACGCTTTCCCCGGCATCGGCACCTTTCGGTGCGGTCTCAGCATGAGATTCACACCAGCTGAGGGAGCGTAAGAGGTGAGGGAAGTAGTCTGGGAGGATTGTATTGCAGCCAAGAGATGGCCAATAGCAACATATCGAATCGTAATCAAGTTTACAATTTAATAGGGAAAAGAAACCCTGATCATCAGCAATGCTATTTTACATTACAATACGATACCGATACTATCTATGTGGCTGGGTGGTCTGGGGTGAAGTAATGACGTGGTGGCCGATGGGCAATGTATGATGTAAGGAGGTCAGGAGGCTGGCCCACCGCTTACTCACCTGTCACATTGGCGCCGCCGGCATTGGTCGCGGCCATAGCGCCAGCTGCTGTGGCAGCAGTGGCCGCCGCACCGACTCCGCCACCGCCGCCTCCGCCGGCTACCGCGGCATTGGCACCAGCTGCCACGGCGGCAGACGGCGCTCCGGATGCTCCGCCTCCGCTGCTGTTGTTGCCGGATCCTGATCCGCCGGCTGCTGCTGCTCCGCCTGATCCCGATCCCGATCCCGATCCGGATCCCGCAGCTGCTGCTGCTGCTGTGCCCTGCGCCTGCGGCTGCTGGGCGGCGGATCCTTCCGCCGAGGCGCCACTGCCTGTGGACGAGACGCTGGTGGAGCCGCTGGCCGCAGCAGAGGCTGCTCCGCCGGCTGAGGATCGGTTGGCGCCGCCTGGGCCGGAGGCATTCTGCAGATGCTTGGGCAACAATTGTGGCACTAGGCTGGGCTGTATCGAGAGTTCTGTTTGGGAGAGATGATACAGATTAGCCAGGCGGATCAGGAGGAGGATCACAGCTACCACTCACCATGCTCTGTGAAGTTGAATAGCGGCGGCATCTCGCGACCGTTGGGCAAGGTGTGGTTGCCCTCCATGCGCAGCTCGTCGAAGAACGGATGTGCACAGGCCTTGAGCGGTGTGATCCGGGCACTGGGCGTGTACTCGAGCAGCAGGGACACCAAGTTGATAGCTTCTGTAGGAGTGCGTATACGGAAAACCTGCGGAGGGAGGGAGGAGTAGTGGATTAGTGGGTGTGTTTTGATGTCTTCGCCAGGCATTTTCGAGCGGAGCTTCTTGCGGGACACAACAAACAGGGCGGGGCAACATATCGGGGCAGTAGAGCTTATAAAAATATCGACTTTTCTCTTTTTTTCAATATTTAATATCGACATTTCTCTATTTTTGATATTTAATATCAACATTAATCGATATTATCGATATTTTTAATATTTTCCAGCTCTACGGGGTAGCAACGCAGTAATAATCATCATTGAGTGGGACAGGACACAAGTGAAAGCACAGAGGAAGCTTTCATATTTACAGATCTCAACGTTCTGTTTCGGCCTTCACATAGTTCTTTATAATCTTTAATTTTCTCTACTTAAACCATGTGATAACCGCAACCAAACAGTGATTTTTTTGTACATTTTACGGCAGGAGGCAGGGCAGAGCAGGGCAAGAAACCAAAACAATCAATTAAATTCAAATTCAAGTCAAATCAAATCCAAATCCAATAAATCAATTAAATTAGTTAAACAAATGTATAACTCTTGTACAGTTGGGAAAGCTGGCGATGGCGAAAAGCTGAGCATGAACTTAAAAGCCATGAAAACTGCATCTCAAGCGGAATCTGATTCTGAGTAGATAAACTAACCCTAAAGTTTGGGATAATCCCTATAAAATAAATAGAACCCTGATCATAAAATCAGAATCATGAGTTGTTATAGCATATGTATCTGCATTTTGGCATTATGGCTCTCTGGTCAAGCAAATTTTGTAATGAAATTTCGTCTTTTTTGGTTTAAAATTTAAAATTTCGTTGATCTTTCGTTTCTTGGCTTACTCTCAATCGTTGTTTCTGGTTTAGGGCGTTTGGAAATTGGGTGCGTTCGAGTAGTGACTGCAACGAGTATTTATGTACACACAATTTTCGGTTAGAAACTTAGCAAAGAGTGGTTTTTAAGGAAAACATTGCATTTTCCTCGAGAGGAGTGAAGAGTGGTGTGCCACATGAGCGGAAAGCGCAGGGGAAGTCGAGAGTCTGAGGGGCGGAGAGTCGAAAATCCAATTCCTGGTCACTAGTTAGCCACTTACTTTCTGCCATGGATGACTCTTAATTTGTGGGAACTTGAATTCCGTGTAGTTTGGATTCATCTCGCGTATCTGTTCTCTTGTCGGTGTGCCCAGGACCTTGATGACCTCGACAAGCTGATCGACACCGGAGTCGCCAGGGAAGATGGGCTGGCCCAGCAGTAGCTCGGCCAAAACGCAACCGGCACTCCATACGTCTGTAAAAAGAAGGGGGGAGTATATCAAAATAGGTTTCACAATAGATATTAGGTATTGTTTTCGAATTTATTTAATTTTTTTTCGATTTTTATAGGAGATACAGAAAAAATGTTGAGAAAAGATCAGATTGATATGTGCTGGTCAACTTTCACATCATTTTGATATGAATAAATATTATGTTTTTCTTATCTAACATTATTTTTTTAAAAAAATAATACATTTGGTATTTTATATGATAAAATATCATTTTTGAATCATAAATTTCACATGAATCATATCGTATTGATATGAAATAATGTAGAATCTACCCTTTTTCTTATCAAGTTCTTTTTCTCTGTGTAGTTTAGATTAACTTAGCTCTAAGAATACCCACCGATCTTTGTTGTATAATTGATGGCGCCAAAGATGAGCTCGGGGGCGCGGTAATACCGGGAGCAGATATACGACACGTTCGGCTCGCCGTGCAGCAGCTGCTTGGCACTGCCAAAGTCACAGAGCTTCAGCACAGCCGTCTCAGGATCGAGCAGAAGGTTCTGCGGCTTGATATCACGATGGCAAATGCCCAGCGAGTGGATGTAGGCCAAACTTCTAAACAGTTGATACATGTAGAGCTGCAGGAGGATGTCGGATTAGTAAATAGAATGGTATAGTCGATCCTACACTCAAAAAAAAATTTTAGAAAATCGCCTATGGATTTGCTTTACTGGCGATTTTTTTCTATATTTCTGGAATATTTCTTGAATTTAATGAATTTTGATTAATTGGAAGAAAATTTTCTTTACCAGTAGAAAATTTTTTTATTTTAAAGAAAAAAATCGCCAGTGAAGCAAATCCATAGGCGATTTTCTAAAATTCAGGGCGATTCATTTTCTGAGTGTACAACTAGAGAACTCACCCGAATAAAGTTGATTGGTATCGTTTGCTTGGTTTTGGCATATTGGCGAGCCACTTTGTATACGGTTTCTGGTATATATTCGAGGACTAAATTCAAAAATACTTCATCACGCTGCGAAACCGAGGAGAAGAATTGATTAATTTCGGATTCCTTAGCTTAGTTTTGGGTCATATGATCCATGTATGGATATGTAGAAATAGGGGTTGTCGGGGTTTTAAGGTGAGCTGACCGATGAAGTTGCAAGCTGTCAACATGCGTTTTGTTTTTGTTTTTTGTTCGGGGTTTTGTTTTTGTATAGTCGGCGACATTTAACTCAAACTATCAAACTAGCATAGCAGCAGGATTCGGATTCGGATTCGATTCACAGGAGGTTATATTACCATGCGGTGTGATCTCTGTACGTTTCATTGTACTTTTCTCTAATACACATGATGTATAGCAAAGGGTTTCGGATTCTGATTCGGTTTGGATTCATATATATGAGAGATAGAGAAAGTTCAAGATCGAGTGAGAGAGAGCAAGTCGCTGATGGCCGTATGACACTTGCTTAAAGATTAACTACTGCATTTAGTTGGAAATTGGAAATACATCCATATGAATCTTATGGAAAACCGACTGCTGTTGGAAACAGCTTCTTGGATTAATCACTGCATTAAATATTCATTGTACTGCTGCTTAGGCGCTTACTTTAGTATTTTTACGATACAAAATTAAGTAGAGTGTTCACTTGAGATCTCAAATGGGAAAATAACTCAAGATATGTACTTGTACTTCGTCACTTTAGGCAAATAAATCCAGTCAGTTAGTCAATTGTCATACGGCCATTAATGATCTGAGCTGGAGAACTGAAAACTTTGAGATTTGGATTCGGGATACCTGGGGCTTGAGCACACTCGCGAATATGCCCAAATCGATGGGGAACTCGGCCAGCTAGTGACCGATTTCGATAACGTTTCGGTTTCGGATTCAGTTTCGATACCAGAGGTTCGGTTTCGGTTTCAGATTCAGTTTCAGTTTCAGTTTGAATATGCAAGTGAAAGAGATTCAATTCAATTCGATAGTTGCTTAACTCATAGACCTGACAACATAGCTGTCTTAAATATAAATACTTAGTACGGTTTAACCATCAAGAAATAAACGCAAAACTAAAGGAAACACATATACGAGTATATATACAGTCAGATATATAGAGATTCTTAAAAATATTTTCGTTTTCGTTTTCTTGAAAGCACAATGGATACTAGTTGTCTACCAACGAACATCTCGAGTAATACAGTTGATGGGATTTAGTTATAGAAGATATATCTATGGAACCACACATACCATTTATTGTATTCTTACGCACTTGGTGGTTGGTGTTTGGTGTCTGTTGTTGAAAGGACCCTCAATAAACTCTTGCCGTATCTTCCGTACTAAGTAATTACCGATATGCTGGCAACTTCAGCAGGCCATCTCCCCATAACAAAAAGAGTGCTATACTATGTGAAACTTACCTTTTCACCGCTCGAATAGAAAAAGTACAAAAGCTTTACAATATTACAATGCTCCAATTTGCGCATAATTTGCAATTCGCGATTCTGTAAGAGAGTATTACGATTAGTATTTCGTAGACTTCGAAGATCTCGTTAAGAACCCACCTTAAATCGTCTGTCTTGTAAAACTTTTTTGATTGCCACCAGCTCGCCGGTATCGCAGAGCTTTGCCTGGAACACGACGCCGAAGCTGCCATTGCCGATGACCTTTGTGTCTGTATAGGAGACCTCTTGTACGCGATCGGTGCCTTGGCCGGGTGTTGCAACAACTGTTGTGATTTTAGAACCATCGCGACCTGGTAATTGGATGGATAAATGGGTTAGTTTAAGGGGCGTATTATCCATAGAGACCTTCCCCTATTGCAATACTACGTAATATAGTACCCCAACTTATATCCTAGGCACACACACATATAATATAGTTAGATAGAGATCGTTTATACACCTGTGGTCTCCCAGGCGCCCTCCAGCTTCTCCTTGCTCCTATCGACCTCCTTTGGAATGGACAGTGCTACACTGTGCTCGGGCCACAGGTCGTTCAGCTTGCCGATCAGTTGTTTCATGCCTGCACACAAAAATCAGACGCGGATCGCACGAGAACAAGAAGATATAGTACATGGTAGAGATCGGATCAGAGGTTAGTGATCAGTGATCAGCTCGAAACAACAAAACAACGGAGGAGAGAGGAGATAATCACAGAAGGTATAGAAGGAACGGAACGGAACAAGCATAAGAGTTTGGGTTTTTAGGAGCATAGGAAACAGAGTTAAAAAATATTTTGAGAGAGAGTAGTATTGTGGCCGAGAAATCTCACATCAGTTCTTTAAAAGTTTGTATCATTTGTATTTGTAAAGATTCCAAAAATAAGATTCATTCAAATAATAAGAAGAAAAGGTATTTTCGAAATGGAAATGTAAGAAAAATCAAGAAGTACAATATTATTTAGTTCTAATATCTTTGTGATCTCAACTAAATAATTAGACATTTATCATTCAGATCATATCAAATATAAGAAAGGGAATAAACCTAAACATCATCACGATGATTTTCATTTTGATTTCACCCTGTTTTACATCCGAGCAAACAAACCGATCCCTTTGCATTTCGGTCGCTAATTAATCTTGGCATTGGCGCCAAAGATGCCGATGTCATCATGCGCATTTTGATGATTATAATGATGATAATAATGATGATGGGGCAGGCAGCTGCTACTGCCTCTTTGGTGGTCACATTGCCCTTCTTATACACTGTTTCTTTTGATTATTATACTGTACAATCCATATACTCCTTGTGAGGATATCCTATCCTATTAATCTCAGCACTCGAATTCAAGGGAACTGAGTTACGATAGTTATTATACCTTGTGTTTGGAACCTAGCAGACTTCTTACAATGTGCAATCTCTACACTCTATCTCTGGGATCTCTGGGATCTGGAATCTGGAATCTGGATCTTGGGGGTTTTAATCCCTATATCTCTGTACTTGGATCCTTGTACTGCTTGGCTCCTCCTCCTCCGCCGGCACTGGCGATGCTGGCCCCACTGCCGCTCCGGTTCGGCGGCTTGGCGGTCGTCTTCTTCAGAGCGGCGGCCACCACCAGGGACGAGGAGCAGGCGGACTGGGCCGCCTTGGCCGCCGCCGAGAGGGGCTTGTGCTTCTGGCCATTGGCCTTCGACTTGCGATCGCCTCGGGAGGATTCGTTGGAGGTCGAGTGATCGGTGCTGCCGCCGCTGCTGCTGGTCTCGCTGTCCGAGGAGTCCGACGCACTGCCTCCGCTGGAGGAGCTGCCCGATCCGGAGGATTCCTGTTCGGACTCCGAGGAGCTGTCGCTGCTGCTGTTCTCCTCGCTGGAGGAGCGACGCTTGTTCCTTCGCTTCGTTACCAAGGGAAGGGGCGGCGGTGGACAGCCGCCCAGGGAGCCCCGCTTGCTCTTATTGACGACGACCTTGGCGGGGGGCTTGCTGGCGTCTATGGAATTCTGCCTGCCGGCGGATCCGGCGCCATCCGATTCACTGGCCTCGTTCACGGATCCACTGCCGGGTGCTCGCTTCTTCTTGCGAACCACGCGAACCACTTTGCGGACACCACGCGGCACCGCCACGGGCACCACCTGTGACTTATCCACCTTGAGGGATCTTTGGGCCTCCTAACCACTGTTCCACCACCGATCCACTGAGCCACTGAGCCACCGTGCGCCCTGCCAGTGAGTGGTGCTCTGAATGCCTCCTTACGTGGCAAACAAAAAAACAAAATTGATATGGAAAGCAATTTATGAACAGTGGCAGCTTAAATACCCATAGTAATTTTTAATTTAACTATAATTAATTTTGAACATTTTTCTAATCGCATTTTTAATTAATTTCTTCTGCATTTGTATCATAAAGAAATACAAATATATATTGGCAAATATTTAAGTAAACATTATTTTTAGTACATTAAAAAATTGCTTTTAATGAAATCTATTATTTCGATTTCTTTAGTTTCGATCTCAAAAATAGGCATTAAAATCCACTTTCATTCCATACAAACTAAAATGCTTTTTCTCTCGGTGTACGGTGGCAGGCTTTGGCCTAGTTTTATTTTCGGTCACTTGACGTTTCTTTCGCTTTGTGTGCAGCAGATCAATCGATCGATCGATCTTCAAATAGCGAAAAATGCAAACACGCGGCACAAAATAAAATATCACAGCAAAAAATAAAGAACCGAAATAGTACGATCTTCGAATTTTCGTGTTTTTTTTTTGTTTTTTTTTTTTTGGTTTCTTTTTTGTGGGGTTTTTTAGGAGAAAGAGAGGTACTGATCCGATCGATACGTTCCGTTCCGTTCCGCTTTCGATCCAACGATCCGATCGCTCGAGCTACCGTAGCACAATTGGCGACCAATAGATGGAAAAGAGCAGAGGACAACGCGAACGAACGGCGGTTAAGAGACCCAAATACCGCTCACGAATGCCACACGAAGATTCGGTCGGTTCTTCCACCTTCCACGGTTCCACATTCGATTCGATCATCATCGGGCGACCCACAAATTCTTCGATCGTTTAAAACGCGCTTTAAAAAATAAATAACCAAAAATCTTCATCGCAATTATCACAAACAATTTGTTGCGCTTTGGGTACAATTTTAATTGCAGGAAAATTGCGATAAGGCCAAAAACAGGAGAGGAGACAGCAGCGGAGGGATCAAAAGACCCAGAAGACTGAAGACCCAGAAGACAGAAGAAAGACAGCGGCAGCCAAGCGTGGTCAAGCATGCGACAGCCACGCCCCCTTGAGGCCTCCGCCTCTTTTGGTCTTTTGGCGACAGACAACTGACAGTTCAATGCGGCCGCGAAGAAGAGAAAGGTGAAGAAGAATCGGTTGAAGAATCAGAATCAGAATCAGAGAGAAAGAATAGGGCGGAGAAGACCAATCTAAGGATATACGCAGCAAATCAAATTTATTTCATTTTAATGAATCAATTAGACGCAGAAATGCAACAGAAATTCAAAACACCAAATAAATTAATAAAGAAAACCACACGACATTGATAAGATGTTTGCAAGATCATTTGAGAAAAATACAATTTACAAGAAATATATCTGCAAGATTGATTTTGTATCTAAGCTCACCCTCTCCCTTTTCCATTTGGATTTATCGATCCCATCGGTTCATCAATTGTACACCGTTCTTAATTTAGTTTCCACATTTATCAATTGAATTTTTACAGGACTGCCGACTGCCGACTTGTGCGACTAAATCAATCAAATTACCAATATGTATAACCCACCCCTTAACCAAACATTGTAAACTACAGCCGGGGGAAGGGGAAAAGAAGGGGTTCGGAGGACAGGAGAATAGAAGGGGTTCCTCCCCTGGTGGAACAGTTGGAGCTGAGCTGTCTAAACGGCAAAGCAATTTGTTGTGCCGCCAACGTCGACGGAAACTAATCGATATACAAGCAGTTGGCACCACTCAGCCGCAAAAAAAGGGGGCGTGGGCGGTGGGTGGTGGGTGGTATGTGGGCAGGTGATGTGGCATGCAAAATTCTATGACGCAGTACAAAGTAAAGGGGGTGGGTGGTAAAATAAACCCACTCGGGGAGCCAAAGCCAAAGGAACCAGCAACCGCAGACGAATGGAGCAATAAAAGAAAATAGAAACCGTTGCAAAACAATCATCGGGATGGATCTACCACCCACAATCACCCACTTTTCATCCCCTATCCCTAGATATTTTTGTATAGAGTCATCGTCTCGTTTTACCATCGTGCCAAAGGCAAATTAACAAAACTCTTTTGGCTAAAATTAAACACGACCACGCCCACAACACCCCCTTTCCCTTTATAAAAGGTATAGCCTCACCAAAAACCGCAGATAATTTATATGCTCTACCATAATACCAAAGGCCCTCTGAAGTGAAATGGATTGCAAAGCGTCCCCAACTGATGGAACTTTTAAAGTAGTACAAAATCGAAATCTTTAGTATCAAAACTCTTTTGTAATACCTCCAAGCTAAACGTAACTCAAACTTTTCAAGGGTAAATGCTTAACCTTTATTTATTAGAGTGGTATTATATATAGTACACTTATATATCAGCCTTTGCTGACAATTAAAAAATATACACTATCAATGCCATTTTTGCTCTGTGCTAAACGTGTTTTTTTCTAGTTTGTATTTAATTGAAGTGATTTTATTTTAATTGGCTACGAAAGCTATCTGTCGATCACGGAGGATTTGGGGAAGAGCAAGAAGATGGGTAGAAGACGACACCACGCGGGCGGAGATCACGAGATGCCCCACAATCTGCAGCATTTGGCATTGTTATAGAGATCATTCACTATCACCTGCATGCATCATTATCATCGAGAACCCCAGAACCCCAGAACCCCCGTCTTTCTTTTTAAGCACATTGTTTTCAGGCACAACTTTTCGTTGCATACTTTTGGATGCCACCACAAAATCAGTCACTATTCTTTTCTCTCTCTGTACCACTCTTTCACTTACTTAATCGCTGAGAAGACCTCAAAGTGCCAAGAATAGAAAAGAGAAAAAAACAAACTTGCAAAGAAAATAAAATGCAAACAAATCAAAGAAGAAGAAGCCTTTTTTGCGTAAATAAATCAATACAAAGAGAGGTGCATGCATAATAAAGAGACATTCGGGACTCTTTAACTTTAGCGGATAATAATTCTCTTTTAGCAGCTGATCAAACAAGTTGTGAAGTGAATTCAAGTTGATAAAACATCAAATAAAATAAAGCAAAATAAAATAAATTGGCAATGGAAAACAACAGCTGAGCAAAGGCTACGCGAAACATTTCCATAGCTGTAAGTTACGAAAATAGTTACACTAATCACTTGCTAAATCGCTATAAACAATATATATATTGCTCTAAGTATAAATACATTTTGTTTAAAAATAGTCTTAATCTTGCATCTAATCAGATTATTAAAAACCTGTCTGTGTCTCTAGGAAAAATACCATCTACTAAGAGAGAGATGTTGAATAATTATAATGCAACAACAGGTTGTACGGATTCCTCTGATGATTCTCCTCAATAATCTATAACCAATATAAAAGGGTCCCCATAAAAAAGGGTGAGTAGCAAAAATCACCCAAAACAGATAAAATAATTCGAAAATAATTACATATTATAATGTAACAAATTTATTATTGGATAAATGATATGAAATAATGTAAAATAAGATAAACATAATCTTTATTCATATCAAAATGATACTAAAAATATAAAATTGACCAGCACATATTAATTTGATCTTTTGTCAAGTTTGTTCTGTTCATATTTTTGCCATTTAAAATTCCAAATCAATGTGCAAAAATATGTTATGTTCGAAAGCACAAACGTGAGGCAGGGCAGGGAAGAAAGGAAATGGGGTGAGAGGGCGGCGGGCAAATGCAAAACAACACAAAAACGGAAGAAAGAAGAAAAAACATCAACTGGACGACAGAGACACGCCTCCATTTGGTCACAAATTTAGTGAATATACGAATGACTATATATATTTAAACTTATACGTACCAAAAAACCAAAACCAAAACCGAAAGTACGTATATACAGTACAAAAAACACATTTCACAAGCTGCTAAATGCTAAATATATGCATGTTGTTGCTTGGGCTTTGATATTTTTGGAAAAGTTTTTTGCTCTGTCATCCGTTTTATGAGACGAGCGCGTGATTGTCGAGCGTTAACAAAAAATAACAACAACTAACAGCCGCGTTATCTCTGCTCCCGAATTCTCAATTCCTCCCAACCTCCCCTATATGAATATATATATATAAATATATACAGATGGCTATATAAAGTCAGAGCTGTAAGGAATATACCCGCGTGCTTCTTGATCTCTTTACTGCTGATCTCTGATCATGCAGGCAGCATTAGCTTTAGCTTAAGCGTTAATTTAAACCTTACACAGCGAGAAAATAAATCAAAGGTTTTTGGTAAAACATTTTTACAGATGACAACAATTACTTTCGTTATTTTAAGAGGCTTGAAAAGTTCTAGAAAACTTTAGAAATTATTTATTTTATTTTTACCGCACTAAATGGCTATAAAATTCCTCCCAGTGCACCCATATCATTAGCTAATAAGCTTTGTCGGCCCTCTTTCTTATCAGTCAGCATCTGCGAAAGCTGCAAATCACTTATACGACTTGCCGGATGGGAACTGAGGAATGAGAACTGAGACATCAACCTAAGCCGGGGATGAAGATAATGAAGATGGAGCTGAGATGACAAGCACGCTGTGACACAGTGCCTTCCATAAAGTGTATTCGTAATAAAGGGATTGTTACTTTTCGCACCGCAACGTTAACGCTTCGATAAGCTAAGCCCTCAGTCGCCAAGGGGCTAAGATTCCAAAATGATGCAACTGGCAACTAGTTAACTGGTTAACGATATTTACATTACATTCGTAATACCTAAATAAGACTATTTGCACTTTAGTTATCCAATTGTAATGGGATCTTAGAACAAAGGGATGGAAATAGTATTCAGTGATGTAATGGGTAAACCGACTTCAACAAAGCGAAAGTATCGAATGACACATGGTAGATCACGATTACGATCACAATATTTTGGGGCCACTTTCCTTTGGAGGAAATGGAATATATATTTAATCCAAAGTTTGCCCATCACAAAGTAAAAAACATCAGCTGGCGTAAATCAGTGCTGTTGCCCTGATTATGCCGTCTCTTTCTTCTGGCTCCTGGTCTCCGTCTCTTTCTCGACCCCCTCCCTAGATTTTTCTTATCAACGACAAATGCAACAACAGAGAAAAATATGGCCTGTTATAGAGGACGGACGAGAATATTCCGCTTTTCCTTATCGCCTGTCAACTGCTTTCCACAATAAAGCCAAGATCACATTTTATATGGCAATAAAAGGGAGAATAAGATCGCATACGAGTATATCCCTGAGCGTTTCCGCCTGATCACATAATATTTTCTCTGCTTATTTATCGCTGCAAAGAAAAAGCCTGACAAAGCTATCAGAAAAATGCATTCGTTCATTGACCCATCATCTTCTATATGAAAATGTAAGGGAAGTCAACTTCGAGAATTCCGAATTTTTCCGCCGGAGTAATCCCCGCACAGCGAAAACATCATTATCACTTTTCTATAAATCTCCCGAAAATTTTCCGTAACCATAATTATTATACTTATCTATGTGTGTATATGTGTGTGTACATAGAACAATCTCACCCGATACGATAAACCTCAGGAGTTTTGAGGAATTTGTGTTCCCATTCAGTCAACACTTACCTACAAATAGAAGAAAGAAAATGGGAAATATTAGAAATCACAGTTAACAAAAGTTGATAAGTTTTTATGGCTATTGAAAATGTTAAGATCTAGAAATTTCCAAATAATACGGTAGAATCTAAATTGAAATTATATTCGATTCTTAAATCTTCAAACCAGTGCTTTCAAATTTATATAAATCATATTTAATCTCTTATACTATAATTATAACAATATTTTGTGAATGGATGAAGTTGATTGTCAAAATATGCGACGCATAGTACAGAGTTGAATTGAATTTTTGTAATCGTAAGGTAGTTAGGGATTTCGAATCATATTTTACCTAGTATATTTTTGAACTTTTGCACCACTTTGGTCCAACTGACGCAGGACTGAGTTCTGGCCAATTTGGCAGTCTTAACGTTCTCGCCGCTCTCATCGCTATCCGCATCCTCGAGCTCGGGGGGTTCGGCTCCTTGCTCGATATCGATATCCTCGGTGTCCTGCGGCGCCTGAGGATGATGATCGTTCTTAGGGCGGGTGGTGGTGGTGGTTGCGTTGCTCTGGGGGATGATTCTATCGTAGTGGTTGTCGTGGCTGTGGCGGCGCATCTTGACCGCTCCACTGTCCACGAGGCTGTCCTCCTCCTCCACATCGATATTATTATGATTATGATGAGGATTGTTATGGGGATGGGGTTCCGAGTTATGTTTGCTCCTAGAGCTAGTATCACAGTGTGGTTTTTGTTTCCTATTTGTTGTATTATAATCATCTTTGGTCTCGTCAACGTCATCGTCTGGAACTCCTCCGCTGGCCGCCAGATTGGAGGCCACCGTGGTGTTGCGCTTCTTGCGCTGCTCCTCGCTCCTCCTTTCGCGCTTCATCATCTGCTTCTGCTGCTTGGCGAGCAGCTGCTTCTGCTTGCGGGCGAACTTCTCCCGCAGCTTGGGACTCCCGAACTCATCGAGATAGTACATCGTGTCCTGGAGGCCGTCCTTGCGGTTGATCAGCTTGGCATCGATGTGCGGATCCTCGCTGATCTTGAGCAGCGGGAAGTAGATGTGTCCGTCGGTGGCCAGGCTCTTGGCGTCGCGACGACGGGCCAAGGCAGCGGCCACCGTTAGTTCCGCCTGATCGGGCGGTAGTAGTCGGTTCTTGGATCTATCATCCACCTCCTTAGCCCCCTCACTATCCGCCACCTGTTGTTCGGTTGTCTTGCTCTTCAGGTTGATTATAATACCCGACTGACTGTCCGACTGGTTGTCGTTGTCGTCGTCCACATTGACACCATCGTCCTCCTCCTCTTCCTCGATTTCCTCCTCATCATCGCAGTCATCATCACAGATCTCGACCTCATCGATGCGATCCTCGACATCGAATCCCTGGGTTCCGGTGCTATTGGTGCTCTTGTACTTGATGCGGCTGCGCAGGCTGCCCACCACGGTGGATTGAGGATTGTCGACGCTACTGAGCTCCAGGGCGGAGGAGGCCCTGATCCTCTGCTGGGGATTCTGCGGATCCCGATGATCCTGGGTCTCTGAGCAATTGCTGCCCAGGCTCTCGCTGCTCTCGCCGCTCTCCTTGGAACTTATGGCATGATGGTTCGGCTTTCCCTTCAATCCCACTCCCTGATGACGATGATCTTTCGCCTTCGTGGGACCACCACCGTTCTCGATGCCGCTATCTTGACTGAGTAGCAGCTGCTGGCGCTGCTGCTGCTGCCGCCACTTGCCGCCAGGTGGCGCCTGTGGCAAGCTCAGGGAGCCACTGCTGCTGCGCGGTGGCGGCAACTGCAGTTGCTGCTGCGATGCACTGGAAACAATCACGCCACTGTCCGCCGAACCCGTCGATGTTTGCGATGAGAAGCGCTCGGTCAGCGGTATTTTAATCGGCTGGCTTATCACGACGCTGTTGTTGTTGTTGTTGTTATTATTGTTGCTAATGTTTAGTGCATTATTTAGATTATTGTTGCTGCTGGCGGGCAATAAATTGAGAGCTGGTGCAGCTCCTGCTGCCTGCGTTGTTGCCGTTGTTGTTGCCATCAGGTTTCTAATGGTCCGTTAAATACTCTAGGCGTTAGAGTATTTCTTGTAAGGTTTTTTAAAGTGTACTTTCTAGTTTGTAGTGTTTGAAATCACTCACTAAAGTTTTTTTTTTTATTTGTTTTTTTTTTTCGTTGCTTGTGTTGGCGCTTCACAGTCACATTGCCTAATTTTTGTTATTCAAAAAACAAATTAGTGGTTGATTTTGATTTGGTTACACCAAGTTTTGCTGTTTTTGCTGCATTTTCAAAAACAAACTTTTCTATTTTTTCGGGTTTTCGGCTAAATTTAGCACAGCATTGCGGTTTGTTTTTTGGACACCGAATCAGAAAAAAATACAGCGAAAAACCAAACAAAAACTTTTTAAATTTAAACACACTCACACAAAATAAAAACAGAAAAAAAAATAACAGCAGTGAGAGAGATCTTTGTGATTTTCAATATTTAAGTGTCTATTTTGGTTATTTATTTCGCTTATTTCGGTTATTTCTGATATGGGCTCCCCGTTTTCTCGGCGTGCAACATGTGCGGCCGCCTTTGAGGTCGCGAATGAACTGAGAACTCGAGAAACTTGAACGAAACTGAGAAACAGAAGCACGCAGAGAGAGCCAAGCAGAAACAGAAACAGAGCGAAAACGGCAACTCAAATTCCAAATTATTATCGCTGACGCACGCACACACACGAATGAACTTGATGGGCAGCGGAACGAGTGGCAGCGGAACACTACGCAAGCACGCAGCGAAAGAAAGAGACGGGTAGAGAGAGGAATAGAAGAAAGAGAGGGTCAACGGATTCAGAGCGAGATGGAGAGCAAACTTTCATCAGTGAAATGCGCGACGTTTGGCAGTGAAACACCTGCAGAGGCGAACGAAGCGGAAACAGCGGAATGGAACACAGCTGCAATTCTGGAGAGGGAAAAGAGACGGCACTAGCCGAAAATGATAAGCTTCCGAAGACGAAGACGAAGACTCTTCTCTCCATAATGCCTCCTCAATCTTATCAACACTTTAAAATGGCTGTTTTTATCAGCCTTAAAAATACTACACTAAAAACCAAAAAAAGAACCATAATAAACCAACAACAGCGGCTTTTTTTATTTATTTATGCATGCATATGGGCGGCGGGCATTGTTTTTAGTTGCCGGGCCCATTAATTTACAACTGCACATATTTATCAAGAGTGCTAAAGTGAGGTGTTAAATCAAACAAGAGGGAGAATATAAATTAAGCAACAGCTAAGCCAGCAGCTGGAAAGATCGGCCGAAAATAAGGCACTGTAATCACAAAATCAACCGATGAAGTGGGTAATCAGTAGAATCAAGGTCCAAGGAAATAGTAGAAATAATAAATAGATAATCCTAATAAGATATTCTATGTATTAGGCTGGCATCTATGAACCTTGTGGGTACCCTAAGCTTAAGCTTAAGAAGAGACTTCTGTGAGACTATTAACGCAGCATTTAAGTTCCATTTAATAATTACCAATATGTATATCTAGTAAAATCCAACAAATTATCCTATATATACAAGTGACCATTGCAAAAATCAATAGCAAATTGATGAAAATTGGCAGGGTAGAGTAATCTGCGTGGCTAAATTGATGTTATTACTATTTACCAATTGGTATACCGTCGTCCCACCTAGACCTCAAGTAATGGAATCTAATGATTATAATGAAGCTACCAGGAGAAAGTGTTTCGAGGACAGAGGACAAAGCCGCATTACCGCAAATTAGAGGAGTGTCCGCTCAAGTCAAATTGAAATGAAATGGAACCGTTAACCAAGAAAAGTACTGCCCAAGGAACACGGTATATAGAAGGTAAACATTGGCAGACCTACAAAGCAACACTGGTCAGCAGACTGTGCGCAATAGACCAAAGACAAACCCAAACCCCATTAAAACAACACAGCACAATTATTGCATGAGTCTCCGCCTCCTTCCTCCACCGCCACCTCAAAATCCCCCCAGTACAGTACCAAACCCATTTGGTTTCAGGTTGAAAGCGGTTTCGCATACGATGACAAGTGTCGGGGAATTACGGAGGGTGCAGGGAACTGAACTACGGAGGGTGCTTAGGTCAGTTTGTTGGCTTAGTTGGTTAGGTCATGCCATGGCGTAAAAACAGAAGGAAAACGGGAAAATAATATTAAAGAAACAGAAAAACGAAACCCAGCTAGGGGATGAACTGAACTAACAAAGCAAACTAGACTGAACTACTGCCCAAGCTCTCGCTGAGCAACAGGGTGGTGCAGTTTCAACAGGGTGTTCAATGTAAAAGATCTACAGATCCTTCATCTACTCGAAATACCTTATTAGAAACACATAAACACATTATAAAAACTCTATTTTCGCTTGGGTGAAGAAGTGTACAAGGCACATTACAAATGATCGTCCTCTAAACATTTAGACAACTCACCATAAATACTTGGAACAAGGAAGGCGTTTCACAGTATTCGTTTAAACAAGTAAGTAAGCCTTTTGAATCATACTGTGTGGGTTGGGTCACCCGGGTTAGTTGGGTCCTTCCACCCCCCTCCAAAGTTTCTAAAGTTTCTTTGGTTAACCCATTCACGGCATTGACTTTCGCCCTAGCTGACATTTTACCTTGACTAAAGACCACAAGTCCCCAGTAAAAGCAACCCATTTTGTTAGCCCACTGCGTCATTTTCCTTTTTATTATCGACTTGACATTGAGCTAAGACTAGGCGCAGCAGAGCCCCAAATCCAATTCTTTAATAAATTATTACTTGCTTTCTACCTCATTGCTTATTCGACTTAATAGAAGGAAAATCCCAAAATGTATTAGGGGTAAAATACTTTCCTACAAAATTACTATTGTATCATAATCTTTGAAGTATAACTAAAAAGAACTGAAAGGTTTATATCCACTAGTTTTAAGGATAACATCTGAATAGATTGTATTGCTCTCCTAACATTCGAATTGCCATCAACTATTTAATAACATTTTCATTTGGCGCCAGGGGCCCACGTGCCGGTGGTTGTTGTTGGTTGGTTCCAGTTGCGAGTCAACTTCCATTTAAATAGCAAATGAGTTGGGGCTGGGCTTAAGTGGTGGGGTTTCCAGTGAAACAGTGAAAAGGAGAGGCGGGTCTGTGAGCCTAGCGGTGGTGTTCTTGTTTACTTGGTCTTGAACTTGCATGTCGATAATGCGCCCTGACATTTTCCGTGGTATTTCGCTGGTATTGGTATTGTTAACAGTGGTAATTGCGCCAAGACATGTTTTTTCAGGCTATTTTTACCGGCTGGGAATTATTGATTCCGATTCCTATTCCGAATGTGGGAAAATGTCAAAGCAAAACATGTTTTCCCTTTCCCACTCGTTCCGTTCCGTGCCCCTTTTTGGGGTCTAGGCTATCGAACTGAATTGAGACTATAAATAAATTTAGAGGCGGCGTTCGACATCGAAAGTGAAATGAAATAAGCAAAGAAACTGAAAAAAAAGACAGGGAGACCCAAAAATACATCGAATACATGTTCCAATTCCACTGTTCCATCACCGCCTGTTGCTTGCACTGCAGCGCCATCTGTCGGCCGCTTCGTCAATAATGCGAAAGTAAAAGTAAAATAACGAGCGCATAGAAGAGCATTAAATAGAACAAAAGAAAGGGGAGAAGAAAAGCACAAACAATGAAATATTTGCATTTCATTTGGGTACGAAGAAAAAAGAGGAAAATCATTTAATGGGGCGGTTGAAGAGGGAAAAGAGGAAGGAGCCGCAGGAAATTTGCGCATCTATTTGCCAAAGACTTGAGGATACCGAAAGTCAACAAAGAGCCAGCTAAAAGCGGGCGTTTGTGCCACGCAGGGGGTAGGAATGTGATAAAAAAAAAAAAAAAAAATGTTATCGCTATCACCGCACTTCCCTCGCCAGCTGCTAATGACCGCGTCGGCAATCAATAATTAGAGCTGACCAAGGCAATTAACCCATGACAGACTACATCACATTCACATCACACCAACGGCGTCGAGTCGATCCACATCCAAAAGGCATATGACTTCGATAACAACGCTTGCTGCACGGCGATTATAGCGATAGCAATAACGATAAACAAACTGGTTAATGGAGGAAATGGGGAGTTACGAATGGAACAAGGAAGAGATCTTAAGTTATATACAATATAATTTTTATTAGTTGGTTCTGCAAAGTCCACCGCTGTTGTTTTTCGTTGCAACTTTTGCTTGGGAAATCGATAAAAGAAAACAAGGACAAAAGGAATATTATAGTACACAAAGGCGGCACCACAGCACAAAGCCGTCGAAATGGTAAAAAGCCAGAGACAATGGGAGGCACAGGCTGTGGAAAAGCGGAGGAAAACCAAGACAAATATTACAAAGGGGAGGTAGGTGGTGATTGGGGGAAAAGGCGAGAAGGCGGGGAGGTGCCAAAGCCAACACGCGATTAGTGAATGCCCAACCCTGCTGCTAACAACCCCCACCACCCAATTACCACCCACCACCCACACCTCCTAGTCCAAACGGAAGCAAGAACAGCCAAAAACTGGTAAAAACCGAAACAACACACTCGCTTAACCGTTCAAACTGCGTTTTCAAAAATGCGATAAACTCATTGTAAATATCCTATAATATATATAATATATTTTCAGAAATCTAAATAAATATGTATAAATTAAAACAATCAATATTCGTTGATTAGCTATCATTCATGTATGCGTTTGCTCGTATCATTAGAGCGGCAATTATATGATAATTATTTAACCCACTTATATGACAGAACAACAACATCGTAATATGTAGGAAACAAAGGAACTTTGAGAATATACAATATACAGATGCAAGTTCGAGACTTAATCTTTTCAAATGAAATCTATAAACAATTGATTAAGTTAAAGTTAGCTGCTAAACCTATAAATCAATACTAGCAATACTGGATTGCGGCAATCGAAGGCCAAAACAAGAGCTATAAAATAATTAGCACTAGAGATTTTCCTTTTTGTCCCATTTACATAGATCCTATTTCAAGTAACTATTATTCAAAAGACCATAACTTGGATATTATGAATTGGAAATTCCACAAACTCTATAAACTTATCACCAATTAAGTTACAAGGCAATTCATTCAAAATCCCACTCACCAAAGATTCACTTTCAGCCTTTTCAGCCAATCACTCACTTCACTAACGAAAA